GGAATAATGGGAAAATAATTATGCTTCAAAAGTTGATAAACTTGTAACCCCACTTTTGAGAAAATGGCCCTTGAATGTTTTGGTACACCTACCCATTCATCATCATTCACACCCTCTTAAGCCTTAGCCCCACCCTTCTCTTTAAGGATTCACATGTGAGGCCATGTGCTAAACAGAGTGAATATGGTATTGTAGCAAACAACCAAATATTTCAAGACTAAAAGTGGTGAAAGTAGTAGCAAAAATACACTTTATCTAGTCCTTGGCCTACAGTGCATTCGGAAAGTATTCAGACCCATTTTCTTATGTTACAGCCTTATTCTAAAATTGATTCAATAGTTCTTTTCCCTCATCAATCTACACACAATACCCCATAATGACAAAGCAAAAACAGGTTTATATATAAAAAATACAAATACAAAATATACAAACACATTTACATAAGTATTCAGACCCTTTACTCAGTACTTTGTTGAAGCACCTTTGGCAGCGATTACAGCCTCGAGTCTTCTTGGTTATGATGCTACAACCTTGACACACCTATATTTGGGGAGCTTCTCCCATTTTTCTCTGCAGATCCTCTCAAGCTATGTCAGGTTGAATGGGGAGCGTTGCTGCACAGCTATTTTCAGGTCTCTCCAGAGATGTTAGATCGGGTTCAAGTCCGGGCTCTGGCTGGGCCACTGAAGGACATTCAGAGACTTGCTAAACAATTAACCTAATGGTGTTTGAAGACAACTGGGAACTTGGAAAAATACTAGGTCAAATCATGATGTCAGTGATGTTCAGGTCGGAAAGTATGGGCTCTAGAAAGATGCCAGAGTTCCCGAGTTGGATGGCTGTTCAAAACGATTTTTCCCAGTCGGAGCTCGTTTTCTTCTGAGTTCCCAGTTCTTTTGAATGCACTGAAGTCGGAAGTCGGAGCTTTCCGAGTTCCCAGTTGTTCTGAACGCGGCATTAATCCCAACCCATACTACTAGCAATTCAAACTGATAGTCATAGCCAGTGGCGGCTCCTGAAAAAATTATCAGGAGGGGCAATTTTTCTGATGATTTAGGTGACCTACACACATTTTAAAAAAGATATGTCCAGCAACAACATGAAGACAGGGGCAGCATATAAGTCAATACCAGAAGCATTTATTGACTGATCTGGGGAGATGGATTCCAGTTTCTGTGACAGATTATAAATAATCTCTGATGCCTTTGTTATATTAGCTTTTGGTTGAATGTACTGTCGTAGTAAATATATAATGTTATAGCTTGGTCTGACTAAAATCTTGTGCATGACCAATTTTGTGTTGGGCCTTTGTATTCAATACAATGAACAAGAGTCCTATCTTGTCAGCCTTGTCAGCAGGTGGCTAAGGATAACACCCACGCCATAGGTCTCTCAGTTCTTCCAACTCACGAGTTCTTGCCCTGAGGACACACACACACACACACCCACACACACACACACACACACACACACACATCATCACTGATAAACACACACACACACACACACACATCATCACTGATAACAAACACACACACACACACACACACACACACTGATAACAAACACACACACACACACACAAATCCTCTTCTCTTAGGCTGAACATCTGAAGACAGAGAACCCGACTCAGAGCCAATGCAACAGTGACACTAGCCTGGAGGTGACCTCGCCCAACTCATCAGGACCAATCAGAAGATCAGAACTACTAGATTCAACCTACTTCATTTTATTGTATAAAATGTCAGCACACAATGTTTAGGGGCTCTTCTGATAAACTCCCTACGAGTTTGACGAACGGGTCCGTGCACGCGATTCCAGATATCTTTACCTCTGAATAAACTGCCTTATATTATACAATTATCCACCTTGTCCAAAAGTCTCTACTTGGTCTCCGTTCTCCAGTAAACTTGTTTTATCAACAATAGTAAGGTTCAATGACACAGAAAGCAGTTCAATGTCGGGGTACAGAGTCGCTCTCTTACCAGGATCGCGGTCCGCTCTGACCAGGGTGAAGGTGGCCGGCTCCACCTCTCTGTCCGGGACTCTGTCATCCAGCCAAGTCTCCCAGCTGTATTGGGATTCCGCTGCCAGCAGCGTTTTCATTATTTAGTCCGTTCGTAGCGGGTATGTACACGATCAACAAGATCAGTCCAAAACCGAAGATCAGTCCAAAGCAGAATGTTTGCAGAATGTTTGTAAACTAAGTCTACAAATTAAAAACATAAAATAACGCCACACTGCAGGTCGCAACATAGACGCTGCTAGCCGCCATTGTCTTAGTTACGTTCAACGTTACGTCACGTATGACGAAAGCGCGTAAGTGCATGCACACAGACACCCATAGAGAATGTATTGAAAGCTTTGAAATGTGAAAAAAATAGATTTTACATGACAGGCTATGAGAGACTTCTGGGCGATTTTCAACCTGACTGAAATCGCCCAAAAAACGGGCGGGGCCATTTGAAGCACGACTTTAGCCTGATTTGACATTTAGTGGCTGGCAGATCAGACGTGAACACTGATAACTGCTGTTGCCGTGATATAATTGATTAGAAAAAAAATCCCTTCCTTTTCCCGTTTGGCAGTGCGTCGCCCATATCGCCCTATTGAACAAGCCGTCCCTGGTCATAGCTATGAATCTGCAGGTAGCTAAAGCTAGCCAACTAGGTTCAATGTTAGCTAGCTAGCTAACATTAGGCTATAACTAGCAATGCAAATGGATTTTTGAGACACAAATAATATTACTACACAGATCATACACGTAATGTTAGTTACCCATGTTATAGACAGAAGCATGCTCGTTCAAATGCCTCTCCTGTGAAGTAGTGACATGTGACATACACCTAGTTTCCTGAAACAAATCACATGGTCCTTTTAGTGGGAGGAAGTGCAGATAGGGTAACCACAGGAAAGTGTTGTTTACCCGACTTTTTGCGACGCCGGTAAGTTCTGTTGCCTGTATTTTCCATCTCCTGATGCACAATATGTAAACAATAGCCGAATGTAACCGAATGATTTCCAGCTGATTGCGTGGGACAATGTTTGGTCTGTGCTTCGGTTAAACTCGGGCATTGTTAACATATTGTGCAAGTCGCGTGCAAAGTGCATCCGCACTGAAAATATAAACCGACATACAGACCAGCGTACTGAAAGTCGGGTTAATGACACTACTCTGTGGATATTTTGGCTCAGATTACCTCCTACACAAGGACAAAATCAGCGGACAACAGGTAAAGTACGTTCAAATGAAGTTTATTCAACAGTCTGACAAAAAGTGAGCCTACATGTTCGCAGAGGCTATTCTGGCCCATGGTAGTACCAGGTTTTCTGTTCTTTTTACATTGTTGAGATTTGTGAAAGTGATATTTCAGATAAATAAATGTTATTTTGAGTCATACATGACAAGTGAATGGCTTAGCCAAATAGGACAATGATGCTGCTATATCTAGAGCGAATGCATGAGAACATGTCCTCAATTCCCCTTGTAGGATGAGATGTTAATGTGTGTGTGTCATAAGCTATTACATTTCATAATCTTTAAATGGCTGAAGCTCTGTCACTGACTGGCATGAACCAAGGCAGATCTCTTGCCAGCAGAGACCACGTTTTTCCCCCACTTGTAACCACCCAAATTAAAATGCATTGGACTGCTAGTTGAGGATTTAACGGAGGCGTTTTGAATACAAAACAACACTTCAATACTCAACTTGTCTTCTGTTTCTTAATTCTTACTAATAAGGACTGTGGGATTTATTATATAACAATGGAAGAGGATTCCAACTCTGTCTCTATTTTTACAGTGGAAGGTGTGACATTACTGCAGTGTTTGCCTTGTCAGATTTAAGGCTTTGCACCCCCTCTTTCACCCTCCCACTTGATTTTGCAGTGCTTAAGTCATTTTATATGCACCTCTGCTAAAGACACACTAGTAGCTAATCATATCTTCGTACACCAATATCAGCAGGCCATTAAATTAGCCAAAATTGAGTGTTTGTATGTATTCAAACCGGACCCAGATTATACAGGTGGTCAGAATAGAGAGGGAGATCATTTTTCCCCTCCATGGAACGTAACTGGAGATTGAAGTCTCTCAAAGAACTTTCCCCTCAGCCGGGGAAAGCGAGTCTGTGTGCGCAGACTTGTGTGTGTGTCGTCATTTTGATTCCCTCTGGTAGCAGCACAGGAGATACTTTCAGGCATGAAAAATACTTTTTAATTGGTGCGAAGGAAAAACAAGACTTGTTACATCTCTATTAGGGTGCCTGGCTCATTCTCAGTGCGTTTCTCTCTCTCTGTGTCTCTCCCCCTATTCTCTCTCTCTTTCTCGCCACACGTTAAGCAAATCCCCCCGACCTGGATTAGAGATTCCGAAGGATTTACGCTTTCCGACTGACACTGAGAGCCTTTTGAATTCTAGCTGAAGAAAGAAGGGAAAGGAAAGATAATGGCACAAGCGGAGTCTCAGTGCTCAAAGATGCAGGCGCACCTTGTTGTCTGAGATGGAGGGATATTGACGAGAAGAGAAGGGGAGCTGAGAGAAGAGAAGAAGAGAAGGTTGTTTGCTGTGGTGAGCAGCTCCAGATTATTGACTAACTGTTGACATCATTTGGAGAGGAGGATTTTTTTTCTCTCGCTCTCACACTGAGAGAACTGCCTACTGAAAAGGCTAGATATGGAAGAATGCTTTGGAAAGGAGCCATCAGCAGATATTGTGATTGCTAACTCTCAGCAGTCGAACAAGGAAACAGTAGCTGTACACTAATCAGCTCTACCAAAGACAAGAGAAGCATCCTTCCAATTCGAAACAAAAACAATTCCCCCATTGACCGCTGTCAATCGTTAAGATGTCCATGTTGTGCTTGCATTGGCTTTGCCAGCCAGAGGGAAAACAGACCTAACTCTACCTGAGCGAACGTAGCCGGGGCATCCAATCTCGTTTTCGCAATTGAGAGAAGCAAACGGGGAACCGGTCGACGTGCACCCACAATTCTTTAGACATGAGCGAGTCAGTGATGACAAGTGGCCTCTTTCCCATGTCCTTTCCCGTGTCCTCTGCACTGATGCGGTCCGCGGAGGCTGCCCAGGAGCCATGCCTTACCACAGACCAGGCCCCCATCCACAGGGGCGAGAAGGTGAAAGAGAAGAAGAAAGAGGGGGAGAGTGTTGTGTGTAAGAGCCAGCAGCAGGCCTCCCTATCCTGCCTGGTGGAAGAGTTCTTCTGCATTGGCAGCAGAAATGTGTCCTTCTCCAAGTGGAGGCTGGGAGACATGGGTAAGGATGGATGGATGGATGGCATTTGGACTAGATTAAAGATTGACCACTACAATAACTAGTGTTCTGGAGTACATTTGTTGTTGAAACGGAATGGGAACTTGGTCATGCATGTCTGTATTTATGTGCGTGCGTGTGTGTGTCTAGATTGTGGATGTGTTGTGGGAACATTACATTTGTTATGGAGCTCTGGTGAGACATGGTACTAGGTACTGTTCTACCAGACGACTGGAGTGGGTCAGTGGGACTGTGATGGAACGACTTGTCCTATGACCTCATTATTGGTCTGCTGCTTTTTACATCAGTGACACAGACACATGCACCACAGAAACACCTGTGTATAGGTGTGTATGTGTGTTTGTTGTATGTGTGTGCACGCTTGTGTGGGTGTGTGACATATGGACTCCAGACAATCCCCTAAAGCTTAGCCTAGTGCTCTGACCGAGTGAGCGAAGGACAACGTGACTCCGCCCTTTTCGGCTCTCCTGGCCCACTTCTTCCACCCAGACTGCACTGGGGCGCCGGATGACCAGGTCACGCCATCACTGTGGTTACACCCGGCACTGCCGCCGCTTCTTTAACAGCATTAAGGTTGACACCAACTTACCTCTGCCTCATCCTCAGCTGCCTCCTGGCAGAAAATGTGTCCATCACCTGTCGTCTGGCTTCTATTTTAACCATGTAAATAGCCGTAAAGCCCTCACACGATGGGTAGAAGTCTGACGAGTGTAGTTACGAATCAAGGTCATGGGGTAATGTGTTTTACTATAATCATGTTGAGAGTCATCACAAACAATTAGGAGATGGACTGAGTTGGGAATTTTGTCTGGGTAATTGTTGACGGTCAATGTAATTACTTTGATTTGTTTTCAAGCGAGCATTTTTTTTGGTCTGATCCTTATCATTCATTACGTTTGTTGAATTCCAGTAGCTTGTACTCAAACAAACAAGCAAACCACTTTAGTGTGTTTCAATCAGACCTTTTTGGCCCAAAGTGATTTCTCCCTCTCAGAGATTTGATTGTTTTCCTTATTAGCTGACACCTTGTTACACACAAGTGATTCTGATGTTCTCTCGTAATTGCAATCAGTTACAGGAAAAGTAACATAAGTGTGAATTTAGGGTGACATTGTTGACATGCCCAGGGTAATACCATGATAATTTCTGTATTTATTTTCAGTAGCTCCCAAATGTAATTTTGTTGTTGGTCATATCTCCCATGACTGGCATCCGTATACAGTAGGCTAATCAAGCACAGTAATGACATACAAGACTGCATTTCTATTACTATTTTATCCTGCTGGACTGTCCTTCTTTTTTATTTACATCTCCCCATACTGTAAAACCCTGAGCATGTTTCCGTGGCAACGGCTCTGGACCCAATAGTAAAGAGTTAGTTTGAAGTGGCCAGTCTCTGGGCAGACATTGAGATTTCCCTCCGGCTGTTAGAAGAAGTCTTTGCTACAGTACTACTGCAGTATTTCTCTGCCATGCTGTGTCTGCCAGTTATCACTAAGAAGGAGTGTCTCACGCCATGCCCAACCTTTGTTCATTACACCATTCTCAGTCCTTTCCTGAGGGACAATTTTCTTAAGGGGTGCACATTTTTGTTCTACCAACCTGAATCATTGAGCCCTTGATCAGTGGAATCAGGTGTGTTGGTGCTGCGGGGCTAAAACAAAAACGTAGACCTACCTGTGTGATCCCAAGGGGAATTGATGGAGAAACATTATGGAGAAAGCATGGAGAAAGCATTACACACACACAGCTGAAACACTTTTTATTTTCCTTCTCTACTTTCTTCTTAGGACACATACCAGTTATCCTGTGCAGTGTAGTTATATTGTGAAGAGTTTCCTACAGATTACTTGAAGTTGGGTCTTCTTTACAATGAGTTTCTACCCCAGTTTGACGAGTTGGTCCCTAATTGCTCCATTAGCAGCAATTCAAACAGCTGCAACTTCCGAGAGAGGGCAAAGGTGAGAGAAGTCCCAAATGCACTAGACTGGTGCCTAATTGATTGTCCTTTGATTGGTCGGGCTTCATGGGCTGTGAGTAGCCTTGCAGTATTTATTTTTCCATTGCAGAATATCAGGGTTGGGGTCATCTAAATTCCAGTCAAATGTATTGAATACAATCGAATTGCATTCCTATGGAGAAATGTCATGTCCAAGTTAATGAACAGGAATTGAACTGAAGTGATCCCAACCCTGTAGAATGATGTGGTGTTCTGTACACTTTACAGTAGACTGTAGATGACCCAACAACCCATTAGTTCACACATTCCATCTCCCCCAGTTTAGACCGCAGATATCCATCATTTCATATCATTACTCTTTGAAGGCATCATCTCTCCCATTTACCTCCTTTTGTCTCCCCTTTCTTTCCCCTCCTTTTCCCCTCTTCTCTTTTTGTCTGCTGTTCCGCACAGTGCAATCAGCACGTGGCCCACTTTAAACAGAATTTCGTTAGACTAGATTAGATTAGATTTTGTCTCTTGTCATTGTGGTGAAATCATTTAGTCCCTCTGTAGGGGCCTGTCAACTTATAACCCCTCCCACACACACACACACACTGTCGAGTAGATTCCTGGAGTAGCTGTCTGTCCGTGTCATGGAATATGAAGAGCTAAGATGAAGGTATAAGGGATAGATGCAGTCAGTGATGCAGTGTTGCGCTTCTAGGGGGCTGTGATGGTCCTGTAGCAGATGTTGGTCTTCACCGGAGCTGAAGAGGCAGGTGGACAGTTTAGTTGTTGGCACTGTTTAGGGACGGGGGGAATACAAAATAAATCATACAAATACTGAGCTACATTGTATGCCAAAATATACATATATTATTATATACTAATACAATTGCTCATAGAAATCGATTTTGTTTAACAAGTAATTCAAAAAGATAAAGGGTCAAAATTATTGGATCCCTTGTTTTCAATACTCCAGCACCCTCCCCTTGCGAGGATAAGGACACTCTTCAATTCAAACCAAAGGTTTTCAATGGGGTTCAAGTCCAGATGTTGATTTTGTGGTCAATTAACCATTTCTTTGTGGACTTTGATGTGTGTTTTCTTAGAAAAAAGGGTTCCAAAATGGTTATTCGGCTGTCCCCATAGGAGGACCCTTTTTGGTTCCAGGGAGAACCCTTTTTGGTTCCACGTAAAATTATTTTGGGTTCCATGTAGAACCCTCTGTGGAAAGGGTCCTACATGGAACCCAAAAGGGATCTACCTGGAACCAAAAATGGTTCTTCAAAGGGTTCTCCTATGGGGACAGCCGAAGAACGCTTTTAGATTCTAGATTCCACAATTCTTTCTAAGAGTGTACCTTTTTTGAGGAAAAAAAGTATTCATTGTTAAACAAAATTAATTTCTCTGAGCAATTGTATAAGATAATATAATTTCCCTTTTTCCTTTGCATACAATATAGCTCAGTATTTGAATTATTTATTTGATACAGTCATTTTTGCTCATCTTTATAAAGGGTGTCAATATTTTCGGACCCCACTGTAAATACATAAATAAAGTACTGTGTCTCTATGCCACAATAAATCTATGCCCAAGCCATAGAAATATAATTTCTTGAATAGGCATTCCAATTCAAGTCAATGGGTGGGTGATGGGTGGTCTATTTAAATCGCTTAAACAGCTTGAGAATAATATGAACACAAATGAGATGGACTGTTTGCATAGCCCAGCGTGTTTTACTGATCTTGTTGTTGTTGGGCTGAGCATTGCTACAGTATGTCCAGGCCTATTTGGAACGAGCTAGATTACAGTTACAGTATGCATCAGCTCTATTTTCTCTGGTGGACAATATTTACAATGTATTATCCATGTACAGCGACTCCCTCAACACGTCTTTTCAAGGGAATGCAATGAATAAACATTAGAGACTGGGTTTTTCACTGGCAGCAGACAGACTGGGACAATACAGACACACAAGCATTCGTCAGAACACCTAGGGAGATTCTCATTTGGGCAAAAGACCGTCCTCTGTCCTCTCTCTGTCCTCCTTCTTGACCCGGAAACCGATAAGTGGTAGAGGGATCGAGGAAAGTGTCAAGTCGTTAGTAGGCGAACGGAAGGGTGTCCATCCCTCCTCAATTGCCACCTTTCATCGAGGATAGTCATGTGTATCCTACCAGAGTCCTTCACGGAAGAGTTTTGATATCTGTCAAACCCCCTGTTGTTTTGTCAGAGGGGAAAAGCATGCACATATTTAAAAACAATATGCTACTTATCCTTTCATCTATAAAATGTATTGCACAACTAGTTAAATACGTTTAAAAAAATTGATATAACATTTTATACATTTATTTTGGGATTCCACCCCTGTAAACATCATTTCCTGATGACGCGCGAGTGGAGAAGGAGTCTATTTTAACAATGAATAGGCTTTGTCTCAATTAAATAAAATTATCTATGTGACATTGCTACACAGAATGATATACCATGACATTTGGCATTCTTACTGAAATAAAACAACAAACTTTTGAATGTAGTTTTTATGACATGCGCCCCATAAAAATACATACCGTATTGCCTAGACAAGTTTCACGCGTGTAGCTTGTTGTTGTTGGCACTACAGTCAGAGGCTCCATGTGTAGCCAGTTACACTGTACACATTCAAGGCTCTAATAAAAAATCTAACTGAAAGTAAAATGAACTTCCACAATTTATTTAAATACGTAGCCATATCATCTTCACATCATTGAAATCCCACTGATTCAAGCTATCTAACAGTATAAAACATCCCTGTTATCACATACACATGCCGTCTTGAATATCAATGTTAGCTAGCTTCGCTACTAAAAAGGAAGCTAGCCAACAACACCCAGAATTGCGAAATGCACACTATCCACTTAATTGCTGTAAAATCTGCATTATTCATCCAATCATGAAAATATTTGGTGGTGTTATGCCTGACACTTTATTGATCTAGTGGCTAAAGAGAAAGAATAGCAGAGTTTAAAATTAGTTTGGTTGTCTTTGGAGGAAACATTCATTTTTATATTTCCGTTATTTTTCTAAGTTTAAGTTATACATTATTTTGTGTGTAGGATGGACCTAGGAAAGTTGTGAAGGCTTACATTTAATATTACATTTATGCTCTTTCAAATGATATACAGTGGGGGAAAAAAGTATTTAGTCAGCCACCAATTGTGCAAGTTCTCCCACTTAGAAAGATGAGAGAGGCCTGTAATTTTCATCATAGGTACACGTCAACTATGACAGACAAAATGAGGAAAAAAACAAAATCCAGGATTTTTAATGATTAATTTGCAAATTATGGTGGAAAATAAGTATTTGGTCAATAACAAAAGTTTCTCAATACTTTGTTATATACCCTTTGTTGGCAATGACACAGGTCAAACGTTTTCTGTAAGTCTTCACAAGGTTTTCACACACTGTTGCTGGTATTTTGGCCCATTCCTCCATGCAGATCACTTGTGGAGCAGTGATGTTTTGGGGCTGTCGCTGGGCAACACGGACTTTCAACTCCCTCCAAAGATTTTCTATGGGGTTGAGATCTGGAGAATGGCTAGGCCACTCCAGGACCTTTAAATGCTTCTTACGAAGCCACTCCTTCGTTGCCCGGGCGGTGTGTTTGGGATCATTGTCATGCTGAAAGACCCAGCCACGTTTCATCTTCAATGCCCTTGCTGATGGAAGGAGGTTTTCACTCAAAATCTCACGATACATGGCCCCATTCATTCTTTCCTTTACACGGATCAGTCGTCCTGGTCCCTTTGCAGAAAAACAGCCCCAAAGCATGATGTTTCCACCCCCAAGCTTCACAGTAGGTATGGTGTTCTTTGGATGCAACTCAGCATTCTTTGTCCTCCAAACACGACGAGTTGAGTTTTTACCAAAAAGTTATATTTTGGTTTCATCTGACCATATGACATTCTCCCAATCCTCTTCTGGATCATCCAAATGCACTCTAGCAAACTTCAGACGGGCCTGGACATGTACTGGCTTAAGCAGGGGGACACGTCTGGCACTGCAGGATTTGAGTCCCTGGCGGCGTAGTGTGTTACTGATGGTAGGCTTTGTTACTTTGGTCCCAGCTCTCTGCAGGTCATTCACTAGGTCCCCCCGTGTGGTTCTGGGATTTTTGCTCACCGTTCTTGTGATCATTTTGACCCCACGGGGTGAGATCTTGCGTGGAGCCCCAGATCGAGGGAGATTATCAGTGGTCTTGTATGTCTTCCATTTCCTAATAATTGCTCCCACAGTTTATTTATTCAAACCAAGCTGCTTACCTATTGCAGATTCAGTCTTCCCAGCCTGGTGCAGGTCTACAATTTTGTTTCTGGTGTCCTTTGACAGCTCTTTGGTCTTGGCCATAGTGGAGTTTGGAGTGTGACTGTTTGAGGTTGTGGACAGGTGTCTTTTATACTGATAACAAGTTCAAACAGGTGCCATTAATACAGTTAATGAGTGGAGGACAGAGGAGCCTCTTAAAGAAGAAGTTACAGGTCTGTGAGAGCCAGAAATATTGCTTGTTTGTAGGTGACCAAATACTTATTTTCCACCATAATTAAAATGCAAATCAATTTATAGCATTTTTGACATGCGTTTTTCTGGATTTTTTTGTTGTTATTCTGTCTCTCACTGTTCAAATAAACCTACCATTAAAAGTATAGACTGATCATGTCTTTGTCAGTGGGCAAACGTACAAAATCAGCAGGGGATCAAATACTTTTTTCCCTCACTATATATATATATATATGTTTTAAACAGTATTGAAAATCATACCGTCGGTATTTCGAAATACCCCGGTATACAGTATAAACGGTATATCGCCCAAGCCTACTTTACAGTCCAATCTATTGATCCCAATTGCCCCCGCCTACAGCAGTAGAGAAATAATTGGGCATATGACTAGTAGTCGTCAGAATAGTAGTCTAGTCTCTCGTTCAGCCTATTGTTGGCACATGAGGCTAAGATTATAGTGCCACATTCTGTAGCCTAAATTATTAGCATCGTCGTAGCAGTAGCTGGTAGTATTGCACTTTAAGTAAGTAGCGGTCCGAGTTGGTCTCTGACATTCTGCATTATCCCTTGGTGGAAATTGACACAGGCAGTTTGGTGCTCGGGACTGCACTGAATTAACCAGGGCCTCGGAGCCCATTCTCACTATTGATCAATGAGAGCCCAGGGAAGCCAAATCAATGACAAATTAGAACAATCCCATCACTGGGATGTCTGTAATTCTTTAGCCTAACAAAGCAGGCGTAAAAGAAACACCTGAGCGGAGTTCCCACATCCGGTTTTCAGCGGAAAAGGAAGCTACAGTGAGGGAAAAAGTATTTGATCCCCTGCTGATTTTGTACGTTTGCCCACTGACAAAGACATGATCAGTCTATAATTTTAATGGTAGGTTTATTTGAACAGTGAGAGACAGAATAACAACAAAAAAATCCAGAAAAACGCATGTCAAAAATGTTATAAATTGATTTGCATTTTAATGAGGGAAATAAGTATTTGACCCCTCTATAAAACATGACAGTACTTAGTGGCAAAACCCTTGTTGGCAATCACAGAGGTCAGACGTTTCTTGTAGTTGGCCACCAGGTTTGCACACATCTCAGGAGGGATTTTGTCCCACTCCTCTTTGCAGATCTTCTCCAAGTCATTAAGGTTTCAAGGCTGACGTTTGGCAACTCGAACCTTCAGCTCCCACCACAGATTTTCTATGGGATTAAGGTCTGGAGACTGGCTAGGCCACTCCAGGACCTTAATGTGCTTCTTCTTGAGCCACTCCTTTGTTGCTTTGGCCGTGTGTTTTGGGTCATTGTCATGCTGGAATACCCATCCACGACCCATTTTCAGTGCCCTTGCTGAGGGAAGGAGGTTCTCACCCAAGATTTGACGGTACATGGCCCCGTCCATCGTCCCTTTGATGCGGTGAAGTTGTCCTGTCCCCTTAGCAGAAAAACACCCCCAAAGCATAATGTTTCCACCTCCATGTTTGACGGTGGGGATGGTGTTCTTGGGGTCATAGGCAGCATTCCCCCTCCTCCAAACACGGCGAGTTGAGTTGATGCCAAAGAGCTTCATTTTGGTCTCATCTGAACACAACACTTTCACCCAGTTCTCCTCTGAATCATTCAGATGTTCATTGGCAAACTTCAGACGGGCCTGTATATGTGCTTTCTTGATCAGGGGGACCTTGTGGGCGCTGCAGGATTTCAGTCCTTCACGGCGTAGTGTGTTACCAATTGTTTTCTTGGTGACTATGGTCCCAGCTGCCTTGAGATCATTGACAAGATCCTCCCGTGTAGTTCTGGGCTGATTCCTCACCGTTCTCATGATCATTGCAACTCCACGAGGTGAGATCTTGCATGGAGCCCCAGGCCGAGGGAGATTGACAGTTATTTTGTGTTTCTTTCATTTGCGAATAATCGCACCAGCTGTTGTCACCTTCTCACCAAGCTGCTTGGCGATGGTCTTGTAGCCCATTTCAGCCTTGTGTAGGTCTACAATCTTGTCCCTGACATCCTTGGAGAGCTATTTGGTCTTGGCCAGGGTGGAGAGTTTGGAATCTGATTGATTGCTTCTGTGGACAGGTGTCTTTTATACAGGTAACAAGCTGAGATTAGGAGCACTCCCTTTAAGAGTGTGCTCCTAATCTCAGCTCGTTACCTGTATAAAAGACACCTGGGAGCCAGAAATCTTTCTGATTGAGAGGGGGTCAAATACTTATTTCCCTCATTAAAATGCAAATCAATTTATAACATTTTTGACATCCGTTTTTCTAGATTGTTTTGTTGTTATTCTGTCTCTCACTGTTCAAATAAACCTACCATTAAACTTATAGACTGATCATTTGTTTGTCAGTGGGCAAACGTACAAAATCAGCAGGGGATCAAATACTTTTTTCCCTCACTGTAGGTTAAAGATGGCTGTATCCCTGAAAACCAGATGCATCCGGTTGTTGGCACCACACATAATGTTTATGGAGATGTTTATGATAATATCCATAATGGTATTATATTATATTATATTAGTCAAATATGATGTGACTAATTCATAGGATGTGATTGACACCTGACAGTTGAGAATCTGGCATTGGAGCCTTAGCCTAGGGCTGTGTAGGCCTACACAGTGGCACTGCACCAGCTAAATAGGGATGCCATTACCTGGGCTATCTGTGGAAGAGCTGTCAAATTGAAACCAAAATAATGACCTGAATGACCAAAATCATGCCCTGAATGTGGTAGCGATATTTTGGTGGCACTCTCTTTACATGGAGTGTCTGTTTTACCCATTTTCCTCTTGAAGTATGTTTGGTGTTGTGCGAGAAGTGGTCTCATCTCAGCACCGGTGTTCAACACTGTCTTCTGTACAAACCAAATGGATTCGGGTAGCTAACAATAGGTCCCATATTTGTATTTATTTATTCTATTCCACACGGTGTGAAGCAGGTGTCTGGTTAAGGGGATTTTTGAGAAGAAATTGCTTGGCTCTGCCCTCTCCCCCTCCATCTCCCATTCCCTCCCTCCCGCTGCACCCCCCCCCCCCCCCCCCCCCCTCTTTCTCTCTCTCTCTCGCCCCCTCCCTCTCTCCATGTCCCCTTCTCTCCCTCTCCCCCCTCTCCCTCTCCCCCTCTCCCTCTCCCTCTCTCTCCTTCCCCTCTCCCTTCCCCTCTCTCCCTCTCTCCCTCTCCCCCTCCCTCTCTCCCCCCTCTTTCTTTCTCTCTCTCTCTACCCTTCTCTCTCTCCCCCCTCTCCCCTTCTCTCTCTCCCCCCTTCTCTCCCTCTCCCCCCTCTCACTCTCTCCCCCCTCACTCTCTTCCCTTCTCATACTCTACCCTCTCTCCTCCTCTCACTCTCACCCCCCTCTCTCCCTCTCTCTCTCTTTCTCCCTCTTCCCTTCTCCTTCTCCCTCTCTCTCCCCCTCTCCCCTTCTCTCTCCCCCCCTTTCTCTCCCCCTCTTTCCTCCCTCTCCCCCTCTCTCCCTCCAAGTAAAACACAGGCGGATGTGAAAGCCAGATCCAATGCATTATGTGTGAGCGCAACCTTGTGTGTGTGAGTAAATGGTAAATAAATGTTTATCTGCCTTGAGCTCCAGACTGGAATGAATGATTTGGTGCTTGACAACAAACCTACTCTCACTCCAATGCAAATGCACATAGTCTCCCTCATTATCCCAGACAGACTATCACTTGAATAGACACACTCTCTCACTCTCACACTAACTCAACTATCTCTGTGTTTTTCTCTCCAGTGGAGAAATGCATGAGCTCCATGCAGACGGGGACCCAGATGGTGAAGCTGCGCGGCGGCTCCAAGGGACTGGTGCGCTACTTCTACCTGGACGAACACAAGTCCTGCATCCGCTGGCGGCCTTCTCGCAAGAACGAGAAGGCCAAGAGTGAGTAGTTTGACTATTTTACTTCATGACTGAATGATTGACTGACCTGCTTAGACCTGGAATTAACAGGAGTTAAGTCTTTGTAGCCACACGGTCTGTTTAATAACAAAGCCAAGAGTGAGTCTCTTTTACTTTATGACTGACTCACTGATCCTCATCCAGTGTCTCACGTTTTGATTCCCTACTTCTGTATTAACCTGGATTTAACAGGCATTAAGGCCTAGATTCAATCAGATCAAGCGTTAACCCAGAGGTGTAACTGTGTTAGAGCTGTCAAATTGGTGAATGGCTGCTCGTGTGATCATTGTCACGAAGCCACACCCATCCCACTCGCTTTAGAAGTTCAGAATGAGAAAGGCTATATACAAATAATGACGCTCACATTCAAAATCAATAAACAAAATAGTAAGGATTTATATCAGCCTAATATAAGGGCGACAGGTAGCTTAGTGAGTAAGAGCGTTGTGCCAGTAACCGAAAGGTCGCTGGTTCTAATCCCCGAGCCGACTAGGTGAAAAATCTGTCGATGTGCCCTTAAACAAGGCACTTAACCCTAATTGCTCCTGTAAGTCGCTCTGGATAAGAGTGTCTGCTAAATGACTAAGATGTAAATGTAACAGGGCTGCATGGGATTATTACACATCCAATGGAAATGTCCGCGATAGGTATAACGCTGGAAGCAACTTGCTGATTTGACAGCTCCAATGCAGTTACACCTCTGACACACCTCCGACATCGCCTAAATAAAAAAGATGAAACTGATATGTAGTTGTCGGTTATCACGGGTTAAGGCAGAACTGATTGAATCTAGACTTAAGTATTTATAGCTCCACGATTAGTTTCATAGTACATATTAGTACATACAGTGGGGAAAAAAAGTATTTAGTCAGCCACCAATTGTGCAAGTTCTCCCACTTAAAAAGATGAGAGAGGCCTGTAATTTTCATCATAGGTACACGTCAACTATGACAGACAAAATGAGAAAAAATTTTTTCCAGAAAATCACATTGTAGGATTTTTAATGAATTTATTTGCAAATTATGGTGGAAAATAAGTATTTGGTCAATAACAAAAGTTTCTCAATATTTTGTTATATACCCTTTGTTGGCAATGACACAGGTCAAACGTTTTCTGTAAGTCTTCACAAGGTTTTCACACACTGTTGCTGGTATTTTGGCCCATTCCTCCATGCAGATCTCCTCTAGAGCAGTGATGTTTTGGGGCTGTCGCTGGGCAACACGGACTTTCAACTCCCTCCAAAGATTTTCTATGGGGTTGAGATCTGGAGACTGGCTAGGCCACTCCAGGACCTTGAAATGCTTCTTACGAAGCCACTCCTTCGTTGCCCGGGCGGTGTGTTTGGGATCATTGTCATGCTGAAAGACCCAGCCACGTTTCATCTTCAATGCCCTTGCTGATGGAAGGAGGTTTTCACTAAAAATCTCACGATACATGGCCCCATTCATTCTTTCCTTTACACGGATCAGTCGTCCTGGTCCCTTTGCAGAAAAACAGCCCCAAAGCATGATGTTTCCACCCCCATGCTTCACAGTAGGTATGGTGTTCTTTGGATGCAACTCAGCATTCTTTGTCCTCCAAACACGACGAGTTGAGTTTTTACCAAAAAGTTATATTTTGGTTTCATTTGACCATATGACATTCTCCCAATCCTCTTCTGGATCATCCAAATGCACTCTAGCAAACTTCAGACGGGCCTGGACATGTACTGGCTTAAGCAGGGGGACACGTCTGGTACTGCAGGATTTGAGTCCCTAGCGGCGTAGTGTGTTACTGATGGTAGGCTTTGTTACTTTGGTCCCAGCTCTCTGCAGGTCATTCACTAGGTCCCCCGTGTGGTTCTGGGATTTTTGCTCACCGTTCTTGTGATCATTTTGACCCCAAGGGGTGAGATCTTGCATGGAGCCCCAGATCGAGGGATATTATCAGTGGTCTTGTATGTCTTCCATTACCTAATAATTGCTCCCACAGTTGATTTCTTCAAACCAAGCTGCTTACCTATTGCAGATTCAGTCTTCCCAGCCTGGTGCAGGTCTACAATTTTGTTTCTGGTGTCCTTTGACAGCTCTTTGGTCTTGGCCATAGTGGAGTTTGGAGTGTGACTGTTTGAGGTTGTGGACAGGTGTCTTTTATACTGATAACAAGTACAAACAGGTGCCATTAATACAGGTAACGAGTGGAGGACAGAGGAGCCTCTTAAAGAAGAAGTTACAGGTCTGTGAGAGCCAGAAATCTTGCTTGTTTGTAGGTGACCAAATACTTATTTTCCACCATAATTTGCAAATAAATTCATAAAAAATCCTACAATGTGATTTTCTGGATTTTTTTTCCTCAATTTGTCTGTCATAGTTGACGTGTACCTATGATGAAAATTACAGGCCTCTCTCATCTTTTTAAGAGGGAGAACTTGCACAATTGGTGGCTGACTAAATACTTTTTTCCCCCACTGTATAACATGTTTGCGTGAATGTCCCTTTAGTCTGTCTTACATTGACAATCAGCACTTCCATCTCTCCCACTAAGCCTATTACCGTAGTCCCAAACAGCAGAGGAATCATTTAGGATTCACCTCGAAGTTGTTTGTGTAGAAACAAAATGGCCCCGTCTCACGGGGGGCACCAGGCTCAGTTTCCTGCCGCTCGCTTCGTAGCCTCTAGCCCAGCTCCACCACCGCCATGGGAGTTAATAAGCTTCTTAAGTAGCCTCAATTATTCATCGGCTTTAATCTGCCAGACCAGTGTCGCTTGATTCAACACATTGAGCCAGGAAAGGCGGAATGCAGGGACCTCCAGAGAAACGAATGGAGCAGGAAAGGAAATTAGAATAGGAACCCTGTAATCTTCCATTCTGTCACATGGGAATGGATTGTGAGATAGCCTGAGACTGTGTTCATTAGGGCATGCGACGAAAAACAAAATCAGCATTTCTTATTGGACAAGTCTATTATAATGAACACGACCCTGCCTTGCCGGGGCAGTTTTAGTGGTGGGGAGTTGAGATGGCTGGGTGAGAAAGGTTGTTGTTGTTTTCATGCAGCAACAACAATCATGTCAACACACAAAACAAAAAGACAGCAGGCCACATTACAGCACACTTCACCTACAGCAGCATATATATTTTGGTGGGAAAACGGTTCTTGAGAGGGCCACGATCACCCTCCCGGCCCCAGATAACTGTACACTTCTGCATTATTTATGAACAGGCCTTATTCAGGGACCCCTTCATGCTTTTTCCCCCTCTCCACCCGGGAGCACACAAGCACCATGCGTTGTTGTTATTCAGTGTGTCCGCTTCACCTTTGACATGTAGTCTTGTGTGTGTTGACAATCTCCAATCAAACTGGTTTCAAGTTTCCATTCAATGGGAGGCTTCTGTGTGACCTGAGATGCATTCTGTACCTGTGTGCGTGCATGTGTATAGAATTCTTCTTTATTTTTTCGTTCAATTTGAAAATGTGGAGTACTGTAGGTTTTTTTGATTGTGTAGAACACTCCTCTCTCAGTTACACTAATCCGCTGGTGGGTGTCTTCTTAATCCTCGGTAATCCAGCATAACGATGCTCTTTGTCTATTCTAAAATTAACATTTATGTTGGTCTGATGTGTATGAGGAAGTGAATCCAGGTGTAGCACTGGTAGTATTTGTAAAATTATTCATGCCAATTGTTGACAAGCATGCACCTGTTAGGAAATTAACTGTGAGAACTGTTAAAGCCCTTTGGATAGATGATGAATTGAAAAATTGTACGGTGCAAAGAAATGATGCAAAAGAGGTGACAAACAAGTCAGGCTAATCAGCTGATTGGGTGACATACAGTGGGGGGGAAAAGTATTTAGTCAGCCACCAATTGTGCAAGTTCTCCCACTTAAAAAGATGAGAGAGGCCTGTAATTTTCATCATAGGTACACGTCAACTATGACAGACAAATTGAGGAAAAATCCAGAAAATCACATTGTAGTATTTTTAATGAATTTATTTGCAAATTATGGTGGAAAATAAGTATTTGGTCAATAACAAAAGTTTCTCAATACTTTGTTATATACCCTTTGTTGGCAATGACACAGGTCAAACGTTTTCTGTAAGTCTTCACAAGGTTTTCACACACTGTTGCTGGTATTTTGGCCCATTCCTCCATGCAGATCTCCTCTAGAGCAGTGATGTTTTGGGGCTGTCGCTGGGCAACACAGACTTTCAACTCCCTCCAAAGATTTTCTATGGGGTTGAGATCTGGAGACTGGCTAGGCCACTCCAGGACCTTGAAATGCTTCTTACGAAGCCACTCCTTCGTTGCCCGGGCGGTGTGTTTGGGATCATTGTCATGCTAAAAGACCCAGCCACGTTTCATCTTCAATGCCCTTGCTGATGTAAGGAGGTTTTCACTCAAAATCTCACGATACATGGCCCCATTCATTCTTTCCTTTACACGGATCAGTCGTCCTGGTCCCTTTGCAGAAAAACAGCCCCAAAAGCATGATGTTTCCACCCCCATGCTTCACAGTAGGTATGGTGTTCTTTGGATGCAACTCAGCATTCTTTGTCCTCCAAACACGACGAGTTGAGTTTTTACCAAAAAGTTCTATTTTGGTTTCATCTGACCATATGACATTCTCCCAATCCTCATCTGGATCATCCAAATGCACTCTAGCAAACTTCAGACGGGCCTGGACATGTACTGGTTTAAGCAGGGGGACACGTCTGCTCTGCAGGATTTGAGTCCCTGGCGGCTTAGTGTGTTACTGATGGTAGGCTTTGTTACTTTGGTCCCAGCTCTCTGCAGGTCATTCACTAGGTCCCCCTGTGTGGTTCTGGGATTTTTGCTCACCGTTCTTGTGATCATTTTGACCCCACGGAGTGAGATCTTGCGTGGAGCCCCAGATCGAGGGAGATTATCAGTGGTCTTGTATGTCTTCCATTTCCTAATAATTGCTCCCACAGTTGATTTCTTCAAACCAAGCTGCTTACCTATTGCAGATTCAGTCTTCCCAGCCTGTTGCAGGTCTACAATATTGTTTCTGGTGTCCTTTGACAGCTCTTTGGTCATGGCCATAGTGGAGTTTGGAGTGTGACTGTTTGAGGTTGTGGACAGGTGTCTTTTATACTGATAACAAGTTCAAACAGGTGCCATTAATACAGGTAACGAGTGGAGGACAGAGGAGCCTCTTAAAGAAGAAGTTACAGGTCTGTGAGAGCCAGAAATCTTGCTTGTTTGTAGGTGACCAAATACTTATTTTCCACCATAATTTGCAAATAAATTCATTAAAAATCCTACAATGTGATTTTCTGGATTTCTTTTCTCAATTTGTCTGTCATAAATGACGTGTACCTATGATGAAAATTACAGGCCTCTCTCATCTTTTTAAGTGGGAGAACTTGCACAATTGGTGGCTGACTAAATACTTTTTCTCCCCACTGTATATATCTTTTTTGTATTGTTTGTATATCGTTGTGTTTTAAATTGGTGTGATTGTCCTTGTCTGTAATGTTTTGTGTTTTTTTGTGGACTCCAGGAAGAATAGCTGCTGCCTCTGCAAAAGCTAATGGGGATCCAAATAAACAAATAAATAAACCATCAAGGCGTATTGTCTGGACCTCCTCCAGGCATTAATCAAAGGCACAAAGGCTTTTGAACTAACTGTATGGGAATGAATTGTTTTGCTCAGGTTGGGTGGCCTCTAGGTCAGCAAGTTAGTATTTTCAAGGGGATTATGCATGTTCAACAGCTCCACGACCCAAGGTGCTGGCATATAAAATAATGACATGGAGAGAGCTCAACCTCAAAACCAGCCAGAATATATTTTATTAGCTACCAAATTAGGTGATCATCCCAAACGGTTACAACTGAGTCTATCTTCCCGTAAACAGGCCAACGTGATAGCTGTACACTCCTCACCTTTACTGTCTCACAACATTGCATGGGCTTGAGGTAAACTCAAAATGGCCACCACATAGATACCCATATTAAATCAGTTTGGAAAAAATATGCTAAATGTTAATGAACATCTCAAGGCAATTTCTTGTAAAATATAATTACCATCCCATAAGTGTTTCGTCTTAATAACGTAGCTCTCCGGGCGCAGCATGCTAATTCGTAGCCTTTTTTATTTTTCTGTATCATATTGCCTAAGCCTCGTAATTCAGACTTCTAAGTTAAGTTTCCATCCTTCCCTGTGCTTCGAAACAATTTAGCCGCCCGCTGCCATTTCAGCCTCGTTATACGCCAGACAGGGGGGAAATAATTCCAATCCCGCCCAATGGAATAAACTCAATATAATATAATATGAAAATGAGGGTTATAAATGGATTTGCTCCATCGAGTGACTTTTCCTGATTCTCTATTAAGTTTTAATGGGCTACATTGGAAGTGCCTCAGGTTTCCCTGGAATAGTTCCCCTGCCCTTGCTAAACGAAATTGGCCTGGTTACACATTTACAAAAGGCTCTGAAAAGGACAATGTGAAAGGGAAATAGCTAAGCCAAAACCGTATAGTCCGGGTTGGCATGATGGTGTGAAAAGGGTAATGTAAGGCCCAAATTCAACGTCAACAGTCAGCTTTTCATTGTTTCACCTGACTTTTTCAGAGTGATGGCGAACTAACCATTATTTCCTATCTCCCTTTCTCTCTCTCTCCCTCCCGCCCTAACTCTATCCAGTCTCCATCGACTCCATCCGAGAGGTGTGCGAGGGTAAGCAATCCGAGATCTTCCAGCGCTACTCTGAGGGCAGCTTCGACCCGAACTGCTGCTTCAGCCTGTATTATGGCGAGCGCTTGGAGTCCTTGGACCTGGTGTCCAGCACAGGCGAGGAGGCGCGCACCTGGATCACCGGCCTCAAGTACCTGGTGGCAGGCATCAGCGACGAGGACAGCCTGTCCAAGAGGCAGCGCACCCGCGATCAATATCCTTACATGTTAGCCTGTCTCTAGGCAAGGGTTTAGTCATTGGACAGCCGGGACTTATTCATTAGTGCACACTAGCAAAACGTTTTGCAATGGAAAATGAGCATTTGTAATTGGACAGGTTTAGGGAGTCCCTCCCGGTTTCAGTCTGTTTTCTTCCGTTGCCTAATAAATAGGACCCACTGGTCAATTAGATTTCTATTCAGTCAGTGCAGGTCAGGAGAGGAATTGAAATGCCATTTTTGGTGAGGACTTTTCAATACATGAATTGGTTAAGATGATTCTGAGTGTGGATAATTAATAATGATGCTAGCACGCATGCACACACACTAAAGTTCCTTCTCTCTCCCCACACGCAGACTGACACACACACACACACTCTGCCGTGCCGGCATGACAGCGAGGCTGATGTGCTGATAAAAGAAGGGCAAGTGAAGGCTGCCGGAGGCACCTATCACATCATGAATCACATTGTCTTGATCACAGGCGCACACAGACGGTTTGCGTTAAAATTAGACTCAGCTGTGGGGAGTGAGAGCTGTGTGAGAGAGCAAAAGGTTTTGCATTGTTTCACAGTGGTTTGGGCTCTGAACCGCTATTCATCTTAGAGCTACCTTCCCTAAATATTGTGAACCTCCCTAGCTGTAAACTTTCTGTTGCAGACGATACTTGATTAATCGATGAATCAATCAATAAATCAATCAATCAATCAATCAATGTGAACACCTGTGGATAGTTCATAGTTAATGGAACACCAAGACTGCGTTTACACAGGCAAGTACCCGTGTCTGTGCGTGCCTGTGTTTGTGCCCGTGTCTGTGTGTGTGTCCGTGTTTGCATGCACATGTGTGTTATCCATCTTTAACACCTGGTTGATTGGTACGTGGCTGAAGCAGACGTTTTCAGAGGCGGATAAGAACGGCGACGGCAGCCTGAGCATCAGCGAGGTCCTGCAGCTCCTCCATAAGCTCAACGTCAACCTACCCCGCCAGAAAGTTAAGCAGATGTTCAAGGTACACTACAGTCATATTTTAATGTTACTAATAATAATGTAGCTTTTATAGCACTTTGAATTACAAAGAGAATCTCAAAGTGTGTGAGAGAGGGAGGGAGGGAGGGAGGGAGGGAGGGAGAGAGAGAGAGAGAGGGAGGGAGGGATGGGAGGAGGGAGGGAGGGAGGGAGAGAGAGAGAGGACCGCGGGACGTACATCCCGAGCGGACGGCGGCAGGGATCTAGACGAGGGAGACGCTCCTCTCGTATCTAGACTTCGATGAGCTAGATCCGAGAGACTAGATAGAGCTGCGGCGAGACGGCTTGTGAGTTGAGATCGGTTCTCGCTTGATGGCTGGAGGGAGTTTCGGACAGCAGGGCTGTTTAGTGGCCTTTTTTACCAATGTGTGTGTGTCTCATTGGCTTGTTGTGGTAGGGCCACACTACTCTCTAAATGGGGTATAATGAGCAGTCAAACATTCTTACAGACAAGTCTGTCAATGGATTTGGTCCCAAATGGCACCATATTTCCAATATAGTGCACGACTTTTGACCAGAGCCCTAAGCACTACATAGGGAATAGGGTGCCATTCGGGACACAGGCAATGTCAACAGATCAAAGCAATTGATACTATGTGTGTGGATGTTTTGAACCAGTAACTACAAAACCAGAGATGCACTTTCATTTCTGAGATAATATTTGGTGAGAAGATGGTCCGTTTGTTTCCGTTAGTTTTTCTGAATTGAAACTATAAAGCCTAAGCAAACGACAATTACCTTTGATTACTTAGATATCTCGGCTCAGTTTTTGTGTGAATGCACATCCTATTCTCCCTGTACTGTTTAGAAACGACGAGGCAGCTTTTTCTAAATGAGCCAATCATGGTGAATAGAAAGTGCTGTGGCTTTCACGTCTTGATTATTTCACAACTTTAAATTGAGTTCATTCAACAACTTCAGTCAAGAATGTCGCGAAAGTACGCGTTCACACTTGACCTTTTCCAAACCCATTTCTAATGACTCACTCAGTGGTAATGGGGATGTGTCATCATGATGGTTATGACATTTCAGAGAAATTTGTCACAGGAAACTATATAACAGGAAAGGCAATTGCGTCATTCCATTTGATTTCAATCACTTTTTACCCGCACCCCTTTTGATTTGATCAAAACTTACCATACATTGTAGAAGTGGTCAGAAAGTGACATTTTGGACCTGAATGCCAAAACAAAGTTGACCCATTTTGCATACCCCACCATACCATGAGACATCCATGCCTTCATCACTGGAAAATATAAACGGTTTAGTTTGATTATAATTTAAAAGCTTACAAAGAGGGTTTGTCAAACTATTTTATAATTTCTTTAAACAAAAAAAGTGTAATAAAAAAAAGATTTTTCACCTTTAACGTCAATTATCTTAAAACGCGTAAACTCTGATGTTTTACATTTGTGCGTATGTTGTAGCTTCGAACCTATTCTACATAATCTGAGGTGTTTGTGTTGTGCCCGCCATAGGTTGAGACACAGCATGCCTTTGAATACAGGGTGGGTGTCATTTGTGCTGTCAAAAAGTCTGTATAATCAATTTACATATACTGTACAGTGCCTTCAGAAAGTATTCACACCCCTTGACTTTTTCCACATGTTGTTGTGTTACTGCCTGAATGAAACATTTATTAAATTGAGATTTTGTGTCACTGGCCTACACACAATACTCTATAATGTGAAAGTGGAATTGTGTTTGTAGAATCTTTTACAAATTCATAAAAAATGAAAAGTTGAAATGTATTGAGTCAAGTATTCAACCCCTTTGTTATGGCAAGTCTAAATAAGTTCAAGAGTAAATAATAGTGTTTAACATGATTTTTTATCGACTACCTCATCTCTGTACCCCACACATACAATTATCTGTAAGGTCCCCCAGTCGAGCAGTGCATTTCAAACACAGATTCAACTACAAAGACCAGGGAGGTTTTCCAATGCAACGCAAAAAGGGCACCTATTGGTAGATGGGTGAAAAAAGCACATTGAATCTCCCTTTGAGCATAGTGAAATTATTCATTACACTTTGGATGGTGTATCAATACACCCAGTCACTACAAAGATACAGGCGTCATTCCTAACTCAGTTGCCGGAGAGGAAGGAAACCGCTCAGGGATTTCACCTTGAGGCCAAATCTGACTTTAAAACAGTTGCAGAGTTTAATGGCTGTGATAGTAGAAAACTGAGGATGGATCAACAACATTGTAGTTACTCCACAATATTAACATAAATGACAGAGTGAAAAGAAGGAAGCCTGTACAGAATATTCCAAAACTTGCATTCTGTTTGCAATAAGGCACTGAAGTGAAACTGCAAAAAATTTGGCAAAGGAATTCACATTATGTCCTGAATACAAAGCAGTATGTTTCGGGCAAATTCAACACAACACATCACTGAGTACCACTCTTCATATTTTCAAGCATGGTGGTGGCTGCATCATGTTATGGGTGTGCTTGTCATCGGCAAGGACTAGGGAGTGTTTTATTATAAAAAGAAATGGAATATAGGCAAAATCCTAGTGGAAAACCTGGTTCAGTCTGCTTTCCAACAGACAAGGCCAAATCTATACTGGAGTTGCTTACCAAGACGACATTGAATGTTCCTGAGTGGCCTAGTTACAGTTTTGACTTAAATCGGCTTGAGAATCTATGGCAAGACTTGAAAATTGCCAAAATAATGTTAAAATCAGGGGTTGGAACCTAAATTATTTTCCAATATTTCACTATTTTTTCTGTTTCATTACACTGTTCTGACCAGCAAAATAAAGTCCTGAACCGGTTCGAACCCAAAATAAGTACTGGTTTATATAGTTCCTTTCTGTTCCTTTTATTAACCAATGAAATAAACATTATTTTTTTTTTTACATTTAGCTAATCAAATTACTTCACCAATCAGTGCGGCTAGAGCAGGGGCGTGGATCAGCTTGGGAGCTTTAACAGTGTGCAGACTATCTTGTTCGTTACTAGGGGCGTGGATCAGAACACCAGTCAGTATCTGGTGTGACCACCATTTGCCTCATGCAGCGTGACACATCTCCTTCGCATAGAGTTGATCAGGCTGTTGATTGTGGCCTTTGGAAAGTTGTCCCACTCAATGGCTGTGCGAAATTGCTGGATATTGGCGGGAACTGGAACACTCTGTCGTACACGTTGATCCAGAGCATCCCAAACATGCTCAATGGGTGACATGTCTGGTGAGTATGCAGGCCATGGAAGAACTGGGACATGTTCAGCTTCCAGGAATTGTGTACAGATCCTTGCGACATGGGGCCTTGAATTGTTTCTTTTTTTCTTTTTCTTTATGTGTCTTTAGTTGTAGTTCTGTAACCAGGTTTCCATCCTACCCTTTTATGCGAGTGAAGTACATGTCAGATAAATAATGTAATGACAGGCCTGATGGAAACATATTTTGGTAAACTTTCCAAATGTCGACAAAACAAAATACGCTAGACAAGGTGGGATCTTTTGTGTTGGTCAAATGAATAATGCGAGAAATGTCAGTGGGAACGCTTTTATGCGCACATTTCTATATAATAACCATTAGGCTACAGATGAAATAAATTATAATGACTTCACAGGGTGGTGAAGGTGATGAGCTTGATGCTCCTTTCCAATAAATATCAAGGGTGTTATTCTGGTGACATGTAAATCGATGCTTGGCTGCCGTTTGACAAATAAAAATTATCTTGCTCTTTTGTCCATAATAATAATCTCATCATGTAGGCTATACGTGCGCTCTAGCCAACAGCGTGCAGATAGCGCTGTTGGTTAAAGCGCACGGGCCAATACCAGAGTGGGCACACTCGCTATTTAACTCAACATTTTTTGTGTCAGATCCCAGGAAGACTAGCTGTCTCCATTGATGTTGGCTAATCATAAATCATAAAAAGTGGTGGTGCGAAGAACAAGGAAAGTCAAATGGAGATGTAACCCTTGATACATGACCTTTTACTTGGGGTTAGGCTATTAGCTACAAACTCCCAGCCATGACATAGCCTAGTAAAGCCAGAGGGTTCTTTGACAGCATGGCCCTGCTAGGATTAGCGAGTTAGCGTTGTGTTATCGTGTTGTTAGTGTTTTAGCGCTGGTGGCCGTGGCTGATCCTTCACCTCAGCCAAGCCTCACGTCCCACCGAGGGGTCACCCATATGGTGCTCAGGGACGCAGATGGCTTCTGGTGTAATACACAGTAACACGCAGTAAACACACCAGGGACCAATCTGGACGTGTGTTTACGGGACAGTGGACTGGTCTGCTGACTTAACCTGTTTACTCCTGGGAGGAACCTGTGCGTGATTTGCCCTGTTGACTTGACCTAGTAGGAGGATAATAACCAGCGCAAATGCATCTGTTGCTATAATCATTAGTGAACCTCTTTCAATATATATTACAGTATACAGAGTTCATGGCTTGTTAGCACATGATTTTTGGTACATTTGTCTAATCACAACATTGTGTGCAAAGTCATAGATGGCCATGTCAGATAGTCTGTGTTAAATATACAAACATATAAATGCCGCATTGCTGTAATTTTCCAGTTAGCTTTTAAACTCTCATAGACTAGCTCTCATGTCTCAGCTACTGTTTGGGTGCAAATCGTTACTTATATTGTGAGTTCAACATCACTGGCACCGTTAAATGGAACGTAAAAAAGAGAAAGAAAACACCATGTTTGCAATTTTCCAGTAAATATAGCACCTATTGATTCAGTCAATCTGATCGGCGCACCGGCTTATCTTACCTCCACACTCCCCTCTAAGCCCCTTGAGCTCCACACACCGATAGCATCTCCTCCATTCTGCCTCACTATCATCTCATTGTCCTCATTCATTGGTTCCGATTCACTGGGCCTATGAGCAGAGGCCGCTCCGTCGCTTCCAGAACAATCCTTAGGTTGAGTCCCAAATGGCACCCCCATGGGCCCTGGTCAAAAGTAGTGCACTTTATAGAAAACAGGGTGCCATTTGTGTCGCACATTCAGTCTGACCCGTTTAGAAGAACAGGAGCTCTCCAGGTGGCTGGTGCACTCCCTCACCCCACCCCACTCCATGTTAAACTCAATGTTTAAGAAGCGAGTGTGGGTGTGTGGTCAGTTGTCTCTGCCTAGTCATACTGAGAAATAAGTGTCAGCTCCTCTTTTGTGCCAAAGCCCATATCCACTCTGTGACGTTTGTGTGTGTGTGAGAGAGACGTGTGTGTGCGTCAGTGTAGAGCAGGGATATGGCTGGTTGAAAGTTATGAGAACTGGAAGTTTGTGTGTGGGTGTGTGTGTGTGCGTGCGTGCGTGCGTGCGTGTGTGCGTGCGTGCGTGCGTGTGTGCATGCGTCAGACAAAGCAGTTCCAGAGCTGGGAGCTGGCCGGGTATCAGAACTGTATGTGTGTATGTGTTGTGCATGGAGGCCAACCTCCCACCAGCACCCACGTCATCACTCTGCAGTCATGTCCATCTCTAGCAATGCGAGACATATGGAGCTGGCTATACACAAGAAAACCATTTCAACCATGAGTGTTGGCAGGCATGCGGATACCATAACTACAATATGCATGCGCATATTCACACTACATCACCAAAACACAACTTGATATTCCATCTGACTTGTTATCTAACTTAGTGTTGTGGCTGTTAATTGCTGTGCATATTATTCGGGCGAACTTCTAATAATGTGATCCTATACACAACACAGTTCCATTCACAACAACACGTCTAGGTCTAGGATATATAGGCTAGCCACATGATGAATGCAATAACAATCATCCCTGAACTGAATAACTACTGCGGTACACAAGTGGATGTTAGGATTCAACTCTTTGTGTCTAAATGAACTGATATTGCATTGTGACTTCTCTTCTCCCCAGGAGGCAGACACAGATGACAACCAGGGCACCCTGGGCTTCGAGGAGTTCTGCTCCTTCTACAAGATGATGTCGACGCGCCGCGACCTCTACTTGCTCATGCTCACCTACAGCAACCACAAGGACCACCTGGACAGCATCGACCTGACCCGCTTCCTGGAAGTGGAGCAGAAGGTATGCATGAGCAGAGTTGAAGCGTATGCAGGCAGGCTGGCAGGCAGATGGGTACATAGACGCACACATGCATGCTGGCACACACATCCGTGCATGGATACACACACAGGTGCGAGCATGCACGCACACTGGCATATACACACAGAGGTACACACACACACACTGCACATCCCCAGATAATGAAAGGGTATCTATCCATGGGGACATGACTTGGGTTAACTTTTATTTTGTTGGGCCCCTTTAAAGGCCATTGCAGTCAAACCTCTGTTTTTCCAGTGTTTTGTATCATATTGTACAACAGCTGATGTAACTAACACTGTAAACGTGTGAACATTTCCTCATAGTTGCTGGTTGAAAATACAATCTACACAGGACCTTCTAATCAGCAGGTTTGCATGGGCTGGAGTTTCGGCTTACCATGGTGACATCACCAAGCGGTAAATTGGTTAATAGACCAATAACAAAGAGAGTTCCAAACCTCTCTGCCAATAACAGCTAGTTTTCAGTTTCCCCTACCCACTCAGACCACTCCCAGAGAGTCCAAACTAAATTAGTGCTTTAGAATTTTTTGTTGTTGCTAAAAAGCAATATTTGCCCATTTTAATGGAAATCTATTACAGTAAGGTGATTCATTGTTACCCAGAAATTATTTGATATTGATATAAAAACGGCTGCGTTGGGCCTTTAAGGCATTTCTGTGACAGACATTTTTTGTAATGACTGAGGCAAACATCTGAAGATTTGAGTCTCAATAATGGTTAGCAACATGTTAATGGTTAGCAACATGTTAATGGTTAGCAACATGTTAATGGTTAGCAACATGTTAATGGTTAGCAACATGTTAATGGTTAGCAACATGTTAATGGTTAGCAACATGTTAATGGTTAGCAACATGTTAATGGTTAGCAACATGTTAATGGTTAGCAACATGTTAATGGTTAGCAACATGTTAATGGTTAGCAACATGATGCACTTGTCGGACAAATGTATAGTTTTTTCCCCTCTCCTGCCTGTTTCCATGTGTCAAAAATATTCCTGTCAACAGATTAGGGACAAAAGCACAGGATATTACTGTTGAATTGCAGTGAAAATCTCAGTTTGACATTCTGACACTCCAAGCCTTGACAAAGACGTTTCAACCGTTAAGGGACCGATCGAAATTTACTGGGGGGGGGGGGAGGGGCTGGTTCAACTCAAGGTGTCATAAAAAAGAAATGCCACCCCCTCCCCAATGTTACAAATATTTTCAGATGACCCTCCCCTTGTACAGTAAAATAAATTGAATACCCTCCCCCCTCATAGAATTAACTCAAAATAATGTCTACGACCACAAATAACAATAACTGTAGCGAGCCTGTGTTTAGAAATGTGGATATTGACTTTGCCACTTCAGAACTATAGGCAAGAAGGTTAGGGGTTCGCCGACCAACACAGACGAGGTCACTCTCCCTGCCTGTTTCATTACACTACGATCAGAGCCGGCTGCAGATAATGATCAGCTAGGGTGAAATCAGATTTTCAACATTTTGATGCCATATTTCTAATTATATAAAATATAAGCAATTAATTTTCCACCAACAGGTTTCTGTGCCAATGCACCACACAACCAATCTACAAAGCATACCGACTTTGGGAAATTCAATATCATGGTTTGTGTTTTTAACACCACAATAAATAAACTATGTCAATCTTGACAAAAATTGGCCCGCTGCACAGTTTGGATTAATTGATTGATAAAAAAAATGTGTCAGTTAAACAAAATACATGTATACACAAAGATGTTTTAAAGTGACAGGGATTGCACAATAAAGTCGGGGACTTATTTCCATTGTGGTCACTATTTTTTATATAAATACATCTACAATTACATAGATGAGTACGAGGGGGGAGTTTAAATTAAATTCACACAAGCTTGTGTAGCTGGTAGCTTATTCTTTAGATGTTTGGGGCTGCTGGTGAACCATGATGTGCAGGCATAATCAAAGTGACACTGGACTAGCTCACTAGCTAGGTTTCCAGCCAATTGGCAACAGATTTTCATGCGAATATTCTAAAATCGTCATAAAAACAATATGCAATTTCAGAGTTTTCTTTCGAAAAATCGACAACGAAGATTTTAATTTACCCGGACATTTGAGAAATTTACTGGACATCCATATGCATTCAGGTCCGACCTGGCGCAGCCAGCACCATCAATAAACAAGGGATATTGGCCAAATGAGTCACATTTACGTGTCCTTAAAAACAGCCTATAACAAATTACAAAAATACTATTCCTTGTGTCTCAATGTGTAGTATATGCAACATTTTATAGCCTTTAAAAATAGCCGTACAGAAGAAGGCTAATTTGTTCATTTTCAATCAGAATATTTTGTATAAAGATAAGCATTATATTGTTAGATTATAGGAGTAACTCTGGTAGGCCTGAAACAGTCTTCCTCAACTCAAGTTCAACTATCGGAGTCCTTTGGAGCGCCGGAGCGCACTGCCTTCATATCATAGGCCTGCAGTAGCTAAAGCTTAATAATAGCCACACCGTACCAAACCTTTACAAACGTTTCTAAACTTTATTAGGGTAATATCAAAAGTAAGTCAAGCCATTGTTTATAGGGAAAATATGAGCAAAAGAGCGAATGTAAACCAAGGAAAAAAGGCACTACCCTTCCCTGTGCCCAATAAAAAACCACACTACCCTCCCATATAATGGACCCACCCCTCCCCCCCAGTGAATTTGTATCTGTCCCTAACTGGATAGAATAGACAATTGATTGAAAAACACCACAATCACTATTGTATACATGCATCCCATTTGGGTGGTGTGCTTCATGGCGATATTGTAACAGAGCCAATATAGCCTTATCTACAGTATAGAATGCTCAGCTAATCAATGGGGAAAGCTTCAGCAAGTTAGAGAAGTTGGTGTTTTTGCTGACACCCCACTTAGCCCACTAGCTAACTAAATGGGGATGTATCTTCCCCCGTGAGTCACCCCGTAGAGACCCCGCTAGGTGACAGACAGTCGTTTAATGGATTTGCCATTGGGTTCTGAAGCAAATGCTTAATAGCAGTGCTTAATTGCAGACACATGCCCCTACAAGGCTATTAGAATTAGCAGTATCACTTCAAATGAACTTCTAAAGGCTTCAGGGGATAACATTTCATATGGTTCTGCTGTGAAAAAGAGACAGAAAAAAGAAAAGGAGCGGTAATTAATGAGTTGGCTCAATGCGCTTTATAACGTGTGCTTTTTCGGCTAATGCAGTCAGCAGAACAAACCGTGGAGAAAATGGGCTTTTGAAAAAGGACATTGTGTCCAACGCGTCATATTTTTGGGGCACGGAATTGGATGTTCCACTACTCCCTACTTCATCGGGGAGCATTGAGGCGGTTTTGCGAGGTGATTTATTTTAAACGGAGCAAGGATGCAGCTGGGCTGTCTCTAGCTCTTCTCTCCTCTCTGCTGGCGTCATTAGCTACAGCCTCTCCTCAGTTTCTCATTTTAACTGTGTTTACTAGCTCTCTCTTGCAGTGTGTGTGTGTGTGTGTGTGTGTGTGTGTGTTTCAAGTTTTGAGTCGTATGTACTGGATACTCATGGTATCAGTGGCGGTCAGAGCCGTTTAAGTTGAGGAAGGACAATGGATATTGGATGACTGGAGCATGGATATTTTTATTTCTATTACAGCATATTGGATGACTGTCATTCATATTCCATTCACCCAGTTCAATGTAACAGCGATAGGTTTAGGCTACTACATGATACTCTAATTTTCCCTATAACCATCATGAGGCTGCTACAACCGAGCCTATGAATGAAAGATTACAACGTACAGTACCAGTCAAAAGTTTGGATACACCTACTCATTCAAGGGTTTTTCTTTATTTTAACTATTTTCTACATTGTAAAATAATAGTGAAGACATCAAAACTATGAAATAACACATATGGAATCATGTAGTAACCACAAAAGTGTTAAACAAATCAAAATATATTTTATATCTTCAAATAGCCACCCTTTGCCTTGATGACAGCTTTGCACACTCTTGGCATTCTCTCAACCAGCTTCACCTGGAATGCTTTTCCAACAGTCTTGAAGTAGTTCCCACATATGCTGAGCACTTGTTGGCTGCTTTTCCTTCACTCTGCCGTCCGACTCATCCCAAACCATCTCAATTGGGTTGAGGTCGGGGGATTGTGGAGGCCAGGTCATCTGATACAGCACTCCATCACTCTCCTTCTTGGTAAAATAGCCCTTACACAGCCTGGAGGTGTGTTGGGTCATTGTCCTGTTAAAAAACAAACGATAGTCCCACTAAGCCCAAACCAGATGAGAAGGTGTATCGCTGCAGAATGCTGTGGTAGCCATGCTGGTTAAGTGTGCCTTGAATTCTAAATAAATCACAGACAGTGTCACCAGCAAAGCACCCCCACACCTCCTCCTCCATGCTTTGCGGTGGGAACCACACATGCAGAGATCATCCGTTCACCCACGCCGCGTCTCACAAAGACACGGCGGTTGGAACCAAAAATCACGCGTAAACACAGTTCACATTCATTGCAGCCACGTTGTATTCCTTCTCGCATCTATGCACTCTCCTCCTCTCACCTTTTCCCTTCGTTTGTGGACTTCAATGCACAACACATCAGCTGTATGTGACCAAGCGAAAAAACCTTTCCAAGCCAAACCAATACATAACTGCTACACACAGCCTACATCGTTGTCACCATATTAGCTAAAGTAACGTTATAGTCAACCAGTGGAGGCTCCTCGTGGTATACACTGTTCAATGAAATGCTTACTTGCAGGTTCCTTCTCTACAAAAGCCACATCCCTGATTGGCAGATGAGTGGCAACCCTGATTAGAAGCACCTGCTGCTCATCGGTTGTTCTTTACAAATGCAGTTTGAATTAAAATAAAATGGTACCTACACACCGAAGAAGGCTGTAAAGCTGAAACATTTGTGTATGCTATCCCTGATGCAGTGAAGAAAAAGGAATAATGACGTAAGCCTTATGCGACATCTCTTTTAGTGCGAACCCATTACACCCTTTGTTTGTCCTTCTCTACAATGCAATAACAATAAGAAATAAGAAAATATAAGAATATGAACGTAAAGTAAATGGCTTAATAGAATAGAATAAACATTTTAGCATCAGTATAATACAGGAAGGCACAATTTATAGTGCAATATTTACATGTGTTTTGGGGAAGGGGGGGGTTGGGAGCAAGTTGAAATTGTGCCGTATTTAGCAATAATAATAAGAGTCTAGTAGCAGTAGTTGTGATGTGTCTGTGTGTGTGTGTGAATGAATTATTGTATATCTGTGTGGGTGTGCGTGAGTGCATGTGTGCTAAGGTGGTCAGTCCAGTTCAAGTGTTCAGCAGTCTGATGGCTTGTAGATAGAAACTGTCTCTGAGCCTGTTGGTATCAGACCATATGCTCCGATAAGGTCTGCCGGACGGTAAGGGAGTGAACAGCTCGTGGCTGGAGTGTATGGGGTCGTTGATGATGCTTCCGGCCTTCATCAGGCAACGTTTTGTGTGTGTGGTGTGTATTAACTCTCCCATCTCTGCCTCAATACCATTGCCCAAAATGTGTCCGCTCTACACACTCGTTAGCCAAACCCATTTATTCACATTTACCCACTTCTTAAAAAATCCCCAAACCTCTCATGATGAGGCATTGGGAATCTGAGCAAAACCACAGTCAGAAAGCAGTTTGATGTCAAATCCCTCATGTTTGAGAGTGAGCAGTTGAAAATGTCACAACAGAAGGGAGAATTAGCGTTTTCGCTGGCTAGCTTCTCATTCTGTGGTCGAAATCCTGTTTACCCTTTCAACAAGTAGACCAAGCTACTTAGCCAAAGCCTCTCTTTCCCAGTGCTAAGTGCTAACCACAAACATATTGACCTAGTAGTGTGCAGCCCTGTACTGGGAAAAAACCTGGCACTGGGACAAAGTCTGTTTCTTCATCAACTTCCCCCACCCCCCACCCATTTTGGAACGGCCTGACGATGATCGACATGGATGGGAATCTGATCGACCAGTCAGCCGGTTTAAAAGGGACAGCTGTTGGGTGGACAATCGGATTCCAGCACAGGGATGGGGGGCAGAAGCCGCATGTGAGGACATCTCCTAATTGGATTAACAGGACTTCATCAACTCTCCCAACGTTTACTGTTATGGAGGGGGGATTTGAGGAGACGTAGTAAATTATGGGTACTGTAGTCAATCTGCGTTTCTTACTGTTTTCTTATTATGTGTTTGTTTTTGTCTTTTTCTGTTTTGTAGATGACCAAGGTGACCAAAGACCATTGCCTAGAGATTGTAAACAAATTTGAGCCCTGCCCCGAGAACCAGAAGCAGGGAGTTCTGGGTATTGATGGTAAGAGCTCTCTTATTGGTCCCTTTCTCGATTGTCCTTTTATCAGTCAAATGTTGAATGTCTCACCATACTCTGAAATTGAGCTTTTCTAACAGCCTAGTCATATAGACTCCCTGAAACCCCCCCCCAGTGATTATACAAACAAAAATGTGTTTATTGTTCATCTCTAGAAAATCCAAATAGTTTAGAAGTATTGTATAAAAAGAATGGATGCATGAAATGTTGGTTCGAATCAGTCTGTAGTCATTGATTTTTTTTGGATCTGTCCCTGAACCCACATACATACTCTGAGCATTATCTGAACTTTTAGTGAGCGAGTACTTAACATCTGTGTAATGTCAGTTTGAATACAACATCTACAGACCACATGAATATATCTCTATAATATCAACGTCATCACCTCTCTCTATTCAGAATACATCTACTATTGTTACAGTATATCCCCATAAGGAAATCCCTCTAGGAACTCACCATAGTCAAATCACTTGGCAGCATTCCGCTCAAAATATTCTCACTCATGTCAAAATGCCCCCCCGCCCCCCGCCGAGATCCAATTTCATGTTCAACACATCTGCCCCTTTCCCCTAAATCCCACCCCTGTCTACAACATCTCTCCAACACATCATGATTGATGGCTCCCATGTGGTCCTCTTCAGGGTTGCATTCACTAGGCACCAAAGGAACGAAAATGGACTGAAACGGGGAGGGGACTACCTGGACTTGTCCAGTAAGGAACGCTCATTTTCGTTTTCAGTTGCAAAATGTTAAAAAACATTTTCTGTTTGCATGTGACCCAGGTTTCACCAGCTACATGCGCAGCCCGGCGGGGGACATCTTCAACCCGGAGCACTACGAGGTGACCCAAGACATGTCGCAGCCGCTCTGCAACTACTTCATCGCCTCCTCCCACAACACCTACCTGATGGGCGACCAGCTCATGTCCCAGTCCCGCGTCGACATGTACGCCTGGGTGCTGCAGGCCGGCTGCCGCTGCGTTGAAGGTCAGTGGAAGACGCCGTTCTCTCCATCATGAGCACGCACACAGACACACACAGACACACAAACATTTGTGTGTAAAGAAGCACATGCAAGCAAACACATGCACCCAAATACATGTTTGCAAGAAAGCATGTACCCGTGCACATACACGGACAGGTTACATACGGTGTTACAAATATTCGCTATGTCTATCATAACAGTCAGTGAATGTAATGGGTCCCTAGTAAGTAAAAGAGCATGGCTAACACAGGGCCATTCACTGGCTTTGAGTGCCCTTCCCTTCTCATGGTCGCTCCTCTCGTTCCCCCCTTTCTATTCATTCCCCTCCACTGAAGTGGACTGCTGGGACGGGCAGGACGGAGAGCCCATCGTGCACCACGGCTACACGCTCACCTCCAAGATCCTCTTCAAAGACGTCATCGAGACCATCAACAAGTACGCCTTTGTGAAAAACGAGTAAGTGTGTCGCTGCTTTTTAATATCATCTCTTTCTCTCATCTCCTTTTGCCCAAAGACATCTCAGCTAGTTTCCCAGGTTTCAACTCCCTGACAGAAAGTGGGACTTGGTGGGAAAAATCACCATATTTTTTTATGGCACATGGAAAATGAGGTTCTGAGACATTGGCTCACACATAATCTCAATTCACAACTCTCTTTTATGCCATGTCATTCATCCTGAGCCTATATAGGCGAATGCGAGGGAATGAGGCGTTGAATTCAATTGCCGTCAGTATGGTGTTTCATGAGATATGGGTCTGATGAGAGCTTTTTGTCATGCACGCCATAGCGAGCCTAACAACATTGTGCATCCATGTTAATGGTTGCAGTATGACATTCAGATGTAGCCTACTTTACCTTAGGGTTTCACATATGCTTCAGATATGTAATGCATTAGATACACCTATGAACAAGGCTCATGGTTAAAAATCATTTTTTTATTGAATTATTATAGTCATTTATAAATCACAAACAATTCAAGATAATTTTCTCTGAATATTCCTAATACAAATTGGTGGTTCTCAGTGACTCAGTCTCTATCATTTAATAGCTTTTCTTGAACAAAGCAAGCGTACAAATTGATGCTCCGCTAGAATGAAATCTATCATAGACTACACAATGAGTCCCTGGGATCGTAGTTGAAAGGCACTGCTCGACGATGCAGTGCATTGCTTTGAGTAGTGCCCATAGCAATTGCAGTCGACCCCACACACATGTTTTTGAGGACAGAACAGGGAACGTCGGCGACCATCATGTCTTGGGTTGTGATGGGCTGTGTTGTGTGCCTTAGTAGACAGAGATATGTAGGCTAGACACTCCTACAGGCTTACTGGAGCAAGTGAGTGTTTCTCCATGACCTGCTCTCACATACACACATGATCAGAGATGCAACGCTACTGAAGGTGATAATCCTTTCAAGATGCACGCGAGTCTGTCAGGGTGTCAGTGTGATGCGGTAGGACAAAGTCAGGCGCAGGACACAGAGCTAATCGAAAACGTACTTTACTCGTAGGTAACGTAAATAACATAACCTCCACGCAGGGAGGAAACAAACCCGCTCACCAGACGACAACCAAACATGAACAAACACGCACAACATACAGTGGGAGCCAGAGGGTTGAATAGGGAAATAATCAATACCTAATGGGAGTGAACAATAAAGACAAGACAAGTAGAACACAGAAACATAGATCGGTAGCAGCTAGTACTCCGGTGACGACGAACGCCGAAGCCTGCCCGAGCAAGGAGGAGGAGCAGCCTCGGCTGAATCCTTGACAGAGTCTGCATGCATATTTGTGTGTTCTTTAGTGCAAGACTATATATGCACTGCATTTTGTAGATAATTGCTTGAACAGCAAGGAATGTATTCAACTTCTATGGCACTGCCTTGGCAATGGTTTATCACTAATGAGACAGTTGATGACAAAGACACAGTACAGCCATAGGTTTTCAGTTTGTAATTAGAGTTTCATTCCAATGTCATCACCTTCAACCCTCTGAAATTTGATTTTGAAGTGCCTCAGAAAATTACAACATTCTTTGATGTATAACAATATATAGATCCATGGCTTTATCTCTGGCTGTACCCAAGTATTTGTCCTCAAGTCTCAGATATTGTGATAACCCATGTCTGTCCCTGTCTCTGTCAGCTACCCAGTGATCCTGTCCATAGAGAACCACTGCAGCGTCCCCCAGCAGAAGAAGATGGCCCAGTACCTGGTGGAGGTGATGGGAGACAAGCTGGACCTCTCAGCCGTCAAGGCAGACGAACAGGGCCACCTGCCCTCCCCAGACACCCTCAAAGGGAAGATCCTCGTCAAGGTAAACACTTTGCATGCGCATATTCACACATGCACAGATACACACAGACACACAAACATAAGTATTATTCTTAGCAGCCAGTCATAGACCAGGGGTCTCTCCACCCTCGCTCCCAGAGAGGAGATCTACTTGGTGTTCAGGTTTTTGTTTCTTCCAGCAGTAATACACCTGATACAGCGAATTGTGGATCTGCAGACTATTGAAATAGAAGCCTTGGTTGGAACAAATGCCTGCAGGCTTGGACACTACCCTTGTAACATCATAGAAAGGGAGGAATATTGACAAAAGCAATACATCATATAAGAAACAAGTAAATGAATTTGTAAAAAGGTGAGGCGCCTGAGTTCCTTCCTTCTCTGCTCTATAAATGGAGTTGGAAATTGTTCAACCTGTAGCTGACTCTAGGCACATCAGGCAGCTATGGGTCAAAGGGCAATCCTAGCGCTAGTTACCACACTGTTCTAAATACAGCCTCCACTCCGCACGTTTCCCCGGACAGACAGTCTCATTAGTGGGGAAGTTTACAAATCACTCTGATTTGGCCCTAGTGGGTCTTTGATAGTAGTCCTCTCCTTCATGCCCTCTGACCATGAAAGGACATAACCGGCCAAATCAATATGGCCGACAGCTATCCAGCTTTTTTCTTTTCATCATAACTAAAGAAAGGCGACAACGAGAGGAAACCTTTTAAGAGTGCTAAGACACATGTCTGTAACAAACTGAGTTGCCTCCATCAACTCGACATTATCAGACAAGACAGAACAGCCAGTTTTTTAGGTTAAGGAGAGTTTATTGATGCCAGGTGCTTTAGTGGAAGACGGTCCAGTTCCAAGGCCTGGCTGGCGTTCGCATCACACTGCCATGTGGCAGCTGTCCAGTACATTTACATTTTAGTCATTTAGAGCTGCATGTGATTGTACTGTAACGTCACTCCTACATGATCGTTTGGAACTGGCTGAGGGGATGGATTTTCACAGTGGATTTGCAGTCTCATTTGATTGTGGATTGTTATAGTTTTGTCTGGGTTTCAATGAACTGTCAACAGTGTGTGGGTGTGTGCGTGTGTGCGCCCCCGAAAGAGACCGCTTCTTATGATGGTTCTAAAACGTTGCATACCAGATGCACACTGCCATGTTTAACACTTAAAGGAAAACTCCACCCAAATTATTTTATCATACCGGCTGTACTTCTGTATTTTGAAAGTTATATATCTTGAAAACTTGATTGCTGACATGCAAAACGTTTTGGAACTATATCAACAATGGACTAATGAAACAAATACCAAAATATAGTTTTTGGGTGGATTTAACTCATTCCACTCCACTCACAACCTGCACAATGCTCACGAAACAGCCATAGCTCCTTTACTGATTTTCGATTAGTGCTGACGGCAGAACAGAAGCCGCGCGGCTCTCCATTGATAGTAATATCACAGCCTCGGACCTAGTTATTGAAGATGATTGCTGCTGAGAAAATCAGACAAACATCCCCTCGTTGAACCTTGGAAAACCGGCGACCGGCAAGATCGAGACCAATCCTTTACTGCTGTATCGATCTGTCACGATCGTCGGATATAGAGGACCAAGGCGCAGCGTGGAAGGTGAACATACTTATTTATTAAATGATACACGAACAAAACAACAAATCGATACGTGACGTCCACAGGTGCAAAACACAAACCAACACGGAACAAGATCCCACCAACACTGTGGGAAAAACCACCTGACTAAATATGGTTCCCAATCAGAGACAACCAGCAACAGCTGATACTCGTTGCCTCTGATTGAGAACCACTCTGGCCAACATAGATATACAAACACTAGACTAAACACAACGAGCACAAAACATAAACTCTACACACCCTGGCTCAACTTAAAAGAGTCCCTAGAGCCAGGGCGTGACACGATCCCTGACATTTTCACCCGTCTATCCAGCAGCTGTAGCTGTTACGGCTGTTACGCCTTCAGCACTCAGGAGGAAAGCCTAATGGTTTAGATTGGGGAAATATTGTGTAAAGCCATCATGCAAAGAGCTATATCCTTTAAGACACACCATGTTAATAGCACTCAGCACCTCTGAGCAATAACAACCCATTTAGTGTTTACACTGAATTAGACAGTATTATGATATTAATATCTAGTTCAACCTAAAAAGTAACATTCAAACCCGAACTGAGCCCCACACTGGCATACAGTGAGGGAAAAAAGTATTTGATCCCCTGCTGATTTTGTACTTTTGCCCACTGACAAAGACATGATCAGTCTATAATTTTAATGTCCCTGACATCCTTGGAGAGCTCTTTGGTCTTGGCCATGGTGGAGAGTTTGGAATCTGATTGACTGATTGCTTCTGTGGACAGGTGTCTTTTATACAGGTAACAAGCTGAGATTAGGAGCACTCCCTTTAGGAGTGTGCTCCTAATCTCAGCTCGTTACCTGTATAAAAGACACCTGGGAGCCAGAAATCTTTCTGATTGAGAGGGGGTCAAATACTTATTTCCCTCATTAAAATGCAAATCAATTTATAACACTTTTGACATGCGTTTTTCTGGATTTTGTTGTTGTTATTCTGTCTCTCACTGTTCAAATAAACCTACCATTAAAATTATAGACTGATCATTTCTTTGTCAGTGGGCAAACGTACAAAATCAGCAGGGGATCAAATACATTTTTCCCTCACTGTACACATAAAAAGGCCATAGAATGGAGTACAGGTCAGTTTTGTTTACCCATCCCTAATGGTTAAGGTAGAGTATTGAGGAGGGTTACATGATTCTAGACCTGTCCCTAAGGGTAACTTCTACCCAGAAACTCATGAAATGGTGCTACTTGGTTCTGTTCAATAGGGCACACAATCGAAAAACAATTTGCAACGAAAATCTGTAAATGTGTGACTCTTATTGATCCTGTTCAGGTATTCCATCCCTCATTCAGAATATTTTTCTTCCGTTCGGTGCCTAATAAATATTAATGCCACTTTTGTCCGCCAGGGCAAGAAGCTCCCGCCGAACATCGACGAAGACAATGAGGAGGGTGACGTGACGGACGAAGACAGTGCTGACGAGATGGAGGACGACTGCAAACTGATAAATGGAGATGTAAGGGCCCCACCCCTCCTCCTCCTCCTCCCTCCATTTACCCATTTGAATCCCTCCATCTCTGCGGTCGATCTATTCTATATTGTATTTTCAGTCTGTTTTATTTCTATATAATATATAGCAGACTGAAAATACTGAAAATAATACAATGTACAATACAGACTGAAATATACTATATTGTATATTGCGCTGGATGTTGTTTGTTGCTAATTGGAGTGTAGAAACTACCCGAGTATGTTTTTCGCTGTTTTTATTGTATCATTATCTGTGCTGGTAAATGTGCGTGCGTGATTGTGTGCATGCGCGCGCGTGTACGTGCATGTTTATGTCAGGGATAAGCTTTCCGTTCCTGTTTGTAGTTGATGAATGATGTCTCAATTAGTTAGTTAGTCGGTGTCCGTTGGGGCCCCCTCCTCATGTCTCGTCTTCTCTGTCAGAAAGCTCTGTTGTTTCCCTCTGTGTACCTACCTCTCCCTCTCTATCCTTTCATTGTCATCCATGCATTCTGAAGTGGAAGGTACTATAAAACGTGATCATTCTCAGACTTCTTTAAACATCACCCCACCCCAATCATATCCTGTTTAACATACATATGTGCACACTACACCTGTGACTCTGCTGTCCAATGCCAGTGCCGAGGTATTTATGAAACCATAGAAATAGAATCCTTAGAAGGGACATAGAACCTATGGAATTCTATTTTTGTATGAAACCTTGGTCAAAGTGAGAAGCTTTACCGTGACCAATGGTGGCATGTTTTTAGGATACGTCACAATATATCTCAATGGTTGCTTCTCCTCGTCTCCTCTCCTTCCTCACTGATATGACAAGATAGTTGCCATTAAGCCCTTTCCAGTTAGTAGTCCTGAAGGGAAAAAATTGAAAATATGTGCTAAATGGTATATATATTATGTGGAATGGAAACAATTTAAGACTACTTGGATATTATAGCTATTGGCTATGTACATCTCTTTTGATAAAAAAAAGGCTGAAACTTGCTAGTTACTTGCATCTCAGGATGTTGTCTATGTACATGTTGAGAGTGATGACAGGAGTTTGTTTGTGGTATAACTCTCCCATCTAGTGGTAGAAGCATGCAAGTGATTTCACGTCCAACTTCCATAGTGCTCTCATTTCACCCTATACGCTGAGTATACAAAACATTTCCATAACATAGACTGACCAGGTGAAAGCTATGATCCCTTATTGATGTCACTTAAATCCACTTCAGTTAGTGTAGATGAAGGGGAGGAGACAGGTTAAAGAAAGATTTTTAAGCCTTGAGACATTTGAGACATGGATTGTGTATGTGTGCCATTCAGAGGGTGAATGGGCAAGACAAAATATTTAAGTGCCTTTGAATGGGGTATGGTAGTAGGTACCAGGTGCACCAGTTTGAATGTGTCAAGAACTGCAACACTGCTGGATTTTTCACGCTCAACAGTTTCCCGTGTGTATCAAGAATGGTCCTTCACCCAAAGACATCCAGCCAACTTGACACAACTGTGGGAAGCATTGGAGTCAACATGGGACAGCATCCCTGTGGAACACTTTCGACACCTTGTAGTCCATGCCACGACGAATTGAGGCTGTTCTGAGGACAAAAGGGGGGGTGCAACTCATTATTAGGAAGGTGTTCCTAGTGTTTTGTATACTGAGTGTACATTACATTACAATGAACAGTAATAAATTTACATTTTAGTCATTTAGCAGACGCTCTTATCCAGAGCGACTTACAGTTAGCTAGTTCATTTTGTCTTCCTGCAGACCCACCTGAAGTGTTCTTTGTCTTTGGATATTGGTTAGTGTGTGTATGCAGTGTTCTATATGTTTGCATATTGGTTAGTGTGTGTATGAAGTGTTCTATATGTTTGCATATTGGTTACTATGTTTGTGAAGGCTCTTGACTGGCTCTGGATGCCAAGGCCAGCAGGGTGACACTGTATACCTCTGTCTTGTCTCCTCTCAGGATGAGGGGCTCACACACCTGCACCACCTCATTCGGCTTAAGGCCACTAGGAGGAGTCCAGGATTGCACACAAAATAGTTTGAATCCAATATCCATGTCGTCAGTGCTCATGGAATTGTTACTTTACTCTTTATCAAATAGTACATATCAGTAAATTACATGTGGCTGAAAGTCACTCTGCATATTGTCATATAAAACTAATCTCATTCTCAACCAATGGAATAGTCATGTTATATGCTGAAATATTCAGTGGTTTTAAATGGCACCCTGTTCCCTATAGTGCTCAAATTTTGGCCTGAGATTCAAAAAGCATTTGTATCTACAAAAGGTTTTGTCTACAGTAGTGAACCTATTGTCTTTTCTCCATCTGTTGCTGACATATTGCATAACCATTGAACCAACCATTTCATTTGTCAATCAGAACAAAAAGAAATCATATTTCTTTGTTGCAATATGTGGTTGTATGGTTGTACTTACACCTGGTAATGCTCTCCGCAAAACAAATCTGAGGCAAAACCACACCGGACGTCACATAACCATTTCTTCTCCCCAACCTCGTCCCTCCCTCCCCTTCTCTCTTTCTCTCCCTCCTTCCCCCTCACTCTCTCTCCCCCATCCCATCCCTCCCCCTTCTCCCTCACAGACATCCATGACCAGGAAGCAGGTAGAGAACGTGGCTAAGAAGAAGCTAGACAACCTGATGAAGGAGTCTAAGATCCGCGACCGGGAGGACCCAGACAGCTTCACCGTCGCCGCCCTGCCCCCCTCGGGGAAGCCCACTGATCAGTCAGCCTCCAAGGTAACAACCACGGCTCTGTAGACTAGACCTGGGTTCAAATTCTATACTTTGAGTGTTTGCTTTAACCTGCCAGGAGTGGTTTGCACTTTTGAGACTTTTCTATTGGTTCCATTGCAACAGGCATGCTCAATCAAGCACACATCCACTATTTAAAATGATTTCAAATAGTATTTGAACTCCCAGGTCTGTTGTAGACAGTGAAGAAATGTAGGCTACCGCACGCACACCCAAGGGCCTCCACACACTGATTCTGTCAGGGTTATACTACCACTGTAAGTAATATAAAGGGACATTTCGTTAAGTACCACTGTAAGCCTGAGAAGCAACACTTGTATTCTGGGAAAACGCTTTCGTTTTCGCTGAGACAATTGTTCTGTCCCTCCCCTCTCTCTTATCGCAGAGTTGCCCATTATTAGTAGCATGTTTCATTAGCATTGTAATTGAGCCCTCTCTCTCCTAGAAGAGAGAGAGAGAGAGAGCGAGCAGAGAGAGAGAGAGAGAGAGACGAGAGAGCAGAGAGGGAGAGCGAAGAGAGGAGGGGGGAGCGAGAGAAGAGGGAAGAGGGGGGCGCGAAACGAGGAGATAGAGGGACGAGAGAGATCGGAGCTCATAGCGCTCTCTCTCGCTAGCTATCTCTCTCTCTCTCTCTACTCTCTCTCTCCTATCTCTCTCTCGATCTCATCTCTTCGTCTCTCTCTCTCGCTCTCCCTAATCATGATAAACATTAAGTAGCGTGGCCTAGCAGCAGCGGAGCGGCTATGGCTGATTGAGGAGGCAGTGCCTCCTACCCAGGGTGCCTAATGCAAGAAACCATACACACATATACACACACGCACACATGCAAGCAACCACACATGCATATATACACACACACACACAAGCCAAACGTGAATCAATTTCAATAAGGAGGACATTAGCATTCAAATGAGTCGCATTGCTTATGTGAAGACAATAAACGTGGTGAAGAAAATAGGTGTGTGTGTGTGTGTGTGTGTGTGTGTGTGTCTTTATACATGTTTTAGAATGCCTCTACAAGTTATTGTCCATTGAAAGTGGGACCGGAAACATATCAGTTTGGAACTGAACAGGTGTCTTTGTGTGGCTGTTGAGCAACAAAACATGTGTAAAGGAGATGCTGAATTTTGTGTGTCTGTGTGCTCCTTCTCTTCCAGGGCAAAGGTGATGATGATGCAGACACAGGGGACGAAGCCAGCCCCAGCACCAACAAGCGTCTAGCCAGGACCTTCATGGGCAGCTTCACCAACCGCAAGGTGGGCTTCATTTGCCACCCCACCACCTCTCCCTCACTCTCTCCTCTCCTGTCCACCTTCCCGGTGCATTTTTCTGGGGTCGTGTTCAGTAGGCCACAACATAGCGAAATGTTTTGATTCAACAGAATGTTACAGTACTGATGGAAAACACTTGGAGCAGAGGTGCTACCATACCAACTGAAGTTGTCTAATAAGAATGCTCATGTTAGTTTCTACCGTTTAGAAGCTTTTTGAAGCGTTTCTGTTTTCTACCTACTAAACACGACCCTGGTCTCCACTCCTGTCCTTAATTCCTGTTGTTATCTCAACATGTTTGAATTTACCACTAACCCCAGCTTCTCGTTTCATCCCATTCCATTTCATTAGTCTTTTGAGGAATGTCAGGTCAGGATCATGTCCCATCTAAAACATGTCCATTTAGAGTTTGAAATCGCATCCTACACCTTATATCAGGGGTTGGCAACAGGCGGCCCGCAGGCCAAAACCGGAACACAAGTGATTTTTTTTGGCCGCCCCAAAGTTTCTAGTAAAAAAATATGTACACTGAGTGTACAAAACATTAGGAACAGCTTCCTAATATTGAGTTGCACCCACTTTTGCCCTCAGAACAGCCTCAACTCATCGGGGCATGGATTACAAGGTGTCGAAAGCGTTTCACAGGGATGCTGGCCTATGTTGACTCCAATGCTTCCCACAGTTGTGTCAAGTTGGCTGGATGTCCTTTGGGTTGTGGACCATTCTTAATACACATTGGAAACTGTTGAGCGTGAAAAACCCAGCAGCGTTGCAGTTCTTGTCACATTCAAACTGGTGCGCCTGGCACCTACTACCATACCCCATTCAAAGACACTTAAACCTTTTGTCTTGCCCATTCACCCTCTGAATGGCACACATACACAATCCATGTCTCAATTGTCTCAAGGCTTAAAAATCCTTCTTTAACCTGTCTCCTTCCCTTCATCTAAACTGATTAAAATGGTCAGTCTATGTCATGGAAAGAGCAGGTGTTCCAAATGTTTTGTACACTCAGTGTATATATTAGTTTGGGTCAAAAAATGCTGTAAAATCACCAGGAATTCAGCAAAAAAATTGTTTATTTAGGAAATCTGTTCCCAAGTATTCTATGAATAATAAAGAGATCGTGTCTCAATTTAATCAAGGTATGAAATTATTGTTATTTTCAAATACAATCTATTTTTGGGCTTAGTTGGGGTCAATTTGCAGTGTACAAATTATTATAATTATGTTCTGGCCCCGCGACCGTCCACTCTGACCAAAATCAGCCCACGGCTGAATCTAGTTGCCTACCCCTGCTCTTTGTAGTCCACAACTTTTGTAGTAATACAATGCTTTTGTAGTAGGGATAGGATGCAATTTCAGACAGAGCTAGATGGTGGGCTGAAGCCGAAAAACTTGAAGTTGATCGATCCCCGCCGAGGGAGGAGATTCATTTTTTGTATATGACAGTAAAACATTCTTATGATGACTATGACACCTTCAATTCTTGCACATTTTCTCATAAAAACTATATTTCAACAATGTCTGCTCAGGTACATTTGCTGAACTGCTAAACATTTTTTCCAAATCAAATCAATGCAAATAGTCCGGGTAGCCATTTGATTAGCTGTTCAGGAGTATTATGGCTTGGGGGTAGAAGCTGTTAAGAAGCATTTTGGACCTAGACTTGGCACTCCGGTACCGCTTGCCGTGCGGTAGCAGAGAGAACAATCTATGATTAGGGTGGCTGGAGTCCTTGACAATTTTTAGGGCCTTCCTCTGACACCGCCTGGTATAGAGGTCCTGGATGGCAGGAAGCTTGGCCCCAGTGATGTAGTGCGCCGTACACACTACCCTCTGTAGTGCCTTGCGGTCGGAGGCCAAGCAGTTGCCATACCAGGCAGTGATGCAACCAGTGTGGATGCTCTCAGTGGTGCAGCTGTATAACTTTTTGAGGATCTGAGGACCCATGCCAAATCTTTTCAGTCTCCTGAGGGGGAATAGGCTTTGTCGTGCCCTCTTCACGGCTGTCTTGGTGTGTTTGGAACATGATAGTTTGTTGGTGATGTGGACACCAAGGAACTTGAAGCTCTCAACCTGCTCCACTACAGCCCCGTCGATGAGAATGGGGGCGTGCTCGGTCCTTCATTTCCTGTAGTCCACAATCATCTCCTTTGTCTTGATCACGTTGAGGGGGAGGTTGTTATCCTGGTACCACACGGCCAGGTCTCTGACCTCCTCCCTATAGGCTACTATCCATGATGTAAACACAGCCTCTTGTGAAAACGCAAGCTGTTCTCTAAGGAAGAGGAAGATATACTATAGCTAGCTCCCAAAGACTGATACAAGATAAATATATGTTTTCGAGTGCAATTGAAATATGCAGCATGCAATACAAATTGTCTTGATCGTATGAAGAGGTAACTCCATTTAGCCAATTTATTGAAATGTAGTCAATGTTAGTTTGACTAGCCTAGCCAGCTACTGAAAATGTCAATTTGTGTTTCATTAGCTATCTCTCTATCAGTGAATTCAATTTTTTTAATCATGTTTTGGCATGATTATACACTGAGTGTACAAAACATTAGGAACACCTGCTCTTTCCATGACATAGACTAACCAGGTGAATCCAGCAGAAAGCTACGATCTCTTATTGATGCCACTTATTAAATCCAATTCAATCAGTGTAGATGAAGGGGAGGAGACAGGTTTGAGGTTAAATAAGGATTTTTAAGCCTTGAGAAAATTCAGACATGGATTGTGTATGTGTGTCATTCAGAGGGTGAATGGGCACGACAAAAGATTTAAGTTGCTTTGAACGGGGTATGGTAGTAGGTGCCAGGCGCACCGGTTTGAGTGTGTCAACAAGCAACGCTGCTGGGTTTTTCACGCTCAACAGTTTCCCGTTTGTATCAAGAATGGTCCACCACCCAAAGGACATCCAGCCAACTTGACACAACTGTGGGAAGCACTGGAGTTAACATGGGCCAGCATCCCTGTGGAATGCTTTCAACTTCTTGTAGAGTCCATGCCTCGACAAATTGAGGCTGTTCTGAGGGCGAAGGGGGGTGCATCTCGATATTAGGAAGGTGTTGCTAATGTTGTGTACACTCACTGTATGTCTCATTTCACGTAACTAGCTGCAGGCTTAAATAAACATTCAATCATATACTTTGCATAGAAACCCATATAAAAGCACGTAGATAGAAAGATGTGTGTCATGTATGCTAGAATGGAGGTTTAAAAAATGACAGCTGCATATGCATATTAGCCAATACATGTGGCATAGCCTACACATATAGCATACCTTGCAATACAATGTTCTCTAAAAACAGTTGTACAATGTGCTCTGCAATAAGATAACCAGAGTTTGATTTCTAAACCCGATGAGTTCTCAAATGGCAGCTGCCCAATACCATGGTGGGTATGCATAATGTTGGATGCATTAGAATATAAGGTATGGAGAATGATAAAGAGCCTGTAGGATTATAGAAAAAGCAGTTAGGAAATGAATGTTTGAGTTTCAAATACTAAATGTTCAGTGAATGTGAGTATATTTATGTGTTTTAAATTATTAACCTTCTAAAGGTTGACGGTGCCAAAATCTTGCCAATTTATTCATTATTCTACTAACTATGACTGAGTGAGAGACATGTTTTCCATAATGTACGTTTCATACATATACATTCGAACAAAGAACACCATCACACATAGTGTTTCACCATTTATTGAGTACGGAGACAAATAGCAAAGGTGTCTCAGGCAGTATTTGAAGTATCTAAATATAGTGTAACCTACCAATCAATGTATATCAAGTGCCGTGGAGGGCACAATCTTACAACGTTGCAGTCCAGAAATGAGAGCTTTACCATCTATGCCAAAAGCCTGGGCCTCTGCATGTTACAATAGTAAAATAATCTGTTTGTCACCTGTTAAACTGATTCTTTATTGAATTTAGTCTTCGAGATGCTCAAACAAGCATGTGTATCTGTAGTTGGTGTTCTTCAACTCTAAAATGCACTACACTGTGTAAGACCAAACCCACAAAGACAAGACAACAGGCAAATGCATACGTGGTCCCAATGTCTAAATGGTGACGGCAGGGCTAGTTCAAACTGCAGTAGGATGGTTCGCCTCACAGGTGAGTGAATCAGCCCATGCTTGGTCAATAGCACTTGGTTGATCTCTGGGAGCAGGACACCGGAGAGCTGAATAGATCAAGTGAGACAAAAAAAAGACAAGAATTCATCAAATAAATCATCACAGCAAAGGAATGTAGTTTGTGAGCTACAAAATGAACATCTGACAGTCTGAGGCAGGGTGCTCTGCAATCATCCTACTCCAACTATTGACAGGGATAATGTGGCATTTCTTATTTGGCAGTATGAATTTAATGAGTGGGTCTTGCCTTGATGACTGTATTAGAGTTAGACTACTTGTCCAACAGATTTGTGTAGTCTTAAATTATTACTTGGAATAAACTAATAGCTAAAACGCTCCTTGTCCCAGAATGACATGCTAGCTAGTGATAAAGCTATCTGCTCCTGCTAGCTAGCAACAGATCTACTTGTTGTAACTAGCTAGCTAACTAGCAAGCTAGCTAACTACATTACTTGTTCTAAGTTGATTTGATTAGATTTTGAGTCATTTTACAGCTTGCATTGAAGGTATCACGTTTCTATAACTAAATAGTTAGATTACAAATACATAAAAAAGACTTTATAGATGTTTGTCGGACGGAGATCTTTCTCAAGATGTCACCAGCTGTCTACTACTTTAGATACAGATTACGTGATTGGCAGACGTGATCAGCAGAGATAGTACCATGGATAGTACACACGTTTTGATTGGTTTACAGTTTAGCTCATTTGGTAGAGCATGGCGCTTGCAACACCAGGGTTGTGGGTTCGATTCCCACAGGGGGCCAGTATGCACTCACTAACTGTAAGTCGCTCTGGATAAGAGCGTCTGCTAAATGACTAAAAATCTAAAATCTAGTACTTGGCGGCGTCTGCCTCCTTCTTCTTTAAAGTTTTATGGCAGACTACACCTATTGGTGTATTGCCGCCACCTACTGTACGGGGTCTTCTTCTTTGATATTATTGCATTCAGCAAACAAATGCTATAGGTGCATGCCGGCTACTGTTTTGGCTGTATATCAGCCCAAATAATTAACAAAATAAAACTAAACTAAATCAACTAAACTCACTGTACTCCTTTATTCAGCTTCTACTGCCAAAGCCCATCCCTACAGGCTCTGGGACCTGAGAAGGAAGAGCATCTTCGGACAGTATTCTTTGCAATGTTTCGGCAGCGAAGTCCTGGAGACCCAAAAGCCTTTCAGACGCAAATACTATTATGTCCAGTTTCTTGGACTTTTTGTTCGTTTGTGCAGTATAATTAATCACATGCGTGATAAACACTATAAAATCCACCTTCACAATCAGCATATCAGGTTTCCCTCAACTGTTGAACAACACTCAGAATCTCCACAGTCTGCGGAGCATCCACCGCCATATCTTCAGCTCCCCTCACTCTACTACTACTCAACTATTTCACGTGCCTCCGCGTAGGAGACCTGCTGTATAGCCCTGACCCTTGCCACTTCATATTCCTTTACCCTAACCGGGTACTCCAGGGAATTGGGGCGGCATTTGCCTGTCCAGCTAGCGAACATAAAAGTTCTTAAAAAATCAAGAATTGACATTGCCAACAAACAGAAATGTGTTCAGAATAAATAAATATATACAGTTGAAGTCGGAAGTTTACATACACTTAGGTTGGAGTCATTAAAACTTGTTTTTCAACCACTCCACAAATTTCTTGTTAACAAACTATAGTTTTGGCAAGTCAGTTAGGACATCTACGTTGTGCATGACACAAGTAATTTTTCCAACAATTGTTTACTTACAGATTATTTCACTTATAATTAACTGTATCACAATTCCAGTGGGTCAGAAGTTTACATACACTAAATTGACTGTGCCTTTAAACAGCTTGGAAAATTCCAGAAAATGATGTCATGGCTTTAGAAGCTTCTGATAGGCTAATTGACATCATTTGAGTCAATTGGAGGTGTACCTGTGGATGTATTTCAAGGACTACCTTCAAACTCAGTGCCTCTTTGCTTGATATCATGGGAAAATCAAAAGAAATCAGCCAAGACCTCAGAAGAAAAGTTGTAGACCTCCACAAGTCTGGTTCATCCTTGGGAGCAATTTCCAAACGCCTGAAGGTACCATGTTCATCTGTACAAACAATAGTACGCAAGTATAAACACCATGGGACCACGCAGCCGTCATACCGCTCAGGAAGGAGACGCGTTCTGTTTCCTAGAGATGAACGTACTTTGGTGCGAAAAGTGCAAATCAATCCCAGAACAACAGCAAAGGACCTTGTGAAGATGCTGGAGGAAACAGGTACAAAAGTATCTATATCCACAGTAGAACGAGTCCTATATCAACATAACCTGAAAGGCCGCTCAGCAAGGAAGAAGCCACTGCTCCAAAACCCCCATAAAAATGCCAGACTACAGTTTGCAACTGCAAAGATGTTACGTGAATTATTTAACAAACTATTTTAGTGTCTCTGTGCGTCTCCCAAAAGGTTGTAAGTCTTTTGGGATTTAAGTAACGGCCAGAGTCCCGGTCTGCATAGTCAGAGATATTTATTCATTGAGAATTCTGCCATCACAATTTCAGAGTCCATCTTTTATACTCATACATCATACAAAAAGAAATCCCTCCCCTCTGTAGGTGGGCTGTAGTTTTCCACTCTAAAACTGCTCTACTGACCTTCAGTTCACATACACACACACATATACACACATGCATACACACATACATACACACACACACACACATATCCTACTCCCTGCTTTACTCAGTTATTGCTGTTCTCACAATATTCTGCACCATGTTTTCATAACAGTTTCTCCCCTCCCTAAATTGGGAGGCCTCTTTATCTTAGTTTCTCAGTTGTCTTTGTTGTCTGGCCTAACTCTTACTCACATTGCTAAATAGTGGCTCAATGCCATAGCCTTTACTGGTCCTACACTCACACATTTCTAACACATTATACACAGTTTCAGGGTGTAATAATTAGTCATTAATAATTAATCTATCAAAAGATCATACTTTTTGGAGAAATGTCATCTGGTCTGATTAAACAAAAATATAACTGTTTGGCCATAATGACCATCGTTATGTTTGGAGGAAAAAGGGGGACCTTGCAAGCCGAAGAACACCATCCCAACCGTGAAGCATGGGAGTGGCAGCATCATGCTGTGGGGGTGCTTTGCTGCAGGAGGGACTTGTGCACTTCACAAAATAGATGGCATCATGAGGAAGGAAAATTATGTGGATATATTGAAGCAACATCTCAAGACATCAGTCAGGAAGTTAAAGCTTGGTCGCAAATGGGTCTTCCAAATGGACAATGACCCCAAACATACTTCCAAAGTTGTGGCAAAATGGCTTAAGGACAACAAAGTAAAAGTATTGGAGTGGCCATCACAAAGCCCTGACCTCAATCCTATAGAACATTTGTGGGCAGAACTGAAAAGGTGTGTGCGAGCAAGGAGGCCTACAAACCTGACTCAGTTACATCAGCTCTGTCAGGAGGAATGGGCCAAAATTCACCCAACTTATTGTGGGAAGCTTGTGGAAGGCTACCCGAAACGTTTGACCCCTGTCAAACAATTTAAAGGCAATGCTACCAAATACTAATTGAGTGTATGCAAACTTCTGACCCACTGGGAATGTGATGAAAGAAATAAAAGCTGAAATAAATCATTCTCTCTACTATTATTCTGACATTTCACATTCTTAAAATAAAGTGGTGATCCTAACTGACCTAAGACAGGGAATTTTTACTAGGATTAAATGTCAGGAATTGTGAAAAACAGAGTTTAAATCTATTTGGCTAAGGTGTATGTAAACTTCCGACTGTACAATATGTAAAAACCAGCTCCTCCATTGACAGAGCTCGATCATCTTGAAAACTATAGCAGATAGCTTACTACGGCCCACCACCTATGCTCATCCCTAGAGACTTTAGTGCATTGGCGCTGTTGTGACTGTATTGTGACCTTCTCGACTGTATTGTGACCTTCTCCCCTCCAGAAAAAGGCAGCCAAGCTGAAGAAGGCCAACAGCTTTGAGGACACTGACACGGACCAGGAGAGCACCAGCAGCACCTCCCGCGCCCCCCTACACCACAGCAGGTACTGTTACTGTAGAGGCACGGACTGTTACCATAGAGACATGAACTGTTACCATAGAGACATGTAGTGGGACCATAGAGACATGGAATGTTACCATATAGACATGGGCCATGTCCTAATACCCATACCTAAATAGTAGGCCTTTTGAGTATGTGAAAAAATTAGGTATTACATTATGTGACATTTCGACAATCAAGTATACTTTAAATGCCTGGATGTCATACTGATTTCGGCTTTTCATCTAGTAGAATTCACTGCATAATTGAGGAAGATAATTTTTTACACCCACGTGTGTTTCGATAACAGCTGATAATCAGAATAGGGGATGTGCGGGGAATAATCGCAATTGCGCATTCGATGATGCCTTCTAAGTATGGATGAGTAGTATGTTGATATTTGTTGCCTACTGCATACGTTTTTTTCTAAACAGTACATTATATATAGTATGCAGTATGATTACGACACAGTATGCAGTTTAAGTAAGTAGCAGACAAGCCAGATTTCGGGCACGGCCATGAACTGTTACCACAGAGACGTTTACTGTTACCACAGAGACGTGGACTGTTACCACAGAGACGTGGACTGTTACCACAGAGACGTGGACTGTTACCACAGAGACATGGACTGTTACCACAGAGACATGTTGTGGGACCATAGAGACCTGGACTGTTACCGTAAAGATATGGTCTGTTAAGAGTCATGGACTGTTACCATAGAGACATGGACCGTTACTACGGAGACATGGACTGTTACCATATAGATATTGCCTGTTACCACAGAGACATGGACTGTTACCACGTAGATATTGACTGTTACCATATGGACATGGACTGTTACCATAGAGACATGGACTGTTATCATAGTGACATGTTACACCTGCACCACAGCAGGTACATCACAGCATGTACTACATAGCAGGTTACCATTGAGACGCTCTGTACAACCGTACTGTAAGCCTAGATGTACCATAGTACTGTTCCACTGGCTCACTGGTTGTTTTCCTGCAGGAAGAAGAAGACCATGAAGCTGTCCAGGGCTCTGTCAGACCTGGTCAAATACACCAAGTCAGTGGGCGTCTCTGACATAGAGACACAAGGTGAGCAGGGAGAACAAACCCTACTGGAGACTGCTTTACTATACTGATACTGACCCCAGAGACAGTAGTAGGAATAGAGAAGAGTGGCGTGTATCTGTTTTTAAAGTGTTGACAGTCCATTTCAGACAAAGGAGTCTTTCTTTTTGTGTGTTGATTTGTTTTATCCCCAAGCCAAAATAAAGGATTTAGTTGTCTGTGTGTCACTTATGTTTGTGTGCCCGTGTGTCTTAAGTTTGTGAACTGTGTGTGTGTCTTCCAGCCGCCAGCTCCAGTTGGCAGGTGTCTTCTCTGAGCGAGACCAAGGCCCACCAGATCATGCAGCAGAAAGCCGCCACCTTCATCCACTTCAACCAGCGGCAGCTCTCACGCATCTACCCCTCCTCCTACCGTGTGGACTCTTCCAACTTCAACCCACAGCCCTTCTGGAACGCTGGATGCCATCTGGGTACAGGGGGGGGGGGGGTTCCATTTCCAAATAAAAACCTTGTTTGATAATGTCGAGCTGGATTGAATTCTCCATCCTGTTGAATTCTCCAATGGCTGCTCACACGGACAGAATATGGTTCCATTAGCCCCCAAATTAAAATGTACTAAAATGTTTTGGTTTGTGTGATTTTCAGTGGCGTTGAACTACCAGTCGGAGGGGAGAGTGCTCCAGCTGAACCGAGCCAAGTTCAACAGCAACGGCAACTGTGGTTACATCCTGAAGCCGGCCTGCATGTGTGAAGGTGGGCAGCAGCATCCTCCCATTGATTTCATAGCAAAACAAGTACAGGGTCATATTCACAAGGGCACACCGTAGCAAAACAAGTTTAGGTTGTCCCTTCCTGTTTCAGTTTGTTTTCTTTCATTTGGTGCTGCGTGAGTACCACCCAGGTATCTAACAGAGTAAAGAGTAATAGGGTTTTTGTTCTCAGTCCCTCCTGTAGGTGTCTTTAACCCTATGATGGAGGACCCATTGCCGGGGCAGATGAAGAAACAACTGGTGCTGAAGATCATCAGCGGGCAGCAGCTGCCCAAGCCCAAAGACTCAATGCTGGGGGACAGAGGAGAGGTGATGATTTATTTTTTACTCATTATTTTAGATACAGATTTCAAATGTATGCCGAAAATCCATCCTCCAAATGACCTTTTTATCGATTTCATTTGAGGAAGAACATATTTTTGGGCCAAGATTACACAGAAGGTCCCTATTACTAATACTGCTACTACATTGGCTGTTTTGGTGACACCTCTTAACTTCTGTCTGTCTGTCTGTGGGTCAGATTATTGACCCCTTTGTGGAGGTGGAGATCATTGGTCTGCCAGTGGACTGCTGTAAGGAACAAACCAGGGTGGTGGACGACAATGGTGAGTAAAAAGATGGCTAAATGTGTATTGCACCCGCTACTTATCCTTTAGGTTGGGTTAAGTCGGGTGTTTCGTTTTTTTTGTTTGCACTTGTCTAGACGTGTGTTTGTGTCATGGATAATTGATGAGGTTGGCACCGAAGCAGTGCACTTACAGCACCACTGGGTCTCCACACACACACGCACACACACACACACACACACAACCCTGAATTATTCATGACTGCTGAGCCAGCGCTCTAACTCGTCTCTCTCTATATCTCTCACTTCCTCTCTCCTGCTCTTTTTCGCTATCCATATCTCTCCCACTCTCTGCCCATCTCAATCTGTGTCTTTCTCTACCTCCCTCTTTATCTCCCTCCCGCTTTCTCTACCTCCCTCTTTATCTCCCTCCCTCTTTCTCTACCTCCCTCCTCTCACCCTTTACTTCTTCCCCACACCTTCTCTTGCTTCATCCCTCTCCCTCCCCCTCTCCCTTCCCCTCTCCTCTCCCTCCCCCTCTCCCTTCCCCTCTCTCCTCCCTCTCTCCTGTCCTACCTCCTTCTCTCTTTCCTCTCCTCTACAGGCTTTAACCCCATGTGGGAGGAGACGCTGGTGTTCACGCTGCACATGCCCGAGCTGGCGCTTGTCCGTTTCCTAGTGTGGGACCACGACCCTATCGGCCAGGACTTCATTGGCCAGCGCACCATCGCCTTCAACAGCATGATACCAGGTACCTACCTACATCCTCCTCCTCCTCCACTCCAGCAAACCCCCAACAGCTACTATACTGGGGGCAAGTGGTGGCCTTCAGACACTCAGCTGGCCTATTGTGTTAGCATAGGCTATGTGTGTTATGTGTTCGTTATGCTGAATGCTGATTGGCTGAAAAAAACCGTGGTATGAGAAAACAATACTTGTTACTGTTCTAATTATTTTGGTAACCAGTTTATAATAGCAGCAAGGCACCTCGGGGGTTTGTGGTATATGGCCAAAATACCTCGGCTAATGGCTGTACCCAGGCACTCAACGTTGCGTAGTGAATAAGAACAGCCCTTAGCCATGGTAGGCACTTAACCCTAATTGCTCCTGTAAGTCGCTCTGGATAAGAGCGTCTGCTAAATGACAAAAATGTAAATGAAAATGTATATTGGCCATATACCACACCTCCTCGGGCCTTATTGCTTAAGTATATGCTATAGTGTATAGTTGTTAGTAGTTTGTGTACTAGTGTAATGGTTTGTACTATACTGATCATTATATGTGTTAGTTGTTATATGTGTTAGTTTGTACTATACTGTAGTTGATATAGTTGTTAGTAGTTTGTTGGTTCAGGAAAGTTGGTGAGGAGGGGGATTATTTAAGATACTCTTTGTAGAGGTAGGGTTTCAGGTGCTTTCAGAAGATGGGCAGGGACTCTTCTGTTCTAGCTTCAGGGGGAAGCTGGTTCCACCATTGGGGTGCCTGGACAGGGAAGAGCTTAGACTGGGATGAGTGGGAGCTGCCTTCCCGTAGGGGTGGGAGGGCCAAGAGACCCGAGGTGGCAGAACGGTGTGCTCGGGTTGGGGTGTAGGGTTTGAGCATAGCCTGAAGTTAGGGAGGGGAAGTTCCTCTTGCTGCTCCTTAGGCAAGCACCATTGTTTTGTAGTGGATGTGAGCTTCGACTGGAAGCCATTGGAGTGTGCGAAGGAGCGGAGTGACATGGGGGGAACTTGAGCAGGTTGAAAACCAGGCGGGCTGCAGCGTTCTGGATAAGTTGCATGGGTTTGATGGCACAAGTGGGGAGCCCAGCCAACAGCGAGTTGCAGTAGTCCAGACGGGAGATGACAAGTGCCTGGATTAGGACCTGTGCCGCTTCCTGTTGTAGAGCATGAACCTGCAGGAGCGATTCACTGCTTTGATGTTTGCAGAGAACGACAGGGTGTTGTCCAGGGTCACACCATGGTTCTTTGCATTCTGGGAGGGTGACACTGTGGAGTTGTCAACTGTGATGGAGAGGTCTTTGAGCAGGCAGGCCTTCCTCGGGAGGAAGAGCAGCTCCGTCTTGTTGAGGTTGAGCTTGAGGTGGTGGGCCGACATCCAAGCTAAGGTATCTGCCAGGCACGCAGAGATGCGTGTCGCCACCTCTGTGTCAGAAGGGGGGAGGAGAAAAGTAGTTGAGTGTCATCTGCATAGCAATGATAGGAGAGACCATGTGAGGATGTGACGGAGCCGAGTGACTTGGTGTATAGAGAGAAGAGGAGAGTGCCTAGAACCGAGCCCTGGGGACACCAGTAGTGAGAGTACGTGGTGCAGACACAGATCCTCTCCACGTCACCTGGTAGGAGTGGCCTGCCAGGTAGGATGCAATTGAAGAGTGTACAGATCCTGAGACGCCCAGCCCTGAGAGGGTGGAGAGGAAGAGCTGATGGTTCACTGTGTCGAAAGCAGCGGATAGAACAGAGGAGAGAGAGTCAGCTTTGGCAGTGCGGAGAGCCTCCGTGACACAGAGAAGAGCAGTCTCGGTTGAGTGACCTGTCTTGAAGCCTGACTGGTTAGGGTCAAGAAGATCGTTCTGAGATAACGAGAGAGTTGATCAGAGACAGCACGCTTATATGTTTTGGAAAGAAAATAAACAAGGGATACAGGTCTATAGTTTTTGACATCAGACGAATCGAGTGTTGGTTTCTTGAGGAGGGGAGCGAATCGGGCCATTTTGAAGTCAGCGGGGAATACAGTATTTAAGGTAACACTTTACTTGACACCCAGCGTCATAACACGTTTTGGCACGTCATAACCATGTCATAACAGCTGACATAACTTGTCATAACCTGTTATAATATGGTTATGACACATATATTTAGACCTGTTGTGGTTATTTTATGGCTGATTATGACACCTACATAAAGAGTGTAAAAACCTACCACGGTAGTTCTTTTATGGTTGGTTATGATACCTATATAAGAGTGTCAAAACGCCACAAAAGGCAAAACATTCCATTAACCTACGTGTCAACAGTATGTATATGTTATATCTATTTATTTTTTATTGACCATATTAAATTATCATTGTAATTGCGCACATATTGATGTCAGACATGCACCTACCCCAATGCTCTGTTGCTGATGACTGGGATGAATGAAGGAACAGATTTCAGGAGCAGGACAAGACACCCTCTTTTCGACTGATGACTGATAAACTACATGACCAAAAGTACAGTGGGGAGAACAAGTGTTTGATACACTGCCGATTTTGCAGGTTTTCCTACTTACAAAGCATGTAGAGGTCTGTAATTTTTATCATAGGTACACTTCAACTGTGAGAGATGAAATCTAAAACAAAAATCCAGAAAATCACATTTTATGATTTTTAAGTAATTAATTTGCATTTTATTGCATGACATATGTATTTGATCACCTACCAACCAGTAAGAATTCCGGCTCTCACAGACCTGTTCGTTTTTCTTTAAGAAGCCCTCCTGTTCTCCACTCATTACCTGTATTAACTGAACCTGTTTGAACTCGTTACCTGTATAAAAGACACCTGTCCACACACTCAATCAAACAGACTCCAACCTCTCCACAATGGCCAAGACCAGAGTGCTGTGTAAGGACATCAGGGATACAATTCTAGACCTGCACAAGGCTGGGATGGGCTACAGGACAATAGGCAAGCAGCTTGGTGAGAAGGCAACAACTGTTGGCGCAATTATTAGAAAATGGAAGAAGTTCAAGATGACGGTCAAGCACCCTCGGTCTGGGGCTTCATGCAAGATCTCACCTTGTGGGGCATCAATGTTCATGAGGAAGGTGAGGGATCAGCCCAGAACTACACGGCAGGACCTGGTCAATGACCTGAAGAGAGCTGGGACCACAGTCTCAAAGAAAACCATTAGTAACACACTACGCCGTCATGGATTAAAATCCTGCAGCACACACAAGGTCCCCCTGCTCAAGCCAGTGCATGTCCAGGCCCGTCTGAAGTTTGCCAATGACCATCTGGATGAGCCAGAGGAGGAATGGGAGAAAGTCATGTGGTCTGATGAGACAAAAATATAGCTTTTTGGTCTAAACTCCACTCGCCGTGTTTGGAGGAAGAAGAAGGATGAGTACAACCCCAAGAACACCATCCCAACCGTGAAGCATGGAGGTGGAAACATCATTCTTTGGGGATGCTTTTCTGCAAAGGGGACAGGACGACTTCACCGTATTGAGGGGAGGATGGATAGGCCCATGTATCGCGAGATCTTGGCCAACAACCTCCTTCCCTCAGTAAGAGCCTTGAAGATGGGTCGTGGCTGGGTCTTCCAGCATGACAACAACCCGAAACACACAGCCAGGGCAACTAAGGAGTGGCTCCGTAAGAAGCATCTCAATGTCCTGGAGTGGCCTAGCCAGTCTCCAGACCTGAACCCAATAGAACATCTTTGGAGGGAGCTGAAAGTCCGTATTGCCCAGCGACAGCCCCGAAACCTGAAGGATCTGGAGAAGGTCTGTATGGAGGAGTGGGCCAAAATCCCTGCTGCAGTGTGTGCAAACCTGGAGAAGACCTACAGGAAATGTATGATCTCTGTAATTGCAAACAAAGTTTACTGTACCAAATATAAAGTTCTGCTCTTCTGATGTATCAAATAATTATGTCATGCAATAAAATGCAAATTAATTACTTAAAAATCATACAATGTGATTTTCTGGATTTTTGTTTTAGATTCCATCTCTCACAGTTGAAGTGTACCTATGATAAAAATTACAGACCTCTACATGCTTTGTAAGTAGGAAAACCTGCAAAATTGGCAGTGTATCAAATACTTGTTCTCCCCACTGTATGTGGACACGTGCTCGTCGAACATCTCATTCCAAAATCATGGGCATTAATATGGAGTTGGTCCCCTCTTTGCTTCTATAACAGCCTCCACTCTTCTTGGAAGGCTTTCCACTAGATGTTGGAACATTGCTGCGGGGACTTGCTTCCATTCAGCCACAAGAGCATTAGTGATGTCGGGCACTGATGTTGGGCGATTAGGCCTGGCTCGCAGTCGGCGTTCCAATTCATCCCAAAGGTGTTTGATGGGGTTGAGGTCAGGGCTCTGTGCAGGCCAGTCAAGTTCTTCCACACCGATCTCGACAAACCATTTCTCTACGGAACTCGCTTTGTGCACAGGGGCATTGTCATGCTGAAACAGGAAAGGGCCTTCCCCAAACTGTTGCCACAAAGTTGGAAGCACAGAATAATCTAGAATGTAATTGTATGCTGTAGCGTTAAGATTTCCCTTCACTGGAACCAAGTGGCCTAGTCCGAACCATGAAAAACAGCCCCAGACCATTATTCCTCCTCCACCAAACTTTACAGTTGGCTCTATGCATTCGGGCAGGTAGCGTTCTCCTGGCATCCGCCAAACCCAGATTCATCCATCGGACTGCCAGATGGTGAAGCGTGATTCATCACTCCAGAGAACGCATTTCCACTGTTCCGGAGTCAAATAGCAGCGAGCTTTACACCACTCCAGCCAACGCTTGGCATTGCGCATGGTGATCTTAGGCTTGTCTGCGGCTGCTCGGCCATGGAAACCCATTTCATGAAGCTCCCGACGAACAGTTATTGTGCTGACGTTGCTTCCAGAGACAGTTTAGAACTCGGTAGTGAGTGTTGCAACCGAGGACAGACGATTTTTACGCGCTACGCGCTTCAGCACTCGGCGGTCCCGTTCTGTGAGCTTGTGTGGCCTACCACTTCGCGGCTGAGCCGTTGTTGCTCCTAGACATTTCCACTTCACAATAACAGAACTTACAGTTGATTGGGGCAGCTCTAGCAGGGCAGAAATTTGAGAAACTGACTTGTTGGAAAGGTGGCATCCTATGACGGTGCCACGTTGAAAGTCACTGAGCTCTTCAGTAAGGCCATTCTACTGCCAATGTTTGTCTATGGAGATTACATGGCTGTGTGCTCGATTTTATACACCTGTCAGCATCGGGTGTGGCTGAAATAGCCGAATCCACTAATTTGAAGTGGTATCCACATACTTTTGTATATATAGTGTATAAGGGCCTGTATGTGATGGGCATATTTACATTGACATTTTAGTCATTTAGCAGACGCTCTTATCCAGAGCGACTCACAGTTAGTGAGTGCATACATTTTCATACTGGCCCCCCGTGGGAATCGAACCCACAACCCTGGTGTTGCAAACGCCATGCTCAACCAACTGAGCTACAAATCTGGCTTATGATTATGATGGTCATAATGTTTCTTGACAGTGTCATCAAGTGTATTTTCTTAGTCCAAGTAAAGTGGCACAGGATGGTTATAATGCTTAATTTGAATAAATGTGATGACCATATTATGGCAGGTTATGACAAGTTATGTCAGCTGTTATGACATATTATGACATGGTTATGACCGTGTCATAACTTGTAATGACACCGGGTGCCAAGTAAATTGTTACCGTATTGAAATACTCAGTGTGACATGGGACAGCAGCGTTGGCTGTGTGTGTGTGTTTGTGCGTGTGTTTGTGAGTATGAGGTGTGTGTGTGTGTGTTCTAACAGTGCATCCTGAGATACGGAACATTGCGCTCTTTCCTTGTCGCCGGGCTCATTGTCATAATGTCTTTGTTTTTTTTAGGTTTTCGTCACGTGTATTTGGAAGGTATGGAGGAGGCTTCCATCTTTGTTCATGTGTCTGTACATGACATCACTGGTAAGGTAGGTACTAAGGGAGGTACTAGGCCTTTTGTTTTGTAATGAGGGTTTGTCCTTAGTAATGGACAACATTAACAGTTCTTCTCTTAATCATTTAACATTGGGCTTCTAAATAAGATTCCTGTCAAAACACTATTTAGCTCCAAATACTTTTCAACACATTATTTTAGATATAATTGAAATTACTCCCCCCCCCCCTAGTCATCAATAGATGGTGGTTATTGAAGGGAAAAATATGTCCATTATTATGCAGATGAAGGGTTGGAAATAAATATCATAATTGAAAAATGTATTCAATTAGGAGCTCTCGCTAATTGCCCCGGTTGCAGCTCAATCGATAAGAATGAATCTGAGAGATGGCTAATTAAGTATTTAAGGCATTAAATTGTCATTAGCAGCAGCCAACCACAGCCCAGACAGCCCACCAGTGTCATCAGTTGAGTGGCAACAGCTGCGAACGCCACTGTTGACAATTGGGACGTTGAAATGTGACAGATATAGTAGAATTTCCTCAATGGTGTTTATTTTATTGTTTTTAAGCCAGATGATACTCTTCCTGTATCCATGCAGAGATACACAATTGTATATCTTCTATTAGAAATGTTGTGTTTTTTTATTACTTAGTCAAGTCACTCTGAATTGATGTACAGTTGATTTTTGATAAATCTTAACGGCTTGGAACGGACTTGGAAATGTCGTGACATCTTGCACTAAACCAGAACATTATCAGAAGCCGTTAAAAAGGATGGGATTCATTAAATACACTACCGGTCAAAAGTTTTAGAACACCTACTCATTCAAGGATTTGTCTTTATTTTTACTATTTTATACATTGTAGAATAATAGTTAAGACATCAAAACTATGGCTCAGTTGAAGGAAAATAATATTACTTTTAAGAATTAACTTTTAAGAAGGCACACCTGTTAATTGAAATGCATTCCAGGTGACTACCTCATGAAGCTGGTTGAGAGAATGCCAAGAGTGTGCAAAGCTGTCATCAAGGCAAAGGGTGGCTATTTGAAGAATATACAATATATTTTGTTTTGTTTAACACTTTTTTGGTTACTACATGATTCCATATGTGTTATTTCATAGTTTTGATGTCTTCACTATTATTCTACAATGTAGAAAATAGTAAACATAAATAAAAACCCTTGAATGAGTAGGTGTTCTAAAACTTTTCACCAGTAGTGTAGGTATTGCAAATTGTAAGCATATGGTACTTCAGTTTGCACTTATCCAGAGTTCGTTATCAGGAGTCAGTCAACACGTTGGATCAAATTAAACAATTTACTATCAACAGGAGAACCGGATTTTCCATCTCCTATCTCTGTCATTCTTTGTTTATTTCTATACTGCATTTTATTGTCTTCAGTCATACTGTAAATTACCACACAGTTGTTCATATCTCTTCCTGTTTCTAGATCTCCCCTGTCAACTGTGACTGTATGTGCATCTGCTGTACTCTCCCTTCTCCCTCCCTCTCTCTCGCTCCCTCCCTCTGTCCCCTCCTCTCTGATCTCTCTCTCCTCTCTCTTTGTGATTTCAGTGGACCCCTCTTTGTCCAAACGCCGCTTTTAGAGGCAGGAAATTGTTAGGAGCCCTGAAGGTGCCACTCAGAACCCAGGTGTAGTGGGATCCAATCAGCACACTGCATGCACCACATGCCCCTCCCCTGCCACCCCAGTGATTCTGCCCCCGTAAAGCCAACTGCGTCCACCCGTAGAGGCCAACTCATGCTGACCATGAGTTGCGAACATGCCAGCATCCTCCATCAACCCAAAGTAGATCCAATGTCACTAACCTGCGCCGGGGGGGGAGGGAGGGAGAGAGAGACAGAAAGGGAGCGAGAGACAGAAAAGGGGGAGAGAGTGACAAAAACAGGGGACCAGTGGCCTGCTAAGTGGACAGTGACAATGTATTTTTCTGGACAGTATTTTCCCCTTACTCAGGAGATTCTCAGTATGACGCACTGCAGGGGTATACCGTTCCTGCCTTTTGAGGACACTGTCCCCTGTGTCGGCTTGTTTTAGTCCTGGTCTTGTCATCATATTACCTAGAGGTGGGAAAACAGTTCCCATGCATGGCGAAAGGGGAGGGTTACCCAATCACTGCTGTGTAGAGCAGAGCTCTTTCCCCATGCTTTTGAATGCACCGCTAACAGCTGCAATCTATTTCCACTAGAATTGCTGCCTTAATGCTAGTCATGAGATTCTTGATGTTGCTAAATAACCAGCTAACAAATAAAAAAACGGTCGGAGGAAAGACAGCACCCTAGGCAAGTCGAAAAACAGTTAAAACACACAAAAAACTGTCACTTTAACAGTAACTTGGCCTAACATCCAAAAGAGCATACAGGGCAAGGAAACATTCCCTAGATAAGAACCCTTGAGCGGAACCAGACTCCGATTTCAAATGTGTTCTGGATAATGTCTGCTGTCGGGTGTGTTCAGTCTGCCATCACCTTTCTGTCCATAACATGTAGACAAAATGTATCAGGCCCTTGGTGTTCATGCTATTGTGATTTTTACTTTAGTCGGTCTGCATCATGTGTACTGTAATGCCTGGGTACTCAGTCAGTCTGGTTGTAATTCCACTTGGATCTACTTCATGGTTTATGAAATGACATTGGGTTGCTGCACATCATGTGCTGAAAGGCAAGCATTTTTCAATGAACACATATCCACACACAGTGTAACAGCAGATAGCCCACTGTGATTTAGATCAGTGGCCGTCAAATTGTGTCGTCACCGTCACGTCCCCCTGTCAGGGTGTTCATGGATCAATCACACTGTCCCCCCATTGTCACCTCCATCGTAACCTCTCACCCCCACACTGTACATGTGGACACAGTATGTGTCCGTCCCCACACTGCTGTTTCACATTACACTGGTGACCTTGGTTTTGGTTGTTACGAAGCCGGATCAAAATGATAGGTCTTTGGAGATGGCCGCTGGTTAATTTTTGTCACCTGTTGTCTGGGTTGAGTGTTAGGCCTATCTGCTTCCTCTAACTTACTAATATATTTGTGATGCTCAACATATGTCACGTTTTGTTCAGGGAGCTTACCAGCATTATAACCCTCATGAAAATACAGCATATACAGTGCATTTTTGTTGTTGTTGTTTTGGCTCTCTACTCTAGCACTTTGGATTTGAAATGATACAATGCTATGCTATTTATGCCTCGAAATTAATTTTCTTATTTACAATTCATTCATGATTATCCATAATCATTTTAGCATCCACATTAATGTAGAAGTATTTAGAAACATATTATATTCGTATTTACAATTAAAGTGACTCCAAAATGACAAAATACATTATTTACCACTCATTTGTACTGAAACACAACCAAAACAAACTGCAAATTCATTTTTAGAGTCACAAGCTTGATGTAGTCATTGCGTGCTAGGAATATGGGACCAAATACTAAACTTTTGACTACTTTAATACACATATGTGATTTTGTCCAACTACTTTTGGTTCCATAAAATGGGGTGACTACGTACAAAAAGTGTTGTAATATCTAAACGGTTCACCCGATATGGATGTAAATACCCTCAAATTAAAGCTAGTTTGCACTTTAACCTCATAGTCATTGAATAATTTCAAAGTGCTGGAGTACAGAGCCAAAACAACAAAACATGTGTCACAAATACAGTATGCACTGTATACATGTTTAACAATATACATGCAAATATATAAGCATTTTCATAGCAGTGAATAAGCATGGATAACTTGACACTTGTGCTTTTGGCAGCAGACAGCAGACACTGCTATTGTAACAGAGATTGCTTTCCAATATGAATACAGATGCCTGCAACACAAGGTGTTGGCATGGGTTTGAATTGAAAAAAACATAATTATGATGTGGTGGTGTGACATTCTATCAAACAAATACTGATAGAATGTGTGGTCATCAATACATTCGGACAAGGCAAGCCAACGCTATCCAATCGTACTGTATATAGTTATCATAGTGGAACTTGTTCTACAGAACTAATTGTCGTGTGGTCAGGAATCCAGTGGCTGCATCTGAAATGGCTTCCTATTCCCTATATTGTGCATTACTTTTGGCCAGAGCCCATGAGGCCCTGGCAAAAGATTGTGCACTATATAGGGAATAGGGTACCATTTCAGGACATAGCCAGTGTTAGTGTCAATATTGTATGTTGGAGCATGTTTAACTATTAATATACCCTCATTCAACATCTAGTAATGCAAATGCAATGACACCAAAGTCATTAAACTAGGTATAAAGATACAGAAAGTCAGTACTGTATGTTCTGGTGAATGCTTACTGTGAACCAGTTCATGACGGTTGTTTTCTTTTGTCTCATCTCTTCTTCTCAGGGCAAGGTGGCCAGCGGCATAAAAGGGCTGTTTCACAGAAACCCAAAGCAGGCTTCTCTCGACAGCCATGTTGCTGCACAGCTCAGCCGTAAGCACCCATTCGGCGCCCACCTGCTGCGCCGCACGGCCAGCGCGCCCACCAAGGGTGAGCCCAAGGTCAAGAAGGGCTTCCCAGAGATCGCCATCGACACCAAAGAGTACAGCTCAGAAGGCGCCAGCGAGGACCGAGAGTCAGGGGACAGGGATCTCAGCGCCTCCTCCCTGCCCCCGCCGCTCCACCAGCGCAACGGAGACGTCACGGACACAGCTGCTCCCGCCACGCCACGCCAGGGCACCAACGGGCACCACGGCACCAATGGGGCTTTCAACCCCGACGAGGGCAAAGGTAAGGGCTCGCCTCGCTTCCTCCGATACCCCATGAGTGAGCCTCTCAAGCGGGTCAATCGGCTGCGCTGCCACGACCCCCTGAATGAGAAACCGGGAGTATTTGCCCGCATGGCCCTCAACAGCAGTGGCAGGATTGGGGTGTCCTCCAACTGCATGAACTGTGTAATTAGCTCCAAAGAAAGCCCAGAGATGGAGAGGAAGTTCAAGGATGAGGAGAAATGGGGAGAGAGGCCTGAGAAAGCCGCCTGCTGCTCCACTCTTTCCAAGCAGGTTCAACCCGAGTCAATGCCCAAACCGCAGGTCCTGGCCGCAGCCCATTTTGATGAGCCCCAAGCCCAGACCAAGCCCATAGTTGAGGCCCTGCCCCTACTTCAGCCCCAGGCTTTCTTCCGGCCTATCCCCTTCCCCAGGTCCCGGGCCAAAGCCAGACAAACTCTGGGCACCCGACACACTGAGGCTCGTCCTGACCCCTCTGAGTGGAATGCCCGCTCCTGCAGCGTGCCCCGCAGGTGCTTCCTCACCCCTGCCACCACCCTGGTGCCCATGCTCACCCCTGACTGCCGGAGCAGCATGCGCTGGCAGTGCGTCCCGCCGCCCAACTACGGCAGCGCATGCGGCCCAACTAAGGCCCCTCGCGCTACCGTCGCCAGTGCCGACTGCGACAGCTTGTCGCTCAGCGACCGTTGCAGCAGCTGCGAGAGCCTGTGCAGCCTTGAGCTGGCCCCTATGCTGCCCCCAAGAGAGGTCCTTGACAGCCGCAGGCGCGCTGTGGGCACCTTGCAGCGTGAGATGAACCTCCTCTTCGCTCAGAAGATGGAGGAGCTGCGCAGTAAATCGCCCATGTTCTTCGCCGGTAAGGTGGAGCAGCCATTGCAGTGCCCACTGTAGTACCCATAGAGAAGCCGTAGAGGCACCTATAGCAGTCCCTGACAGCTGCCATAGTGGCCATAGTGAGCCCATTGTGTAGTGCTGATCCCCTAGTTGTAAGCCCTGTGCTGTGAGCAGTCCCCCAAGAGGGCCCACCCTTCGGCAAGCCAATATCTATGGGCTTGTAGTTCCCTGGGTGTTCTATAGTCCAGAACCGAGGTCCCCTCGCCAATCAAAATCTCCTTTTTGTCTAGACCTCCAGTTCTTTCACCAATCAAAAGTTCCCTTTAGGCTTTCCCTGACCAATCAAAATCTCCTTTAGTTCATTAGCACCAAAATCCCCACTAAATACCCATTGTGACTAAATTGATGAACTCGATGACACTGAAAGGCAGTGCATAATTGTACTAATGTTTAGCAAACAATGTGTTAATTTTCTTATTTCTTTGTCTGACAAAAACATGCTCTGTGTCCAACAGATGAAAGAACAACTGGTAAGTGAAGGACCTGTAACTAGGGTTGCAAAGGGAGGGTATATTACTGGAGGCTTTCGAAGTTTAAGTATCTTTGAAGGATTTTATGTATATCTATTACAAGACATCTAGTGGTCCTTTTCAGGTACTTCACAGGTGTCTGTAATTATCTCTGGCCTCTGGCCTCATCCCATGTAAAATATATACTGAACAAAAATATAAACGCAACATGTAAATTGTTGGTCCCATGTTTCATGAGCTGAAATAAAAGATCCCAGAAATGTTCAAAACGCACAACAAGCTTATTTCTCTTTTTGTGCACACATTTGTTTACATCCCTGTTAGTGAGCATTTCTCCTTTGCCAAGATAATCCATCCACCTGACAGGTGTGGCATATCAAGAAGCTGATTAAACAGCATGATCATTACACAGGTGCACCTTGTGCTGGGGACAATAAAAGGCCACTGTAAAATGTGCAGTTTTGGCACACAACAGTTTTGTCTCAAGTTTTGAGGGAGCGTGCAATTGGCATGCTGACTGCAGGAATGTCCACCAGACCACATGTAACCACGCCAGGCCAGGACCTCCACATCCGGCTTCTTTCCCTGCGGGATCGTCTGAGACCAGCCACTGGACAGCTGATGAAACTGTGGGTTTGCACAACCAAAGAATTTGTCAGAAACCATCTCAGGGAAGCTCATCTGCGTGCTCGTCGTCCTCACCAGGGTCTTGACCTGACTGTACCGGGCAGATGGCAGACGTATGGCGTCGTGTGGGCGATCGGTTTGCTGATGTCAACGTTGTGAACAGAGTGTACCATGGTGGCCGGGGGGTTATTGTATGGACAAGCATAAGCTACGGACAACGAACACAATTGCATTTTATAGAATGCAATCTGAATGCACAGAGATACCGTGACGAGATCCTGAGGCCCATTGTTGTGCCATTCATCCACCGCTATCACCTCATGTTTCAGCATGATAATGCACGGCCCCATGTTGTAAGGATCTGTACAGAATTCCTGGAAGCTGAAAATGTCTCAGTTCTTCCATGGCCTGCATACTCACCAGACATGTCACCCATTGAGCATGTTTGGGATGCTCTGGATTGACGTGTACAACAGCGTGTTCCAGTTCCCGCCAATATCCAGTAACTTCGCACAGCCATTGAAGAAGACTGGGACAACATTTCACAGGCCACAATCAGCCTGATCAACTCTATGCAAAGGAGATATGTAGCGCTGCATGAGGCAAATGGTGGTCACACCAGATACTGACTGGTTTTCTGATCCACGCCGCTACCAGGTAACTGTGACCAACAGATGCATATCTGTATTCCCAGTCATGTGAAATTCATAGATTAGATCCTCATTTATTTATTTAATTTGACTGATTTCCTTAAATCTTTGAAATTGTTGCATGTTGCATTTATATTTTTGTTCAGTGTATGAAATTATTAAATGAGATTTTTAAAATATATATATTGACAAAGCTGTAACAATTGTCCTAAATATAAACCATCAACACACTTTTATTTATTTTACTATGTATAGTGCATTCGGAAGGTTTTCAGACCCCTTGACTTTTTCCACATTTTGGTACGTTACAGCCTTATTCTAAAATTGATTAAATTGTTTTTTTCCCTCATCAATCTACACACAATACCCCATAATGACAAAGCAAAAACAGGTTTTTACATTTTGGGGCAAATTTATAACAAAACAACAACTGAAATATCACATTTACATAAGTATTCAGACCCTTTACTCAGTACTTTGTTGAAGCACCTTTGGCGGTGATTACAGCCTTGAGTCTTCTTGGGTATGACACTACAAGCTTGGCACACCTGTATTTGGGGAGTTTTTCCCATTCTATTCTGCAGATCCTCTCAAGCTCTGTCAGGTTGGATGGGGAGTGTCACTGCACAGCTATTTTCAGGTCTCTCCAGAGATGTTCGATCGGGTTCAAGTCGGGCTCTGGCTGGGCCACTCAAGGACATTCAGAGGCTTGTCCCAAAGCCACTCCTGCGTTGTCTTGGCTGTGTGCTTAGGGTCGTTGTCCTGTTGGAAGGTGAACCTTCGCCCCAGTCTGAGGTCCTGAGCGCTCTGGAGCAGGTTTTCATCAAGGATCTCTCTGTACTTTGCTCCGTGCAGAATTTCTTTGTCAACTGTGAGACCTTTATATAGACAGGTGTGCCTTTCCAAATCATGTCCAATCAATTGAATTTACCACAAGTGGACTCCAATCAAGTTGTAGAATCATCTGAAGGATGATCAATGGAAACAGGACGCACTTGAGTCTCATAGCAAAGGATCTGAATACTTATGTAAATATTGTTTTAATTTGTATTTCTAAAAAAATTGCACAAATTTATAAAAACCTGTTTTTGCTTTGTTATTATCGGGTATGGTGTGTAGATTGATGAGGGGAAAAAATTATTTAATCCATTTTAGAATAAGGCTGTAACGTAACAAAATGTGGAAAAAGTGAAGGGGTCTGAATACTTTCCGAATGCACTGTAAATATGTGTTGTCAATGTTTTGGAGTCAAACTGATGGCATTTGTGAAAAAAGTCAATAGTTGAAAGAGTTGCCGAGTTAATTGAAAATAATGCCATTGTTGATTTAGATGGTTTTTCATTAATTAGGCTATTTGCTCTTGAACTAAGGTATATCTACTAGAAACTTATGGACAATATGGAAACAGATATAAAAATTGAATACTGTATATGAATATATTTTTTTGTTTGTTATTGAAGTATAAATTACCAAAGTTTCGATACTTTGCCATATATTTTCTGTTAATTACCAAAATTACCGAACATTCCAGTAACTTTAGTAAATTACCAGTAGCTTTGCAACCCTACCTGTAACTGGTGTGAAATGGCGACGCAAAAAACAGAGCTCAATTCACCATCATTCTATGGAATGTACACCACCTTGTTTGACTGCAGAAAGGCTCCATTTCACTCTTGAACTCAAACCTCCTTGGTAACACTGAACAGATAACATCCCCCAGCAATGAAAGAGCCAAACCATTTTGCAAAAGGTCGAAGGAATTGTCCATAGAGCTCCGAGACAGGATTGTGTCAAGGCACAGATCTGGGGAAGGGTACCAAAAAATGTCTGCAGCATTGAAGGTCCCGAAGAACACAGTGGTCTCTATCATTCTTAAACGGAAGAAGTTTGGAACCACCAAGACTCTTCCTAGAGCTGGCCTGCCGGCCAAACTGAGCAATCTGGGGAGAAGGGCCTTGGTCAGGGAGGTGACCAAGAACCCAAGGGTCACTCTGACAGAGCTCCAGAGTTTGTCTGTGGAGATGGGAGAACCTTCCAGAAGGACAACCATCTCTGCAGCACTACATCAATCAGGCCTTTATGGTAGAGTGGCCAGATGGAATCCGCTCGTCAGTAAAAGGCACATGGCAGCCCGCTTGGAGTTTGCCAAAAGGCACCTAAAGACTCTCAGACCATGAGAAACAAGATTCTCTGGTCTGATGAAACCAAGATTGAATTATTTGGCCTGAATGCCTAGTGTCACGTCTGGAGGAAACCTGGCACCATCCCTACGGTGAATTATGGTGGTGGCAGCATCATGCTGTGGGGATGTTTTTCAGAGGCAGGGATTGGGAAACTAGTCAGGATCGAGGGAAAGATGAACGGAGCAAAGTACAGAGAGATCCTTGATGAAAACCTGCTCCAAAGCGCTCAGGACCTCAGATTGGGGCGAAGGTTCACCTTCCAACAGGACAACGACCCTATGTACATAGCCAAGGCAACGCAGGAGTGGCTTCGGGACAAGTCTCTGAATGTCCTTGAGTGGCCCAGCCAGAGCCCGGACTTGAACCCGATCGAACATCTCTAGAGAGACCTGAAAATAGCTGTGCAGCGACGCTCCCCATCCAACCTGACAGAGCTTGAGAGGATCTGCCTAGAAGAATGGGAGAAACTCCCCAGTTACAGGTGTGCCAAGCTTGTAGCGTCATACCCAAGAAGACTCGAGGCTGTAATCGCTTGCAAAGGTGCTTCAACAAAGTACTGAGTAAAGGGTCTGAATACTTATGTAAATATGATATTTCATTTTTTATTTCTAATACGTTTGCAAAATTTCTAAAAGCCTGTTTTTGCTTTGTCATTATGGGGTATTATGTGTAGATTGATGAGGGGGGAGAAACAATTTAATCCATTTTAGAATAAGGCTGTAACATAACAATGTGGAAAAAGTCAAGGGGTCTACTGAATACTTTCCGAATGACCTTGAGGAGCCCTTCACCCCCTGATCCCCAGTCCACAACATGATGAACACCAGCTGTCCTCTCTCCCCTTCTAAGTATCTCCCACTCACTGCATTACATCAGAGGGAATCACGAGTTGTTCCTTTTGGGGGAAAAGAGGGGTTGGGGTGGGATTTGTGTTTATCCCTTTGGGTCTCAGATTTATGTTGCAATGAAGAATGTTTGCCATAAATTTAACACAACACCCTATTACTCCGCAGAGAATATATCACAAGTTTTCTCTTCAACCGTTAAACCCTGCTTGAGCAGCTGTCCTTGACAGTTTTATTTTTTATCTTATTTCATCAGCTGTTACGAAATCAGCAGCTACTCTTCCTGGGATCCACACTTTCCAACGGCTCTCTTGTGTTATGGTGTGCTCTATGTTCACAACACAGTATAATATATAAGGACAAACTATCAACTTCACAATATCACGTTTATAAACTATTTAAAACCATGTCTACAATAGATAGTCCCCTGTCAGTGGACTATCTATCTATTGTAGACATGGTTTTAATAGTTTATAAATGTGATATTGTGAAGTTGATATAGTTTGTCCTTATAAATTAGTAGTATTCTGTTATTCTGATAAATTGCCTTATCAACTTGCTCAAATGACTGTGCATTCGGGAAGTATTCAGACCCCTTCCCTTTTTCCACATTTTGTTATGTTACAACCTTATTCTAAAATGGTTTAAATACATGTTTTACTCATCAATCCACACACCATACCACATAATGACAAAGCGAAAACAGGTTTTTAGAATTTTTTGCAAATTGTATACAAATAAAAAACAGAAATACCTTATTTACATAAATATTCAGATCCTTTGCAATGAGACTCTAAATTGAGCTCAGGTGCGTCCTGTTTCCATTGATCATCCTTGAGATGTTTCTAAAACTTGATTGGAGTCCACCTGTGGTAAATTCAATTGATTGGACATGATTTGGAAAGGCACACACCTGTCTATATAAGGTCCCACAGTTGACAGTGCATGTCAGAGCAAAAACCAAGCCATGAGGTTGACAGTGCATGTCAGAGCAAAAACCAAGCCATGAGGTCGAAGGAATTGTCAGTAGAGCTCCGAGCCAGGATTGTGTCGAGGCACAGATCTGGGGAAGGGTACCAAAAAATGTCTGCAACGTTGAAGGTTCCCAAGAACACAGTGGCCTGCATCATTCTTAAACTGAAGAAGTTTGGAACCACCAAGAACCTTCCTAGAGCTGGCCGCCCGGCCAAACTGAGCAATCGGGGGAGAAGGGCCTTGGTCAGGGAGGTGACCAAGAACCCAAGGGTCACTCTGACAGAGCTCCAGAGTTTGTCTGTGGAGATGGGAGAACCTTCCAGAAGGACAACCATCTCTGCAGCACTACATCAATCAGGCCTTTATGGTAGAGTGGCCAGATGGAATGTGCTTCAACAAAGTACTGAGTAAAGGGTCTGAATACTTATGTAAATGTGATATTTCAGTTTATTTTATTATTGTATTTTTTAAATATAAAAACCTGTTATTGTGTATAGATTAATGAGGGAAAACAACTATTTAATCTATTTTTAGAACAAAGCTGTAATGTAACAAAATATGGAAAACGTCAAGGGGTCTGAATACTTTCCGAATGCACTGTATGCTCTCTTGCTTAAGCGCTCTCTTCTCCTCTGCACTGTCCTCCCTCTCTTATTTCCTATTTTTCTCCAGTTGTGCTAAACTCCTCTTTGTTCTGTCCCTCATGCACGCTCTCTCTGTTCGTAGTGCAGAATTGAGGGGATGACCAAAGCCAGGTAAAGAGAACCCTTGAACGTCTGCACGCTCACCAACTGTTTTCTGCTCACTCACTGTGCCTTGCCTGTCTTCATAATCCTCCTTCAATCCCTTCACTCACTCACACTGCCCCGTTTGCACCGTGTCGTGTTTAAGGGCAGGGTCGTATTCACTAGGCACCAAACTACAAGTGGTGGCTAAAGTTAGCTGAAGTATGTAATGGCTGTACCATGGATTATAGTTTTTCCTGGCCCATAGACTACTTTCAGGGTGAGGAACCATCTAACATCAAGCTGTAAAATAGTTAACTACACCTTTAATGGAATTACATGTCATCAACAGGTTGAGCTATGGACATAGATTTCACGAGAATGACTTGGGAGTATTTAACTGTGTTTGGTGCATATGGATGTGGACACATGGAGTCTCACTGTGTGAATGATCATCCTAATTACAACTACACTGCTGGTGATTCCCATTCCATCGTTGTCATATTGTTCTTTTTTCAGGTCAAAACCATCCTGGTCATCAGTGTATGCACGCAATTCATCATGTTGAATATTCATCATTTAGGCATCTATCCATCAATGGCCCATCTATTGCATATGTTGACAAACCTCAGAGGTGCCTTATTGCTATTATAAACCGGTTACCAACATAAATATAAGTAGATTTGCGTCATACCTGTGGTATATTGTCTGATATACCACAGCTTTCAGCCAATCAGCATCCAGATGCCAAACTACCCAGTTTATAATCTTGTATATGGGTAATTCTACAGAAGTAGAAATTGGGGGTAGAAAATAAATACAATTGTATCCTATTTTTCCCAAAATATCAGCACACATATCTTCGAGCATATGTCAGGTAGACATATACTACTCACACACTTGCATATTTGTATTGCATATTTGAAATATTTACCTGAATTCCTTACCACCCCACTACATTTATCACTACCAAAACATAGTAGTGATCATTTTGATTAACCTTCTATTACAGATAAAAAATAAAACTAATTACCAGTAGAGCACAGTACAGTAGAGCACAGTACAGCAGAGCACAGTACAGCAGAGCACAGTACAGCAGAGCACAGTACAGCAGAGCACAGTAGAGTAGAGCACAGTACAGCAGAGCACAGTAGAGTACAGTACAATAGAGTACAATAGACCAAGACCACTAAATCAAGAGTCCATGGGCCCCTTCTTCAATTGTAAGAAACTCAAGTAGAGTAAGCTTGGGTACAGTACAGTATAGCACATTATAGACGTCTATCTTTTGGCCAAATAGATGTCAATGTTTGGGCTCTTGGAGGGTTGGAGCCCCCCTCCTGGCGATGCATCTCAATACTCTACACTATTTCCTGAAGTGTGCACTTGTCCACTACCCACATGGTGGTCCTCTGTAGCTCCGTTGATAGAGCATGGCGCATGCAACTTTAAAATGGAGATAGTCTCAATGGCACTGCCTGTGCTGTCACCATAATGGCACAGATAAAGATGAGACCTCTATATATCTCTATAGTGTCAATTGTTTCGGTTGTGAGCGTTTTTGTTTGGACAATTTTGACTTATTTGGGACTTTAAAGAATCCCCATAGCTAACATATGGCTGGATAGCTTTCATTTGGACAGATGTACATCCCAGAAAACATATATGTCAGTCCTAAAACCGTACTTTACATATTTCTTGATATATTAGATGTTTTGTAGGGACAATAATCAAAAACACATGAATATTTACCAACTTTCTCACTCATTTTCTCACCATGGTGCCATGCTGGTGAGGGGTGAAATCCCATCACCTGATGATATTTGTAGGTGTGTGGCTTTAGGCACATTCATTCTACAGTCTTTTAATGTGTGTGTTTTGGTAGTGACATCAAAAGGTGGGACAGCATTTTTAGTTTTTTACATAAAAATAAATAAATAAATACTAATTAGATCAATATCTTTCAATGTAATAATATAACTCAAGATGTTCTATTAAAATTATAGTGTTTACAAATATTACAATCATTAATTGCTTAGGAGTCAGGGTTTGGGACAGCCACCTCTCAATAGAAATGACTTTATACTATATCAATTTAACAATGTGTTTGTTATTGCCTTGGATTGAATTATATCATATCATGGTGAATATAAATGTCCTAAGTTTGGAGATGTAACTGTTTATTTTAAATAGTTTTTTTGGGGTGGGACTGCAATTTGCACCACTTCTGTAGAATCAACCATATACTGTATGCATCATAAGGCTCACATAACGATACTATAAGCATGCTACTTGTAGTAACCATTTTGACTGCTGATAACAAATGTCGTCCTGTAGTTACTGATCTGGTTCTTCTCTTCTCCCTCTCCAGACCATTCCACAGGGCAGAGACCAGCTCCCCCTCTTCCACTGTTCAGGCCAATTGCTGAAGAACTGGGTGACAGACATCTCACTCGCTCCGCTTCCACTCCAGCAGACCACTCATCAACACGTCACTCCCCACCTCCACCCCTCCCTCCAGCCACAGCAATAACCACTACCACTCCATCCCCTGCTTCTAAGAGTGAGGCGGACAGTCCCGTAAACGGTAGGGGGAAGGAGGTTCCCGTCAAGGGAAGGGGGGACAGCAAAATACCCCCTGTCCTTCACAGGACCACCTCAGCCCCCGTCGTACCCGTCCCGGGGGAGAGACCGGACCCCAAAGACCTGACCCCCTCACAGTCCAGCAGAGACCACCGGCTCAACAACGGCACCTCGTCACCCATGGAGCACACTCCAAGCCGAACGGAAGCACTGTATACTCCGACAGACCACACAAAGGAGGATGCCGAGCGCAAGACTGAGACAAGGGCAGAGTCTCCTGCTCTTCTCGCCGACCCCTCTATCTCCAGCCCTCAGAAAGTCCAGGCCCTGAGAGCGATGTTCGGCGGCAGCCCGTCGCGCACGCCCATCAGAAGGACCAAAAGCAAGGGCTACGTGCGGTCGGCGGCTGGGGAGCAGCAGCAGTCGTCTGCTGTGCCGGAGGTGTGCACGGACGCCACCCTGAACGACCGGCTGTGGAGCAAGCTGGAGCCCGAGCCGGGCAGCCACAGAGACAGCGTGTCCTCGTCCTCCAGTATCTCGTCCAACGACACCGTCATTGATCTGTCCCTGCCCAACCTGGCCAGGAAGAGCCTCACCTGCCTGAGCAGCGGGCCCTCCCCATCCGACAGCACCTTCCAGGACCCACCCTCCTGGGTCACCCGGCCACGCTTGGCCATCACCTCTTTTGACACAATACGGGTCAGCAAGAGCAAGTCCAACCCCAACCTCTGGCAGGGCCACCTGGGGGAGCCAGAGGACGAGCTGCAGCCCAGACCCCTCGGAGCCCCCAGGGAGCCTCCAGTGGACTCACCCAGCAGAATCACCCAGAGGAGGCACACCTGGAGCCGCCTCTATATGGAGGGACTGAAGCAGTCCTCCTCCCCAGCCAAGAAGCCCTCTGCAGCAGCAGTCCTTGCTGCTGCTGCCGCCAGCCCCCTGGATACCGGAGCCTCTATGTCCAAGAGCTTGGGGGACTTGACCTCGGACGACATCGCTTGCAACTTTGACAGCAAGTACCGCAGCATCAGCCGCAGCTTCATCGTCAGGCCCTCTAGGAACGATCCTCGACGAGGTCCCCAGAGGCCCCGGCCGCCCAGCGACCTGATGGAGCAGCTGAGGAGGCTGACGGACGTGGAGCCCCTGACGGCACGCGACTTCGCCAACCAGGCACAGCAGGATCCCCCGGAGGAGGCTCAGGAGGAACCCCCGCTACGGAGAATGTCCTCCCGGAGTCAGAGCAGGGTGCGCTACATCGCCAACAGGGCCAAGGAGGCCCAGGAAAGGAAGAGGCTGCAAGGTCTCAACCAGCCCCACCTAGCCGCCGCTAACGCTAGCATTTTCGGTGGCGGTAGCCCTATTGAAGAGCGGGGTAACCCGGAGGGGGCGTGCTGCGTAGCCCAGAGCCCCTGCGCTAGCTTGGACCTGTTGAGCCAGCTCAGCCCCCCAGGGCCGCCCCCCAACAGACAGTCCCAGACACAGTCCCAGACCTCCCCGAACTCTGACAACAGCGAGGTCTTTTTCATGCTCAAGCTCTAAGAATCAGACTAGTTTTGGACCGGACCGTGAGAGACACTGAAGCGAAACTCATTTAGAATTCCATCCAGCGTTCTAGGAAGGGGAAAATGTCATTTATAAAGAAAGGGAATTCTGTATATCTTGACAGGATGTGTTTTTAAATGTGTTTAATCAAGCACTGAATAATGCTACTTCTTCCAGAAACTTACAGGTACAGTCACAAGCACAGTTGATAAGCCAAGCTGATCACAAAGGATGTACAAGTCATTTTTCCTACAAAGTGACCACACACACACAAATAATAGAAACAGCGGTGAGCTGTCTTATGAAAGCATCCTTTACCAATATAGTCATTTGTTTGCACCAAATGAGGAATGGTGGAATGTAATTGGAAAAACAAACCTCGACAATAGTTTTTATATGCTTGACTGTTCAGTGACTTCCATGCTTTGAGTATTCATTGTGAGTTGAGCTGATCCCAAAGTAGCAATAGACAACCATTAGTGGAGTTTTAGAGAGTCTGATTAGAAAACCTTTTTTAAACTTGAAATTGAATAATATATACTGTACTTTTAAATTTAAGATTGAATAATAAACTGTGTTAACTCATGATATATCACCAGTAGCCCAGCCATGTGCTAGCAATATTTTAAAAACAGCTATTAGTGGATTATATTGCAGATAATGTGATTGATGGGTTTTCTTAAAGGTTGTTGTTTAGGCAAGGGCCCCTGCAGACTCTTTACTAAAAACAACACAAGAAGTAAATGACAACAACAACAAAATCCAAAACAAGTCTTTTTAACCCAACTTTTTTTTATTCTGTGCGTACAGTGAAGTGTGATTTGAGTGAGCTGCCAAGGATTTGGCAAGTTCTCCCATACAGGTTATTTTTATTTTAGACAACACAGAGTATGTTGTTGTTTTTTTTACCATGTTACCCATTTTTTATTTGACTGCATGTCTTTTAAACACAGTATCGTATGTCTCATATTTTATTATACAAAAAACGTTATATGGGACCTGATATTTCGACTTTCCTTGCTCAGTGTTCAGGCTGTTGAATGATGTGATTGGTCACACTCTCATTGTAGAGACTCAACCAGATAGGAGTGACCCTGTTTCCACGCGCGTTTGTAGTGTACCATTTGTACTGCCATGCCAGTTCTCTGCAACCTTTTAGGAACCATAATTATTGAAGTAAAACCCAGATGTCATTATGAACTGAATAAATATCTCTACTGTATATTACACAAGCTTATAGATTTTTTTCTTTCATTCAGTCGCATTGGACTCTTGTTCGGACATTGGACTCTTGTCTCAATGTTCGGACCAAAGATTTATCTTGGAACAAAATAGGCTGCCAGATTAAATTATCTTTACAGAAGTTGACATGTAAAAGCATTTGAACTTGGCAAGGCGGCTTCCCTAGCTGCCCTAATTATGGACTGCCTGGCTGGGCTGTATTGACCAACCACCACCTCTCCTAACCTCAATGGCGTAGTTCACAAGACTCCCTGATGGGGAGAAATGTTGCAGAACAATGACTCTGGCCACAATACATGCCCAGCCAAGAAAAGAAAACAGAATAACATCCTTTCTATTACATTTGCCACCCAAGATTTTGGAAAATAAATGTTGTCACACTTTTAATGAACTACAACTTTTAAACCTATCATAAGGCCTAGATATAGAGGCTTCAAAAGTCTTCCAGGAACTTGCCATGTAAGGGTACGTTATATCACCCTTTGTGTATGACATCGCTTATAACACATTTGGGGAATCATTTGTGTAGTGCTTAATGACTGCTCAATACAGCCTGCATAATTTTTAGTTCATGTGACTAAAACCGTTAAGACCGTTAAAGCCTTGTTTATACTTTCGCTGTACTGACCTATCAATCAACGGATAACGGTTGGCCAACAGTGTTTTTGAGTCTGGGGTTGCCAAGACGACGGCCACCCCTAGTGAAGCTGTTGGCTATAGCTAGGCCTCTTATTCTGTACTGGGAGAGGGTTCTGAAGCGCGACATGCTCCTTTTAGCGTCACCGACTGTGCCCTGCTGTCACACATACAAAAGACAGCTTCATTAGGATTCCGAGGGCATTTCGACTCCCCTCTTCAAACCCTATTTATCCAGTCGATTGGCCATGGCTCAGCCCTCCAACCAAAACTCCAGCCCCCCATGACTCCAAGCTCACAACTTCTCTGGAAGAAATTGAGATTTATGGAATTAAGTAAATAACGTTTTTAAGACTGAGCTCTGTATGAATTTACCAGTTCCAGGCATTCCTCCAAAGTATACAACATTGAAAAGATGAGTTAATTGCCCTGTGTTAGTCTCTTTAGTTAATTTCAACAGGGGGTGTCTTTTGCTTAGGTACCAAATAAGTATTTATCAGATTATTGAATAGTGGAGTCTAGTCTCTCGTTGATGGTATCATGGGGATTAACTTAAAGTAACCAAACAAGCTAACACTGCAGCCAATTTTTTATATATATATATTTTTTGTATTTAACCTTTATTTAACTAGGCAAGTCAGTTAAGAACAAATTCTTATTTACAATGACGGCCTACAATACGAAAATAAACAGGTTGACCCTTCATGTGGCTCAATGAACTTAGTCCCTGGCCACATCCTCAAAAGGATTCTTCTATAAACAGTTCTCTCTCTCTAGCACTGTTCTTTTGCCAATAAGCTCCTTTAGAGTTAGCTTCAAGAATAGGACGTTTGTTTTCAGTGACCACATATCTTCCCTCTGGTTCCAACTCTCCTCCTGATGATTCCCAAAGGATTCGTCAGGGTCGGAAATCTGCTCATTTCGCCACTCATCCCCCTGGCTCCCGGGAACTGGATCTGTTTCATTGGTAGCCAGGAACTTTTATTTTATTTGTAGTTTTTGAGAGGGAAGGGGGATGATTGGTTGGGGGCTCTCTTACGTAACCTGACAAAACAAGTCTTGTTATCTTGATGTGCATCACTGTAAGCTGCTAGTGTGTTATAGTCATACCGTTACGTTCCCTTTCAGTCAGTCAACTTCAGTACAACATACTACGGGGAAATAGAATCACGCCCCAAGCTGACCCCAATGGATACTAAATGAAATGGCCCATGGCAGACCACCCAGACCTGACCCCGCAAGATGCGGCAGTCTGGGTATTTTTCTCACGGCGCTCTACCTAGTGACTTTCTCCTGGCCCAACTGTAAGCACACTAGCAGCAGTGACGTCCAAGCAATAAAACCTAACAAAAGTATGTGGTGATGCCCAACTCGCCGCAGCACAAATATCTCCTACAATCAAACCTTTAAATAATGCCCAAGATGCTGCCAGACCCCTGGTGGAGTGGGTGCGTACACCGCTAGGTAACCTTTGCCCCTTGCTGCTATATGCAATCCAGTGGGAGAGACGCTGCTTAGAGAGCACCCTGTCACGAGCACCCTGTCGCGAGCTGGATTAGCAAAACAGACAAACTGATCAGATAACCACTTAACCCAGGTCCGTTCAATGTACGTGCGTGAGGCTCGCACTGGACACAGGGCATGTAACCTCTGTTGCTCTTCAGAAGCAAAAGGAGGAGGCGAAAAGGGAAATAGCTCAAACGCTAAGGACCTCTAGGACGTAGCCATGACATTCGGGGCAAAGTGCGTATTTGGACGCAACGTCACCTTAGAGTCGCCCGGGGCAAACTGAGTACAGGAAGGGTGTCCGGATAACGCATGGAGGTCCCCAACACGTTTAGCCGAGGCCAAAGCCACGAGAAAGGAGTTTTTATAAGAGAGGATCTTCAGATCCACTGACTCAAGTGGTTCGAAAGGGGGCTTCATTTTCATTGCGCATTTTGTCGTGATGGGTAACGATATATGTCGGCCCTGACAAAAATTACGCTCCTCGTCTGTTGATGCACGCCACCACTGACATATTGTCGGTTCTGACCCGCACAAGCCAGCCCGACAAAAACTGGGGGAAGCGCCTGAGCGCCAGATGCACCGTTAGGAGCTCCGGGTAATTGATATGCAGTGCGCTCCGCACCAGTGTCCACACCCCCCCGAATTGAGTTGCCTTCGTACAGTGCACTCCACCCTCGGGAGGGTGGGTCTGTCGTGATTACCTTGCGGGATACAACTCCTGGGAGCCCCCTGACCATAGCAGAGGGTCCCATCACTGGGCCATGGCCCGTAGGCCCGACAGACACCCGAAGCAACCGGCTTAGGCTGAGAGATGCATCCAGGTGAGTGGCTAGCACTCAAAGCTGGAAGGGCCGCATCAACAATAGCCCCAGAGGAACGACTTCCATCACAGAAGCCATCATGCCCAGTAGAAGTAGGCACTGGCGAAAACGCACTTTGTGGCCCAGTCGAAATCTGGCTAAGCAGACCAGGAACCCGGGCACTCGGGGGCTGCTTCGTCATCGGAGGTGAATGCAAGTCCCGCTTTTCTCCACTCCCTCCAACTCCGGGAATTGAAAATAGGAATGGGGTTGCCATAACGCTGAGGGAACACTAGTAAGCTTAATTCACTGGAAGTTATGCATGCTAGCCGACATTAGTCAGGAAGCTCTTTATTCTAAGTTAGGCTAGCTAGCCTCTTTGACCGCAGCACGGCCCGTTTAGAATAACCAAGCGACTTAACACTATGTATACAAAACAAGAGAGTTACCCAAGCAACTCCACCTTGAGGAGGCAGGAATAGCTAGTAGTAGCTAGCTCGCCTCAGTGAGTTAGCTAACCTGGCTAGCACGCTATGCAGCGCTTGTTAGCTAGCATGGTCTCAAAAGTCTACGTAGGACAGGATCACTGAAGTGGGACCAGACCCTTCATTGACAAGTCTGGGAAGAGAGGCAAGCAGTGCTTGACTGAGACAGACACAGGCGGCAGGGAGTACCCATTGAACCTGTCGGCCCTCTCTCTTCGAGTAGCCTCCCGTAACCGGCGATAGAGCGCACAGGAGCCGGGTTGAGCTTGGGCAGCCACTGCACACACCATGCCCAGGCAGACAAGACATTTGATTCGACCAAAGATCCAATCCATCTCTGCGTCCCACAACTCAGATACAGCAGAGGAACGGCCACCCGGGAGAGGAAGTCACTATAGGAAACACCAAGCCCCCTAAAAAATGCTACACGATTGTCAAGAGAACCTGCGCATGGACTAGTAGGGGCTCAGTGCCAGCCGTCCCCTAGTCCTGCACACAAACTGATTTGAACGAGGGCATGCCAGAGCATGCACCGAGACACACAAGACAACATTTGAGCATGGTCGCAAACCCCAACCCGGCTTAGCCTTCGTTCTCTAGGTCGCATCTTACTCATTACTATAGCCAGGCCAAGCAATCCGAAGAATAACTCATTGTTTGTGATTAGGAAACTATGAGAACCATACAAACTCCAGCTCACAACGTCCAGGGGGTGAGCACGCTCTACCACAAAGGGACAGTTTAGTCGGCACAACGTAGTAGCGTGAATCGTTCCTGTTCACACTGAGGTAAAGAGCGGAATAATTGAAGGGATTTCTTATCACCTGTGGAAGGCAGGGATTCCAGCGTGGTGTTGATTACATTGGCCTTGTCAGGTGTGATTTTAGATTCTTCAACCGAAGTCGCGAGTGCGACTCCCCATATTATGTTGTACCGAAGTTGACTAACTGAAAGCGAACACATTGGGAGGGATCATAGACCATTCCTCCATACAGAATCCTTCCAGATCCTTGATGTCCTTCGTCTGCGCTTACGGTCTGCCATCTTCAATTCAAACCACCTAAATCTCCTGCATTGTATGGGTGTGCTACTACTCCCCTTTACTGCACCCAACCCCCACTTCTCCATTTACTAGGAACTTATTTTTTCTTCTCCTTTTTTTTAGGTGGGGGGGATGAGAGGTTGGGGGCTCTCTTACTTAATCTGACAAAAACAATGATGTGCATCACTCTATAGCTGCTATTGTGCACCAAGGGAAGTGAACAAGTGCACACTTTGGGAGAAAGGAGATTAGATTCGAGAGATTATTGGGACGCAACCCACATGTCTTAGAGTCCTCCACATCTCCTTCCATGTCCAACCCCTTTATAATTTCGGGTTGCGTGTGGGTGTGATATCTGCCCCTCTTGCACTGCACCCAACCATCCCTCCCTCTCCATTGACTACTTTGATTGCGTCCTTCCACTCCACCAGAGTTGCTTCTCTACTAAGTAAGACGGAACATCTAAGGTAAGGAAACCTTATTGGAACCCTATTGGACTTTTTCCTATTATTCAGACAGTGCTATTCGCTTTTACAGTGAATTTTGAAAGCAGCATCTTATTGATGTTGTTCCTAAAAGAATTTGAATGTTTTTTTTCTCTTCAATTTGTGATCTATTAATGAACATGTGCATGTGCCATGAGGCATAGTTTATTACAGTTTCTTTGCATTATAACCCCCACATTTGAATTCCTTGTGAAATTCTGGTTTAGGATTTCCAATGTTTTTATAAGAAATAAAGTTGAACCTTGTGACTAACCAAATAGACTAAACCATGTGTTGAACTATAACCCAGTCTGTAGGCGTGGTCCGTCAATCCCAACGCACCATTTGGAAAGCATTGTCCTTGGTTAGCACTTAGTGCTAAAAATGCATTTGTTAAAGATTGATACATAAAATATCATTGTTATACCCTGAGCCAAAATTCCCCTCAATGTGATTACATTTGAAACATTTTTCAAATATGAAAATTATTATTTTAGTGTAAGGTTAATATGCTTTTCTCGTTTGTTGTGCAGGGAAATACTATAACACTTTACACTACAGTGCCCTTATTACTGTGTACTCGTGTAATTAGGTTAACAAGTACTGTATTATTTATTAGGACACTGTACTTTAACATTAGCCCTAACCCTTACCTGGATTAACCTTAAGTACAGTTTTAGAAAAGTGTAATAATGAGTAATTACAATACTTGTTACACTGTAACAGGAATAATTACACCGTAATAAGAGCACTATAATGTAAAGTATAACCGGAATTACTGCCCTCAAATTATAGAAAAATACCTCTGCATATGTATTATTATTATTTCTACAATAATGATCAGTTTGTAGTAATTTTGTTGAATTTGACCCATAGTTTACAATGTTGAAGTTCAAGTTTTGACTACACTCACATTGAGGTCAATATAAACTGAAATCCATGAGCATCTAATCATCAAAAATAAATACAAATGTAAGGTCACCTTGGTCACTGAAAATGAGTTGTCACCTCTTATAATTCTCAGGTTCAGAAGGTGACAACATGAAAGCGTTGATTGGATCAGTCGTGTGTGCTGTGGCACTGCTATCTGGGTTTTGCACTGCTGGTAAATATAAATAAATATATATCTTAAGGTCTCCAAGGAATGCTGCCACTGGTCCAGGTTCAAATATTTTTTATAATCCTCCTAATGGTACGGTTAGGATTTGGGGTTGGGTAATCTGATCGTAGATCTGTGTTTGAGGACCATTTCTACCTTTATCTCCCAGGATAACTTCCTCCCTGCTACTGTCTAGGGTACTCATTAACCATAACCTTTTATTACAGTGACCCCTAGTGGTATCATGTATAAGTGGTCAAGACACCTTTGAAGTATTTTAGGTTATCTATAGGAATTTTGGGAATAAGTGTTGAAAATTAAGTGAATACATTTAGAAAACATACTGAGCCACCAAGCTGTGGCAGGCAATGGCTCTCTAGCGCTGCCTTAATAAAACCTTTGAAAGTCCTCCAGCATCTCAGCATGCCCTAGCCTGTGGGAGGGCGCCCCAAAATGGTTCGTGTCTTGACATTTGACTCTTCCCATTGACTGAGGCTGGATGGCTGGAGCCCTATCAAAGCCCCGGGGCCTCATCAGATCTGAGGCCTGACCATTTCTCACGAGCCGTCCGAGAGGATGCCTGCCACTGCCAACAAAAGAGTGTGATAAATCAATTGAACTTGCAGACAATGGCTCGGGGCAGGCCCGTGAAATGACAGGCATCTCAGTGGGCTTGTAGGTCGATGCCAAAGGTCTTTTACAAATTACTGTTGATGTGTGTCAGTATGCCACTGACACTATACCATACCGAGGGAGCAACCCCGACTGGGCCCCCGGCACCTCCGCTTCCCCGCCTCCAACCCTGGCAGGGCTTGTTAGGTCTTGAGACGGACATGCTGAAATGGCATTGGTCACAGTCAGTCGACGGCAAGGAAAACTATTTTCAGTGTCATGCATAAGGGAGGGGGATTGGAAGGGGGGACTGTTTGCCTCTTCTGCTGGCGGGGTTTGAAGGAGGGGTTGGTTCCAAAACATGCCTTTAGGGAAGAGTGGGGTGGGTAGGAGCCCACTTTAGTCTCACCACAGGGGGTTCAAAACAGCCCTGTGGTACCCCATTACTGGCCCCCTACATTGCCCCCAAAATGGACTCCTTGTCATTGGAGAGAAAAGTGTCTCGTGAGAAAGCTGCTGTACAATACAGCCATTGTTCTCTATCCTGGCTCTTGGGTCTTAACTCATGAAGTTGGAAGAGAGGACAGAGCAGAATATGGTATGACTATACGCTTACATTAGAAGCCCTCAAGAAGCAACTTCTACTAGTTTTCAACAACACAAAGCAAATGAACCAACGCAAGGCCAGGAGAAGGGATTAACGTTGAATCGTATTAAATCACTCATATTATATTTCACTACACAGACAGACTAAAGAGCAGTGTGTATACATTGACATGTTTGTTTTTTGTTGTTCCAGGGCCAGCAGCTTTATCCATCACCACTATATTGGTAAGGTATTATATATACAACATACTAATACGTATCGCAAACGCATGAAAAGGAGACTGGAGTGCCACTCTAATGTAATTCTATGATGGTATGCAAGTTTTAACTTATGATCCACTTGTCGGATTCTCTCCCACCAGCAAGAGCCATACATCATGACCCAAGGGTCTGAGCTGGAGGGGTACTGCATTGACCTGCTCGCGGAGATCGCCAAGAAGTTGGGCTTCAAGTACAATGTGCACCTGGTGAAGGACGGCAAATACGGGCGACAGGACGAGAGTGGCAACTGGTTCGGGATGATCGGGGAGGTGGTCCGAGGGGTGAGTGGCCTGGACAGAAGGTAGCAGGTGGTGGTATAGGGTACGCTGGGGGATTGGTTAAGTCATTCAGACTTGTGTTCAGTAAGCCGTTCATGGCTATACTCACTCACATGTGTGTGTGGGTCCCTATTCCTGTTTGTTTGTCCCTGTTCCTGTGCCTGTGTGTGTTCCTGCTCATGTGTGTGTGTCATTGTGTGGTGTATGTGTGTGTTTGTGTGTATCTACAGTACCAGTCAAAAGTTTGGACACACCTACTCATTCAAGGGTTTTTCTTTCTTTTTACTATTTTCTACATTGTAGAATAATAGTGAAGACATTAAAACTATGAAATAACACATATGGAATCATGTAGTAACCAAAAAAGTGTTAAACAAATCAAAATATATTTTATAATTGAGATTCTTCAAATAGCCACCCTTTGCCTTGATGACAGCTTTGCACACTCTTGGCATTCTCTCAATCAGCTTCACCTGGAATGCTTTTCCAACAGTTTTGAAGGAGTTCCCACATATGCTGAGCACTTGTTGGCTGCTTTTCATTCACTCTGCCGTCCGACTCATCCCAAATCATCTCAATAGGGTTGAGGTCGGGTGATTGTGGAGGTCAGGTCATCTGATGCAGCACTCCATCACTCTCATTCTTGGTAAAATAGGCCTTACACAGCCTGGAGGTGTGTTGGGTCATTGTCCTGTTGAAAAACAAATGATAGTCCCACTAAGCCCAAACCAGATGGGATGGTGTATCGCTGCAGAATGCTGTGGTAGCCATGCTGGTTAAGTGTGCCTTGAATTCTAAATAAATCACAGACAGTGTCACCAGCAAAGCACCCCCACACCATAACACTTCCTCCTCCATGCTTTACAGTGGGAACTACACATGTGGAGATCATCCGTTCACCCACACCGTGTCTCACAAAGACACGGCGGTTGGAACCAAAAATCTCCAATTTGGACTCCAGACCAAAGGACATATTTCCACCGGTCTAATGTCCATTGCTCGTGTTTCTTGACCCAAGCAGGTCTCTTCTTCTTATTGGTGTCCTTTAGTAGTGGTTTCTTTGCAGCAATTCGACCATGAAGGCCTGATTCACACAGTCCCCTCTGAACAGTTGATGTTGAGATGTTTCTGTGACTTGAACTCTGTGAAGCATTTATTTGGGCTGCAATTTTTGAGGCTGGTAACTCTAATGAACTTATCCTCTGCAGCAGAGGTAACTCTAGGTCTTCCATTCCTGTGGCGGTCCTCATGAGAGCCAGTTTCATCATAGCGCTTGATGGTTTTTGTGACAGCACTTGAAGAAACTTTCAAAGTTCTTGAAATGTTCCGTATTGACTTACCTTCATGTCTTAAAGTAATGATGGACTGTCGTTTCTCTTTGCTTATTTGAGCTGTTCTTGCCATAATATGGACTTGGTCTTTTACCAAATAGGGTTATCTTCCGTATACCCCCGCTACCTTGTTACAACACAACTGATTGGCTCAAAAGCATTAAGAAGGAAATAAATTCCACAAATGAACTTTTAAGAAGGCACACCTGTTAATTGAAATGCATTCCAGGTGACTACCTCATGAAGCTGGTTGAGAGAATGCCAAGAGTGTGCAAAGCTGTCATCATTCCATATGTGTGCAAAGATTCCATATGTGTTATTTCATAGTTTATGTCTTCACTATTATTCTACAATGTAAAAAAGAGTTAAAAAATAGGTGTGTCCAAACTTTTGACTGGTAGTGTATGTGTGTGTCTGCTCGTCTGCTCCTATTTATCAGGAGGCCGTCCTGGCGGTCGCCCCTCTGACCCTCACTGCAACCAGGGAGCAGTCGGTGGAGATGAGCACTCCCTTCATGCAGACGGGCATCGGCTTCATGCTGAGCAGGGACCTGGGCTCCGAGGAGAGCCACTCCCTCAGCTTCCTCTTCCCCTTCTCCACGGAGATGTGGGTGGGTGTCCTCTTGGCCTTCCTGGTGACTGGCCTCTGCATTTATCTGGTGGCCAGGTGAGATATCATCATCAACTCGGCCCCATTCCTAATGTAGCCCTTAGCTATGAATGCTAGTTAGTTCGGGGTGAATCCTAACTTCCACTTAAGTCGAATTTCACTTAACTGTTAGTCATCAATTGAAGTCAATGAGAAATTAGGATTGGCCCCTTCTTGCATAAAAAGATGTCAACATACAAATAATGCGTAATGCTATGAAACATATAGGCTACATACAGTACGTCCAGTATACAAATATAACGTGGGAGATGGGGGTGGTTGAAAATAGAGTATTTCAATGGAAGTAGAAACTGCGCTGCTAATTCATCCTTCTAAGAATCTGGTTTAGCCACTGTCCAGAGAATGAAGTTCTGTAAAGAAAGACAGATCTCAATGCTCACTTTACCCCCTCAGGATAAGCCCCTGTGAGTGGGCTGACCCCGAGACAGACGAACACAGCTTCACCCTCCTGCACAGCTTCTGGTACATCACCGGAGCCCTGACCCTGCAAGGTAACGCAGCTATGAGCCAAATCGCCCTCTGACTCAAACTGCTGCTGCCAAGTCACATGTTCAACAGAATCATGCTATTTTGGCAAAGGGAGTCTAGACAGCGGTTTCTGTTCCTGCTGTTTAGACCAGGAGAGTCTAGAACACTATAGAAATAGAATCTGCTTTACTGTGGGTACACTCAATATGGCCTCCACTCTACCCATTATAACTGCAATGGAGATTTTTGTTCTAGGCATTCTATTTCTATGGTCTAGTCTAGAGTCTGGACAGGGATTTCTGATCCTGCTATTAGACAGGATTGTCTACACTGGGATTTCCATTCTTTTCCTTTTAGCTCTCCTAGCTGTGCCATTAAGGAACTAGAGCAAGCACACTTGCTTTCACAAGGCAATTCAGAGAAGCAGATCGTAATTTTGGTGCACATAGAATGGAGTCATGAGTGCATTCAGATGCATGGTCCTCTGCAAATTTTCTTCACAATACAATGAACATAGGCTCATTCTGTTCAGGACAACCCAGGGTAAAACACCATGTCATCTTGTAACTGTACATTTAACATAGTGATCATAAACATTGCCACTACCTTTTCAGAATTCGGAGAATAACAGCACTTAAACAGATTATTAGTAACTGGTTTAAACCGATGGCACCACAAATAAACAATTAGAAATGAACAATTAATGAAATCTATAGTATGGAAATGATAACTTAGAGACTAAAAGGCGCTGCATGGTAAATCCGATGTCTGCATTGGCCGTGCAGCATTTACAGTGATAGGGCCTCTGCAGAAGTCAGGCCATTCATACTTCTTGCTCTTCGCGGAGCATCGCAGAGCTGTTGTGAAGGAAGTTGTCAAGGAAGTGAGTTTGTGTTTATACAGGACCTCCCGCCCCCACCTACCGTCAACCAATCATGTCAATGCGGAGCTATACGGAGCCCTCCACATTGTTACAACATTTGGGAGGCACACGGCGATGCGGTACGAAGCTCAATTTGGCCTCTGCATGCCTCCGGAGGCCCCGCAATTACGTCACACCCTCCATATGGAGCCTCCGACCACATTTCCGGATCAAGCATAAATTGGCTTTTAGAAACAAAATGACTCTATTTGAGATTTAGAAAACTGACATTATATTATGAAGCATTTATAGGCCCTAACAGGAGATAAAATGTACATGTTTTAAATGGTCGGGTGTGGATGGACACGTGTGTGTGTGTGTGTGTGTGTGTGTGTGTGTGTGTGTGTGTGTGTGTGTGTGCGCGCGCTGATGGATGCGTGTGTACGTGTGAATGGGTGCATGTATGTGAGTGTAGAAGTGTGTGTGTGTGCATGTGTGTGTCATACACGCAAAGACGGTGAAAACGCAAGGTAGGGATGCCAACAACATGCATATGAGATTTAACCAACAAAAAACAAGTAAATAAATGAAAACAATAACAGATATATGCCCAAGCCAACACCAAACGAGGGATACCTTGCTTTAGCTTCTTTTTTTTTCTTTTTTTTTTTTTTCTTTTCTTTTTTATTATTAGCATTATTTTTGTATGACTATTATTTCTTAGGGTCAACAGTTACTAGTACCATAGTATCAATTATATTGTTTTATGAAATGCTGATTGTTGGCCTAATTATTTAGGCAAATTATTTTATTTTCAGGTTGGGGGGGGGGGGTTAAATGTATATATATGTTGTTGTGATTCTGTTGTGATCTAAAACCAATATATAAAAAGTATTTTAAAAATAAATGTTGGCACATGAGTTTTATGATATGGAAATGTGACTCAAGGGTGTTTGGCTTGCTTGTATGACATCAAAGCAGTATTTATTATAATCCTCAACATCTCATCTTTCATAATACATAGAGTCCTCGTAATTTACAGCATTTCCGTCACTCAGACAACAAAAAAATCGCAGAAGGGATGGGGGCAACTGCTCAAGTTCAGAACGGCTGTCAGTCAATACCCATACAGCACTGTGAAGCGCAGAGCCTGAGCTCTGACGTCATGTATAGCATGTTACTGTACAGCCACTGTGTTCTAATTTAGGCATTTATCAGTGTCCAAATCTGCCATTTCCAACCCGTATACCGGTACGAGTATAAAGGGCTACACGCATGAGCAATCTATATACTCTGTTATGTTCAAAACATCTTCTACATTGCTCGTCTTAAGAGAAAACTACACTCTAAAAATAAAAGGTTCCTGGAGTATCCTTTAGGGGTTCTTCAAATTGAAACTGTGGGGGAACCCCTATAAATTCTTCAAATAATCCTCGAAGAACTTTGAGGATCTTAGAAGAACCCTTGTTGAACCCCTACTTTTTAGAGTGCAGGACGGATAATATGGGTGTTTGCACACTTTCTATTGTAGTCCAGAAGAAGGTGATGGAGTGACAGGAAAAATAAGTTTGAGTTTCTAAAGTGAAAAGCGTTTTTCAGTCTCCCCAACAGAAGTTCCATGTATGTTTTTAAGTGATCCGTCCCATGTCTGTTTCAATCATAGAATACAATTTTACATAATATAATGGATCTCTGGTTTGTGTTCTCAGGTGCTGGCCCACACCCTAAAGGCCTGTCTGGCCGCATTATCAGCGCTGTCTGGTGGGTGTTTGCGTTGGTGCTCCTGGCCTGCTACTTCAGCAACTTCAACACCATGCTACGCTCGGACCCCAAACACGTCTCGGTGATGAACTTCGATGAGCTGGCCAGACAGGACGTCATTGACTATGGAACAGTGGAAGGCGGCTCCACGTTCAATTTCTTCAAAGTACATCTAGAACCGCTAATGTCTCAACAACCGTGGCCTAAAATCATCTGACCGACTTTGCATTTCTAAGATTCCCTTTTCACTCCCATTTCTAGAACTCCAACAACCCCACCTACCGACGCATCTTCCAGCACATGGAGAGGAAGAAGAGTTGTGTGGCTTCTGTGGAAGAGGGCAATCGACGTGCCCAGGAAGGCAACTACGCCTTTATTGGCGAGGCAGCGTCTCTGGACCTGGCTGTGGCTCGCCACTGCAACCTGATCCGCAGTAGTGAAGTCATTGCCATGAGAGGGTACAGCATTGCAGCACCCCTAGGTGAGCCCCTAGCAGCTGGGTCCACAGTACAGCCCATAGATGGACCTGATATATGGAAATCTGTGCTATCAATAGGGAACATTGGGAACATTGTTTGTGTTTTTATGGGTGGTTTGCTGTGGTGATGAATATCTGAAGTATTTAAAGTTCAGTTCATTACTTGATATGCACTCAAACACATGCCCACTGACACCCTTCTCTCGCAAGACAAAAAATAACTCCCCTTTCTCTCTTGCTGTCCGTCCATCTCCCTCCACCTCCTTCCCCATCTCCTTCCTCCTCCTTCCCTCTGTCTCCTCCCTCCTTCTCCTTCCCTCTCATTCCCCGCCAGGCTTCCCTATGATGAAGAACATAACGGTGGCCATACTGCAGTTGAGTGAGTCTGGGGAGTTGGCGTACCTGCATAGTAAGTGGTGGGCCAATAGCTGTATGCCAGAGGGGGGCCAAGCCCCACAGGCCCTCCAGGCCCACATCCTGAGGGGTCTCTTCATGCTGCTGGCCCTGGGGTGCGGTCTGGGCCTCCTCATTGCCCTCCTGGAGCTTGCCTCCAAGGCCCACAACCAAGCCAAGGATCAGAAGGTAAGGGAACATGAGGAGCGGATAGAGAATGGACTTAAAAATAGATATATTCTGTTTATTAGGATTTTCAAATCTACACATGAATATTGAAAGTAAAAACTTCCTACAATTCCCTCTACTACTCACACTTATTCCTCCTCTCCTCTCCTTTCTTATTTCTCCCTCTCCTCCTCCTCTCCTCTTCTCTCCTCACAGAAATCCTGCTGCTCAGTGTTGTCGGCAGAGCTGAGTCAACGTTTCAGATCGGGCGGGGCGAACGCAGGCACAGAGACGTCAGAGAAGAGCAAAGCGTGAAGGATCTGTTTTACTGATTGGCTCCGAACAGAACCATATAGTTTGATACGCATATAAACCACGTGTGAGGGACCCCGGTCCTGTCCTTTGTAGCAGTAGTATCTTCCGTATCCTAGTAGTGTATCACAGCAGTGTCTTCTGTTTCATAGTGTACCACACAGCTACCGAGTTCCCCATGTGCATTTACAATGGCTTGTTAGAATAGATTCCAATTAGAGTAGATTTTACTATATATTCCACTCTGAAAAGGTATTATTAAGTCCACTATAGAAAACAGCAACAATAGCATTTAATGCACTCAGTGGACATGGGCCTCCCACTGCAGAAATAGACTACTAACAGTAAGATTTTTATATATATTAAGTTGATAGAGTTGATACAGGCTTTGCAACTATCCTCCAGATAAATGCTTTAAGCAACTGTATTTACATTTTTGTTGTTGTCGTTGTTGTTGATATGTACTGCCCAAATATCTCACATGTGCTACTAAATCTGGTGGCTTTTGAGTTGTTTCATTAACCGTTCAATATGTTTTACTTTAACCTGTTTTTTATACTCCACCAAATTAAATCCCTAGACATCCCAAATGTATAGATTTTTGTTAGTTTTGTTAGTTTCACACCTAAGCTCCCTCAAAAGTGTTTTGGATGGATGGATAGAAAAAAAAAAATGTTTGGGATGGATTTATAAAATGTGTGCTTTCCAGGAGTGGGGGCAATGAACAGGCACTGTGGGGTAAAGGTACAGTAATTGTAATAACTGATCAGTCTATTCATTTTTTCTTCTATGAATATTGCTATTTCAGTAGAGTTTTGTTGTATTGTGGGGTCAAATTAAATCTACCAAATTCCACGAGTGGGCTCATTCTCCATCCCCCTTGGTGCGTAGTCTCACGTAGCCAGATGGAAGTAAGATGGCGCTGCAGTGGATACACTGTAAACCCAAATGTGCCGTCATTAGTCAAAACTTTTGAGGAAACCCGTTGCACTTAATATATCTGAGTACAGTTACTTAAAGTAATTTTGTAGTCATTACTCAAACCGATAGTCACTGTGACACTGTAGGGGGTCCAGATTTCAGTTGTACATTTTGAGTAACGCCCCCACTAAGCAACGCCTTCAGAAAGTATTCATACCCCTTTACTTATTTCATATTTTGTTGTTACAGCCTGAATTCATAATGTATTAAATATATTTATTTCTCACCTATCTACACACAATACCCCATAATGACAAAGTGAAAGTATTCACACCCCTGAGTGAATACATTGGATTGCGAAAGTATTCACCCACCTTGGCATTTTTCCTATTTTGTTGCCTTACAACCTGGAATTAAAATGGATTTTTTGGGGGTTTGTATCATTTGAGTTACACAACATGCCTACCACTTTGAAGATGCAAAATATTTTTTATTGTGAAACAAAGAAGAAATAAGACAAAAAAAACAAAAAACTTGAGTGTGCATAACTATTCACCCCCCCCCCAAAGTCAATACTTTAGAGCCACCTTTTGCAGCAATAAGCTTGGCACATCTAGCCACTGGGATTTTTGCCCATTCTTCAAGGCAAAACTGCTCCAGCTCCGTCAAGTTGGATGGGTTCCGCTGGTGTACAGCAATCTTTAAGTCATACCACAGATTCTCAATTGGATTGAGGTCTGGGCTTTGACTAGGCCATTCCAATACATTTAAATGTTTCCCCTTAAACCACTCGAGTGTTGCTTTAGCAGTATGATTAGGGTCATTGTCCTGCTGGAAGGTGAACCTCCGTCCCAGTCTCAAATCTCTGGAAGACTGAAACAGGTTTCCCGCAAGAATTTCCCTGTATTTAGCGCCATCCATCATTCCTTCAATTCTGACCAGTTTCCCAGTCCCTGCCGATTAAAAACATCCCCACAGCATGATGCTGCCACCACCATGCTTCACTGTGGGGATGGTGTTCTCGGGGTGATGAGAGGTGTTGGGTTTGCGCCAGACATAGCGTTTTCCTTGATGGCCAAAAAGCTCAATTTTAGTCTCATCTGACCAGAGTACCTTCTTCCATATATTTGGGGAGTCTCCAACATGGCTTTTGGCGAACACCAAATGTGTTTGCTTATTTTTTTCTTTAAGCAATGGCTTTTTTCTGCCCACTCTTCCGTAAAGCCCAGCTCTGTGGAGTGTACGGCTTAAAGTGGTCCTATGGACAGATACTGCAATCTTCGCTGTGGAGCTTTGCAGCTCCTTCAGGGTTATCTTTGGTCTCTTTGTTGCCTCTCTGATTAATGCCCTCCTTGACTGGTTCGTGGGTTTTGGTGGGCGGCCCTCTCTTGGCAGGTTTGTTGTGGTGCCATATTCTTTCCATTTCTTAATAATGGATTTAATGGTGCTCCTTAGGGATGTTCAAAGTTTCTGATATTTCTGATAAGTGCAACCAACATTTCTTCAGGTTGAATGAGCAGTGGATGAACCTGCTACTACTCTCATTTTAATAAACAAACAATATTCAACAAAATATCAAGTGTAACCTACTAGGCTACTCTTCAATGACTACAGATTTTTTTTCAAAAATATCAACTGATCAACATGATCTGGCCGCAGAACACTTCTCTGTGCGTTCACTATGTCGCCAGTAGTACTAAAAACTCGTTCTGCTGGCACACTGGTGCCTGGAATGCACAGGTACCGTTTAGCAAGGGTGGAAAGTACAGGTAGCTCTTTCTCCTGAGATCTCCACCACTTCATGGCATTTTCAGTCAAAGGCAACGCATCTTTTGCTCGGTACCTTAACACCTCTGCTCTGGCTGTCTCGCTTGTGGATTTTCTTTCTCTTTGGGTGAAGGAATTGCCAACAGCGCATCTAAGGCTTTCTTCTTACAAGGAGGTGACTCATTTGGAGCTACAATATAAGAAATATATTTCAAAATATAGTCATGTTTCTCATTAATACAAAACAACAACAATCTTTTATTGGTATCACATGAAACACACCTGTGGTCTCTTCATTGAATCCTGACAGCTTTGTGCTTGAGCTTCCCTCGTCTTCCTCCTGATTTCCCATTGCTTGCATCTATTGATGTAAGAATGTGTGAACTGTTCAAATTTATGCTCTGTAATACTGCACACATAAATTTAGAGGAAGATAAAGAACAGATGAGATTTGAGAGAGGACAAATGAAAGGGGAGAAGAGAAAAGAGCAGAGGAAAGAGGAGAGAAGAGTTACCTGGTGGGACACTTCTGCCTCAAAAACCAGTTTTGTGTAGACCTGTTCTCTGTCCTCTTTTTCCAGGTAGGGCAGTTCTTTAAATCGCGGGTCCAACGCTGATGCTGTTTAAAGAACAAGAATATTGCATTCATTGCATTATTAAATTAAGTTGACCTGAAATTGCAAGTGATGACCACCTCCTCATACACAAAATAATCAGAAGATTAAACTTTAGTATGTTTAAAAGAAATGTGGCACAGTGATGATGTAAAGCCACCATGAACTAAGAATTGTATTGCAGATATCTTGTTTACTTTTCCATATGAAAAAACAACTCAAATTCAAACTTGAAAACGCAAAGGTGTGGCATTTTACAAATTAATACAGTCTAATAACCTAAAATATTAACCAAGTTGATTTTAATTAAGACTCCAAATTAATTACCTATGTTGAGAGCATCTTGGGTGCCTCTGTAGCCTGTGGAGAGGTCACTGGCCATCACCCTCTTAATCTCTGCAACCAGGGTTGAGTCGTCTTCGCATGGCTGTAGGTGTTTCAGCAGTTTTGCTTGAAGAGGAGCAATTACAGAGAGAGTTGGCTGGTCTTCTTCACACATCACAGTGGTTGCCATTTTGACAGGACCCATCAACTGAACAATGTCATCCATGTTGGCAATATCACTCTCACTCAGCGTGCCTACATCTGTGACCCCCTTTCGTAGATCCTTGGACATCAGAGTTGCCATTATAGCTGGCTGTTGTTCCAAAAAACGTTCAAGCATTTCGAATGAACTGTTCCATCTGGTGATTATGTCTTGGATCAGTTTATGTTTTGGTAAATACATCAGAGTTTGTTTTTCCTGTAGGGCGTGACATGCAATCGGGCTGCGGTGAAAATATCCAACAATTTTTTGCACTTTCCCCAACAACCTGGAAGCACGGTCCACCCCCAAACCTTCTGCGAGGCAAGGTTGAGTGTATGTGCGAAGCAGGTAATGTGTGGACTGAACTGGGCTTCTGCACCGGCCACAATCATATTCCTGGCGTTATCTGTGACGATGGCAGGATTCTTGTCGTAGATTTTCCACTCCATGCAGGCTTCACGCAGTAACGCGCCAATATTTTTACCAGTATGGGCTTCATTTAAAACTCTGGTTAGCAGAACAAAGGTCTTCATTTTCCACTCCGGATCAATGTGATGAGAGGTAATTGTCACATACCCTTGATTTGAGCATGACGTCCAGCCATCTGTCGTTATCGCTACTCGTTCAGCTTGAGAAAGCGACAGCTTCACATCATTCTTAGTACTTTCATACAATGCAGGAATAACCTTTTCTGAGAAGTGTGGTCGGCTTGGTATTGTGTACCTTGGCTCCAATGTTTGAATCATTTCACGGAATCCCGGATTTTCAACCACACTGTAGGGTCGCATGTCTTTGCAGATAAACTTGGCAATTGTTGCCGTGATGTTTTTCGCCCGAGCTGAGTTTTGGCCTAGTCTCTGACTAAACATGCAGGCGAGACCTGAGGCTTCTGCAGAGTTGACTTTACCTTTCGCTGCTGTAGCAGCGGGAACGCTGCAAGAGGTGCCTGGACGGTCGGTGTTGTGTGAAATCCCATGGCGCCTTAGTAGGTGGTTGGAGAGATTTGTCGTGTTGCCGTTGTACTTTACTTGACCTTTACATATCCTACAAACAGCGAGCGACTTATTTAGAACATCTCCGTCTTTGCAAAAGCCAAAGTGTTTCCACACACTGGACCGCAATGGTGGCTTGATAATTTCTCGCTCGTCGGCTTCTCCTCTGTCGTCCGCCATGCTATGTTTTGTTGTCTTTGCGCCTTTGCGCTGCTGCTGGCGCGGGGCGATGACGTCACGGATAGGCAGACTGAATCGAGTAATGTTTAAAGCCTTTATCATTAAAAGTGCTAAGAAAAAACATCCATATAAAGTCTGACGTGCTTAAATCCAATGGGTTATTTCCTAGTATCGATACAATCGATTTATTACATTTTAAAACGATGTTAGATTGATATATGTTGTCCAAAAGGCCAACTCGCCGAGCACAGATCGATGTAGTTGGATCATAGGAATATAAATCGATACATCGATGTAGTCGATGGATCGTTACACCCCTAGTATGCACGCACCACCTTTCCGTTATATATTTCTTAGAATTCTTTGAAACGTAAGTAATTTTTTTTATTTCACTTCACCAATTTGGACTATTTTGTGTATGTCCATTACATGAAATCCAAATAAAAATCTATTTAAATTACAGGTTGTAATGCAACAAAATAGGAAAAACGCCAAGGGGGATGAATACTTTTGCAAGGCACTGTACATGCTAGAATCTCCATTGGCAGTGATTACAGCTGTGAGTCTTTCTGGGTAAGTCTCTAAGAGCTTTGCACACATGGAATGTTCAATATTTGCACAATATTCTTTAAAAACGTATTCAAGCTCTGTCAAGTTGGTTGTTAATCATTACTAGACAGACATTTTCAAGTCTTGCCATAGATTTTCAAGCCAATTTAAGTCAAAACTGTTACTAGATCACTCAGGAACATTCAATGTCATCTTGGTAAGCCTTGTGTTTTAGGTTAGTGTCCTGCTGAGAGGTGAATTTCAAATCATATCAAATTCTATTTGTCACATGCGCCAAATACAATGCACATGCTTATTTACAAGCCCTTAACCAACAATGCAGTTAAGAAAAATAAGATTTAAGAAAATATTTACTAAATAAACTAAAGTAAAAAAATAAAAGAGCAACAATAAAATATGAATAACGAGGCTATATACAGTGGGTACCGGTACCGAGTCAATGTGCGGGGGTACAGGTTAGTCGAGGTAATTGAGGT